TTTTTCTGTGGTTTTTTTTACCGCAATTTTTCATTAATTTTCAACCCATTCTTCTTATCAATTCATTTTGTTATTTAAAAAAAAAAAAAAAAAAAAAAAAAAAAAAAAGTAGTAGGAAGAAATCCAGGTATACTATCAGTATACCTGATAGTGATTACTCACAGCAACGAACGACGAGATTATATATGTATTATCAATATTCTTTCCACTTATTTCAAATTGTTATTGTTGAAATAGATATGGCTATAGCGAAGTCTGCTGTTGTCGCAAGCGATAAAGATACTTTAGCTACATTAAACTTGACATTTCACAACACGATGTGCAATTGGAAATGTCACTATTTTATATGATGTAGCGAAAAGATTAAAATAAGTAGGCTGCAGCGGCAAGAATTCCAATTCCAGTAATAGAACCTGCTTTTGCGGCTAGGTTGGGGACTTCGGTCACTGGTGCTGTCGTCTTAACGGTAGCCTCGCCGGCAATAGTAGAGGTGTATGCAGTGTATGGCACATACGTTGGGGAAGTAGTTGCTGGACAGTACGTAGTAGTTTTGATGTCTGGAATAACTGTTGTGACAACTTGTGGTGTGTGTCTGGCTAGACAGTCTATGACTGTTGGAGGACAAGTAGTAACAGTGACCACAGTAGTGTGGCCTTCAGTATAAGTCAAAGTAGTTGTGATGGTAGCATTAGTGTAACCTGATGGAATTGGGTTAAGTGATGAAGGAGGTACAGGTGATGAAGGGGTTTCTGGTTTTCCCTTGGGGTAACCAACCCTGAGGGTAATTGGGATGGCACCTTCACTCTTAGCTACACGGATAACGAAATTCTCTGCAGACCCCTCTGGCCTTGACGCATAAAAGTTGATACTTTCATTAATGGATAACTTATCATCAACAATAGCAGCCTTAGCAGCGGTGACACCCTGGGAGAGGTAACCATCTAGAAGGCCGACATAGTCCTTAAAACCGTCTAAAAAGTAAAGTTCATGGGTTTCTGTATCGTACAGGTAAATTTCGGGAAAAGCCCCTAGAAAAAAGTGGTTTGTGACAAGTCCATTACGAATTGAATAAACCGGCTTTGCATTGATTGTTGAGTCAGTTGAATCGGCGTAAAACTGAACAGTCAATATTTCAGCTAAAGTTGTAGAGATGAGTGCAACAGAGAAAGCGAATGTAATGAACTTCATTTTAGAGTTGTTTCTTTTAAAAAACCTATATTGGCAACAGAGGTGAGCGGGAAGAAATGCTACCTTCTTATATTCTTTTTTCCAATACTCTAAAACACATTGCACGTTAAGACTGCTCGTCTAAATTTAGCATATCCAGGAATATATTTTTATAGCTGTAAACAGACCGTAAATGTATGACATATCTTGTTTAGCTTGGCTCTTTTACTGTTTGGAATCCCTTTAATCTTTTTCGACCATCCTTTTCGTAACTGTAAATTCATTTTCCAAAAGTATATACACAATAATGAAAATTATAAACATTTATGACAATTATAAATGTAGCCAAGAATAATAAAAAAGACTTTGAATCTTAATTAAGTGAGTGTTTTTCGATAAAAAATACTGATACTGGCAAGCGGTTGCGAGGAATATTTTCGTGCCGTATATTATGGAACGAAATTTGATTAGAGTATAAAAATTAAATATCAAATGATCTTTAATTGGAAACGGTGATAGTATGATCATATGTGAAACACATTTATTTTAAGGACTCATTACCTTCGTCTTTTACTCTATTTTATGCTATATCTTTCAAAAGTCAACGATGTGCAATCCAGCCGCATCTAAATGATGCAGCTTGATGCAGTCCAAAGTGAAGAAAAATTCATAAATCGACCTGAATTGGCATCCGATCCAATACATTTTGTATTTAGTATAGCTCTTGAAAAATAAAATAATGAAATGATGCTGAAATTTTCCTCTAAATTGAATTAAAGCCAAAAGAGTAAGTCATATGAAGGCAGAGAAATGGCTGAAAGACTTGATTTTTGAGAAAATAATAATGAGAACTTTAGCTCTGTTGAGGATTTGCTTCCTAAAAAGTGAGACTAGTAAAATAAATTGAATCAACTGTTTCACTTAGATAGCCGTGGCAGGTCTCTTTATAAAAGAATTGGGATTATAGCTGAAGAAATATAAGTGGCTAGCAACCAAGTTTTATTGAGATACTATAGTATATAAAAGTGCTATTTAAGAATAAATCCGAATAAAAAATGAAATTTGAAGAATTAACTGTTTAAATAGTACTACAATCCTTGAGGTATCATAGAACTTATAATACGTAAGCGGCAAAGGCAACTAAACCAGCACCGGCGACGGAACCTACCTTAGCAGCACCATTATGGGCTGTGGAAACAACAGGAGCAACTGATGCCTTAGAAGTGGTCTTAGGGGCAACTGATGAGATGGCAGATGTAGCCTTAGAAGTGGCATTAGAAGCAACTGGAGTGGTGACAGATGAAGACTTTGGAGCAGCAGATGAGACACTGGAAGCTGCTTTAGAAGAGCTCTTGACTGACGACTCGGAAGCTACAGATTTAGAAGATGTCTTGACTGTTGATGCGGCAGCAAGGGCAACGGGAGTATATGGCTCATATTTTGGGGTAGTAGATGCTGGACAGTAAGTAGTAGTCAAAGTAACCGGAATGACGGTAGTAACAGTCACAGGGCCGTGCTTAGCTGGACAGTCAGTGACAGTTGCAGCACAAGAAGTGACGGTAACGACAGTGGTGTGAGCAGCTGTGTAAGTTAAAGTGGTGGTGGTGTTGTTGTTGTAAGCAGATGAAGCGACTGCAGCCAAAGCAGAAGAGGCAGTAGCAGCAGATAAAACGAAGGTAGTGAATTTCATTGCGATTTGATTTCTTTTAGTAGTTGAAAATGTGATGTGATTGATTGAGCATGAAAATGTATAGACCAGAATTTACTGCCCTTTATATACTTCTCCAATTGTATCAATAAAACGTTGCGGCATAATTGGCACAATGAAATAATAACATTTTCACTTGAATTTAGGGGCTTTCCAAAAATAGTTCATTTAACTGCAACTTCTTAAATAAGCACGATTCATAAAATGATGTTTTGGTTTGCACCATTGAATTTTTGTGAGAGAGAAAAGATTGATTCTGGAGATAAACTTAAGCAGCTCCAAAAAATGATCCGTTATAATAACTTCCCAAGATGTTAGAATTCACTGCTAAATAAGAGGACATTTTTGATCAACCTCGAATGAAGTGCTACATCTTTTGTGGTTATTGCTGTGCTCCTCGAAAGTATTTGTTGCTATTTAGGGCAATGAGAAATAACCCCAAATCGCGTTAGGGTACGCCTGCAATTTAATTTTTTTTACCTAATTTCAGGCTAGCGGTGTGATTCTAAGCACTTATTACATCTTCTGCAGTTATAGGGTCTCTATTCGGGAGTATTTGTTATTATTTGATGCAATAAGCGTTAACTCAAAATCGCGGCACACTATTACACAATTTACTTGATTTACTTGATCACAGGTTAGTTCAAAACATTTATTACATCTTCTGCAGTTAATAGTTAGCTTCTCGAGAGTATTTATTATTATTTGATGTAAAGAGCGTTATCCCAAAAACGCGGCACCGTCTTCATCCAATTCAATTTTTTGTAATTTATTAGAGGTTTATTGTGTGACTCGAAACAGTTATTAGATGTTTTGCAGTCATTAGTACTTAATTCTTCGAGAGTATTAGTTTTTTTTGAATGCGGTAAGAGTTAATCTAAAAACGCCATCGGCGTGCGTGTAGAAAATTTATTGTGCTTTACTATAGGCTAGCTGTCAAAGGCGAATTTATATCTTCTGTAGCTATTGTTTACTATTCGTTGGAGTTGTATCTATTTTATGCAATGAGCATTGACACACAAATGTGATGCGGCGTGCATGCAATTTTAATTTTTATACTTCAATTAAGGTTGCAGGACAAGGCTGAGCCACGGTTATTTTCTTATTCTCCTCATATTTTTCGTAGCTTTTATTGCCCGTAAAAAACGTTACTTCAAAAAATAAATTTTCAACAATATAGTTCAAATTCCTTTTTAATAATCAGAAGTATTTATAAGTAAACCATCTTGACCCCGATTTAAATTCTCTTCATAATGGGATATATTGTATATAGTATAAAGGCTAATTTCATTCCCCTATATATTTATATGCAACCAAACCAATATTGCTAATAATTTTATTTGCTTGATGCTGCATTTATATTGTATACAATACTAACTGGATAGTGCCTCTGGTAAAATAGTGACGAGAATGCCGCACAGATACCTCCAGTAAAGGACCGGCTACTTTAAAAAAAATAAGTTTTATTTTCTACAGAATCATTATGAGTAAGAATTTTGAATGTATTAAGCTATGAAAATATAGAATTGACATAATTAAAAATGTTGAAGTTTGAAAACTAACGAAAAACTGCATCAAAATTATAAATTTTAGGAATGAAATCTGGAATGAAAATGAATTATGAAAGATACTTCCTCTAAAATATTACTATTTTTGTGAGGGATCATAGAACTTATAATAAGTAAGCAGCAAAGGCAACTAAACCAGCACCGGCAATGGAACCGACCTTAGCAGCACCGTTGGCAGCAGTAGTGACTGCAGGATGAGTGGTTGCTGGAGCAGAGGTAGCCTTAGTTGTGGATTCAGCAGCAACAGTCTTAGAGGTGTATGGCACATAAGTTGGGGTGGTAGATGCTGGACAGTAAGTGGTAGTTAAAGTAACTGGAATGACAGTGGTGACAACTTGTGGAGTGTGTCTGGCTGGACAGTCAGTTACTGTTTCAGCACAAGAAGTGATAGTAACAACAGTGGTGTGGCCTGCAGTGTAAGTTAAAGTGGTAGTGGTATCATTGGTGTAACCAGTAGAAGATGGAGCTGGAGTAGAAGATGATGGAGAACCAGTCTTGACAGCCTTGATGTTAAATGGGATTGAACCTTCAGCATCACTAACAAGGACAATGTAACTTCTGTCAGAGTAGTTGTATGGATCACCAGTGTTCTTAGCAGCATAAAATGTAGTATTTCCACCTAAGGATAACTTGTCGCCTTCAAAGGTTGCCTTTGAAGAGCCAGTGACACCATTAGAAAGATATTGACCAAGTACACCAACGGAGTACACTATTTGGTTTGCAGTAGTGTCAGTACTGGTAAGTACTCCAGTTTGGTCATCATATTGGAAGTTTTCAGCACCAGTTCCAAGTACAAAGTAGTTAATACCGGCACCTTCGTGGATTGAAGATAAACCATTGCCATTAATGGATGCGTCGGATGAATCAACAAAGAGTTGAACGTCGTAAACGGCTGCTAAAGCAGAAGAGAAGGTTGCAGCGGATAAAGCGAAAGTAGTGAACTTCATTGTAAGTTGTATTTATTTGATTTGTTTGATGAGTAAACTATTATTTTCTTCTTTTAAGTTCGAAATTTCCCCTTGTTTTATAGTAAAAAGTTTCTGGCATCACTCTATTGCCAAAAAAAATATTGCAGACAGAAAGTCTAAATTTAGAGGCTTTTCCAAAAATAAATATGCATCATTACAAAGAAAAAGAAATAATCTGCATGTAATCGAGCAAAATTGGGGCTTTCTTTGAAAATCTGCGTACATTTTAAGCTTTCTTTTTTTGGAGTTCTAATGAAAGTTCCTAAAAATAAATTTCAAATTCTTCATAGTTTGATAATTAAGTCAAGCTACATGATTTTTCAGGAGTCAAATTTCTCATACAATAGATTTCGCCTACATCTGCAGATGATTAGATTACTTCAACTCCTTACTCCTGACTAGAGTGTACAGTCTTTACTTAACCTAGTTGAAAAAAGAAACGAATGACGCAATGTCTCAGCTCGAGAAAAAAAAGAGAATTTCATAAAATTATTTATAGAAGGTTACATTTTTTGGTCAGCCGTTGCATGTTTAACAATTTTATTTGTGCATTATTTGCTTAATTTCCCCAGAAATGGCACCCCTTGAAATTATTGCTGGTAGTGCTAAAACGGTGAAGTCGTACCTACCCGATGGATAAATTTAGAAGTTGGGGTTGAACCGTGTTTGCTTCAAATGGACCCAATGGCCAAATGCGGGGTTAAAAAAACGATGAGAACAAATTAATGGGCTCATTGCCATTCCATGCTTCTGAGCCCTTGAATCTTTATTCTTTTACGAGCCACACAATTATTACATGCATTTGTACTTCCATAAAAGTCTCTTTCGAATACAAATTTGGCCCAAAGCGGAATTTACTTGCTCTAGTTCGTTAATTGCCTGATATTCCTGGTTTCAATTGACACGACAAATGCCAATAGTTGTTTATAATTAGAAGTGGATAAGAGCGACAAGCGAGACACTTATTCTTCTCTAAGGCGAAATCTTTTAACTCTCGTAAGGCTATGTCAGATTGTGTACTCTTCTCTTTTTGTTTAGCACTTTCTGATACTTCGCTATCTGTCACTTCCTTTTTTTTTATTTTCAGAGTTGATTATGAGCATCATCGCTCGCTTCGAGGTTACTCTAATTCGTAAATAATAGTTGATCAATCGTGCTCTTGCTGCATGAATCTGATATCGGTGAGAATTACTCTAATATAAGAATATAATAAGAAATATTTACAAATCTGAGATTAAAGTTGATCATTGTAATTAATTAAAGTAAATAACATGCAACAGCAATAAGACCTGCACCAAGAGAATTCAATTTGTTGGCAGCTCCTTTGCTCGAAGATGAACCTGTTCCTGTTGCAGAAGAGGAGGAGTGAGTACTGTGTGTGGAATCTGTGGTAATTGAAGTGAGCAGACTAGTTTGAGAAGTTCTGACCGAAGTCGAATTCCTAGCACTCAGTGTTAATATGGCAGTAGTAATAGTTGAGTTGATTATTGATGATGACTTTACCAAACCTGATGCTGACGACGTTGCAAATCTCGAAATGCCAGATTCACTGACACTGGTTGAGTCGGTAGTTGATTGCTCTTCAACAGATTCAGTTGAAGAGCTTTCAACGGACGAACGCGAAGCTGTGAGAAGTTCAGTAGCTTCAATTGTAGAAGAAGAAGCCGAGACAGAACTAACTAAAGTACTAGAAGTGTCTGAGACAGCTTCCGATGCAGCTAAAGAAGATGAAGCTAAACTGGAAGGTAATCCACTTACTTTAATATTGAACTTGATGCTGTCTGTTGCATCCAGATTCGATGAAAGAACAATATACAGTTGAGTTGAATACTGGTAAGGGTCATTTACATTCTTAGCGGCATAGAAATCTTTAATATCATTGACGACAAGGTGCTCACCGTCAAATGTTATGTTCCCAGCTCCAAGTACACCTTCAAGAAGAAAGTCATCGTAAGTACTCACGTAGCCAACTTCACCTCCCAAGAACTGAGTAGAGTCATCGTAAGTAAGTACTTCAGGACTAGTACCCAAGAGGAAATAATTTATTCCAGCACCCTCATGAATTGATGATAATGCCTTTCCAGCAATGGAATCGTCAGTGGAATCAACGTATAGCTCAACAGAGTAGGTGGTAGCAAGCACTGCTTTCACAGCTGTAATAGACAACACCACAGAAGATAATCTCATCTTTTTCATCAATATTGTGATTTCCTTATTTCCAGCAGTTGATCACTTTTTAACCATTACCTCGTCTCCTATTTATACGTCCATTTCTGCCTAAATTCTTCTGCATGTTACAAATAATTACGTGATGAAATGGAGGCTAACAGTGCATAATCAAAAAAATAATCTATTTTTATCCTGAGCCGTGTGTTCTTGTAATGTTAATTGGATACCTTTCAATTATATGGATGCCCACTTCCGAGAACTGGGAATATTCAATACACTTACGTCTAATAACGCTAGAATTGAGAAGAAAAAAAAGAAAAGTTGATCAAATGTGTCAAGAAATTTAGTGGATGTACTTGACGCATGGTTAAAAGTTTACGCTAAGGTTTATGCAAAATGACAAAGACAAAAAAAATTAAGTAACGCATAAATTTTAAGTTTTCGAAATGAACTTTCTTTTTATTGGCTGTTTCAAAATATATTACTAGAGAGACTAATATATCCCGAGACTACTAAAATGCTGATAGTTCGTACTATTTGTATCACCTCAACAAAATCTAACCAAATATCTCCAAAACACTAAGGTATTCTGAGAAACAAACTAAGTCTGTCAAGAGATCTAGCTGAACGGGGCTCGAAACAATATACGGAGAGTGAAAGCTAAGCCGCACGTTTATATTAATCTCGAAGATTCAAAATGACCTTCTTCTATTTCAGTTTTAGCTATAAATGCATCTTTCTATCCATCTCTATATGTCGCCAACTATATATATTCTCATCTTCTTTCACTAGCTTTATACTCGATAAATCTGTTCATATTATTCCATGTTTCTTCTGCTCTTGACTTTAACTCCTTACTCTTGTTCTTGTCAACCTTCTTGTACATTTCCTTAACTTGAGGTTCCAATGCTCTCAATTTGCTTAAATAATCACCCTGAACAAAAACAGGAAGATCATAAGGATATTCTGCATCTCCGAATATATCATAGAATAAATCTAAACTTTCAATGACCACTTCATATGCCTTTGTTTTGTCTTCTGTTGAAATAGTAGTGGTTTCGTCTATGAACTCTTTGTTAGTAAAACCACTTATCAAAGATAATAAGAAATCTGAGATATTTCTAGTTATTTCAAAGTTTGAAATCACTTGAGCAGACGAACCTAGGAAACCAACTGAAGAAAGTATAAATTCAAAGTGATCCAATGCGTCTTTACCTTCCCCTCTAGCGACATCCATCCCATTGCATTTGGCAATAAGCCCATTAATCATTTCTGGGCTTAAGTTGATTGCAGGTCCAATAGTTTTGATGATTGCCCAACAAACATTCAAGCAATTCTTCAGAATTTGAAGTGATTGTGTACTGGATGATATTTGTATTGCTAATTCCCAGAGTTTGGTGGAGATTTCGAACCACTCAGATGGAATTGTTTCAATTGAAAGCATTAACCAACACAAGTTGTTGAAGCAAATAAGGATCTTATTCGATAGTTGGAGTATGTGGTTGTTTCTAATATCAAATTGTATCAATTCTGAAAGTATTGGGTACACTCCCTTAAAAATGACATTCAAGAGGTCATCTCCAAGAGAAACGGGTTGCAGTCCCTCGATGGTAGCGAGAAATTCCCAAATTGAAGTGAAAAGATCTATAGAGACCTCCAACAATTGGATATCATCCTTGGCTTGCGTTTTTTCTGGAGTATCACCTGAAATTTGTTGATCTATATCTTGCATCTTTTCTTCACCACTTCCGACCTCTATTGGCTTGGTAATTGGATCATTTGCATTGTCAGGGGTTGCAAAATTGATCTTGATACTATTCAAGTCGACATTGGCTAAAATATTGCTAATGTTCGTGAGAGTCTTGAAGACCTGTTCCTTCTTCTCCGAAGATGATACGCTCTGTTCTGATTCATAAATTTGGTATTTGATACCCTCTACATAACCTCTTCCTAAGAGATTCTTCTCCGATCCGGCAGTCAATAGCTGCACGTTGAAGTTACCGATTGCATTCAACTTTTCAATGAATTCAAATGACTCAGTGGAGAACTCGTAGATGAACTCCAACAAAGTGTTATGGAGCTTTAACGAAGTTTCAATACTAGGGGTGTTCCAGTTAATCAAGTCGATCACAAATCTTAAAACAGGGTCAATTCTTCCGAAAACATTGTCATAAAGTGTATCAGATCCTCCTGCCAATACTAGCACCATAGATAAAATGTTCTCGGTGAAATCATAGAGCAATTGAATCTTAGCCTTCTCGTCAACTTTTTTAGCAAGCCCGGCATTGTTTTCAGGGAGTGCCTTGTTTTCGGCAAGGAACTTAAACGACTTCTCAATCTTATTCAACCCAGCTTCTAAAGCCACCCAGATGTTCTGTCTCCAGTAGTATGTAATTACATCATACCCTTCCTCAATTCCCAAGTTTCTTAGCAACCCGAATGCTTCCACGACAATCTCATCATTGCTGTCATTTAAGCACTGTTCCATAATAAGGGGCACTAATTTTTCTCTTAAGCATAGCTTTCTCATTCTTGTATCTTCACAAATCACAGTCAATGCACCAAGGGCCATTGATTTTTCATTGGGCACCGATGACTTCAAGTTATTGATCAAAGGTAAGATCTTGGACTTACGAGTGTTTTCGTCCCTTTGGTCCTCTTTTCCTACTTTTTTTTCGCCAAGAGGGTTAACTCTGGCTTTACGGTTATTTCTATTACGCTTGAGCTTTCCCATATTCTCTATTAGCCTTTAGATCTACACAATAATTGTAGTAATCAGCTCTGGTGAAAAATAACCCAAGAGAAAAATATTTATCCATATGCGATGTGATGTGTTGTATGCAGGAGTGATTTAATGCTGTGGAATATCGAGAGTGTAATGAGTGGTACTCAAAGGTGAAGGGCTGGAATATACATGGGTAATGTTACTTAATTCGATTTATTTTCAGTTATATATATACAGTGTGCATTTTTTCTTAGTGTAGTACATTATATCGCCCAAAAGAACACATATTTCAAGTAACCAGTTGGTTATGTTCTGGTTTTTGTGTAACTACGTTAGACTCTGGATCCTGTGGTTCCTCTGGATCCCCATCTCTTCTACTTTTCAGTTTCCCTCTTTTGCTTTTCAAATTCTTGCGTCAATTTTGGATCTGTGTTTGGAGGATGAAGAGCTATATTCACTTTATCCTTGAGGTCTTGCCAAGATTTGGGTTGGTCGTCTTCAGGCACAAATATTCCTTCCTTCAAGTTCCCATCTTTCTTTAATTGCTCACTGTAGGTTAGTACCATGTCTGCGATCAATACTCTCCACAAATACTTACATAACAATTGGTTGCCAGAATTTTAAGGCTCCATACCAGCTCACAATGCCTACAAATACCACAGTGATTGCTTTGGCTCCAGGAGACGACATATTTTCTACTTCTTTGCTGTTTATATGGACCAGAGCCTGTAGGTTGAAGAATAATTTCTGTATTTCATCTGCACAGGTATTGTTTTATGCAGGAAGTATGTTGGGGAAGCAAGTTTCTTTACAGTACAGACAAATACTACTTAGTTGCCGGTTAGCCATCACCAATGTGGAATATACGTAACTTCCATCATCTGACTTTGGTTAACTTGTGGTATCAGCTCCATAGAAATAAGAGAGGCAGATCGATATAGGCTGGGTGCTGATTCTTCTTTGGAATGTATTTCGCAGCCATTAATTACTATATATGCTTCTAACCAACTTCTTCAGTAAGCTAGCTGCTATTCACACTCCAGTTGCTTAAACACGTTATTTAAACTTCGGTTACACTACCCAATAATTTGAATCCCCAAAACGTAGCACAGAGACGACACATCCACTATTATTCTTTCTTCTTCCGTCTTCATACTTAGGGTGCAACTTATCGCTGTACACCCCAAACGCATCGCTCCGGGTAACCGCACACTCATTTTTCACTTTTTTTGCTCTCACTATAAATTAGATAGTTTGTGAGTGCAAATTGTTTAGCTTAATCTTTCTTCTCTAATCAAAAAGCTTATTAAAGCATGGGAGTATTTGCCACGACGAGATAATGTAAATTATCAAGTTATACTCGTTGCCATATTATTTTTATAATTTGCACTCCCTAGATAAAACGTCCCTATAGGAAGTTTGGATGCCGTTGGGTCTCTTCAGTGAGGCGATGGGATTTGAATGTCGATTTTCATGGGTCACATTTCTAAATTGTAAGCTGTAATGTTAGTTAGTAAGTAGATGTTCTGGTTTCCTCTGGCTTCGTCTTGTTTCGTCTTGTATTTGATATATGTGTTATCTCGCATGGTAACCCCAAGTCTCACTTAAGACCATGTAAAACTTAAGAAGAACCTTCTCCTATCCTCAGGCTATACACCTTAAGTACGCTAAATGCCCGTTGGAGCGTACAACCCATTGTGCGCACTCCCACTTCTCATTGCTATATTGCTACAATTCTACCTATACTCATTTTAATCAATTGTTTTTTATATTTAGATATAGAGGCTATTAACAACCCTTAATTATACACAGAAATAACATTTAAATCTTTAAATTAATCTTGGATGCATTAATTCAGTAGCATAACTTATCTGTACTTGTGGAAACCAATGTCAGAAGCTCTTTCTCTGAAACATTGACGACAGATGTCTAAACCGTACTTTCTGATTAAACCAGAGTGGGAGGAACAGACACGACATTGTCTTGAACCTTTACCGAATTTTCTTGGGTGGGAAAACCAAACAGTTTCGTGAGCCATTTTTCTAAAAAAGATATGTTAGTATAAAGGTTTTGAAGGAAAGGTGTGAAGAAAAATACACCAATGGAGATATGGCTTTATAGGGATACAGAGTTCAGGAAATTTATGTAGTGTGTGCTTTTTTGGTGCGGGAGAATATTCCATCCCAATAAAGCTGAACACCCACTCATTGGTGTGCTTGTAGGCACCCAGTTTGGTTCTTGGTGTCCTTGTACGATTCTGATTCTGGCTATAATTCTGATCTACTCTTAATTCTTGCTGAATTATCACATATTCAACAACATATCATTCTGTAGCATTTTGCATCGGAAGTCCATTCATTTACTGGTGTTCTCCTAGCTCCTTTGCGAGTGCATAAAAATTTTCAGTTGTGAGTTCTACTACGCTGACTTTCTGTGATGGCCCACTTCTTGCACACTCCATTTCATGATCTTTGTTTCTCTACATGTATTCCCCATATTCCACATTCCACTGATCCACGAGCTACGTGTACATACAATTATATATAGACTTTTGTTGATGTATATCAGAAACTATTAACAAGTAGTTGTTAAAATTTCAACTTAGAAATACAATCACCAAATTGTTCCCGCGTTAGCGTCGCACTGAGGACGCTCTCACAGTCTGAAAATTTTTTGCCTGTGACACAAAAACACCAGGCTCCCACGTGATCCAGGCCATACTAACACCAGCGAGGGTGCGGACTGACAAAATGGATCTCGCACGTGAGTGAACTCATGTGTCTAGGGCTTCGACCCTCATCTCATCCATCGGTTACATGCAACAAATTTAATTTTGATCTAACAGTTGACGATAACACCCCACCCAGTGTATCGAAGCCCAATAGAATAGCGAATAAACATGGCAGGTGGTCATTCGCATAGATCTACTTTGAAAAATGATCATAAACCGTTCAAATCAAAGCATGCCACCAAGGGTCAATTGAAGAACCAGTACAAGGGTAAGGTTGAAAAATCGAGCTCATCCAACAAGCAAGTCAAGGTACTCTCCAAGTTGGAAAGAAAGAACCTCGCTAAACAATTGAAGAGCAGTAAGATCTTGGAAACGAAACAAACCAGAAAGATCTTCGAGGGAAACAATGGTGCAGAAAAGATCATCACTATTATTGCCTTGACCGATGATCTCTCATCGGCCGAGATAGCATCCCAATTGATAAACAGTGTAGGTGACGACGAAAGCGACAACGTAATGCTTGAAGCACCATCGGTGAACTCTGTGAAGATCAATAGATTCAAGAGTAATTTGAAGTTCATATTGCCAGATCCAAGTAACTTTTTATCGATATTGGATGCTGCAAAGGTGTCGGATTTCGTAGTGTTTGGTATCTCAGCTGAGAAGGAAGTTGAAAAGGAATACGGTGAACAGATCTTAAGAGCTGTTATTGCCCAAGGTATAGCCTCCGTGATCGGTGTATTACCTAACGTAGTCTCTGCATACCCCAAGAGGAATCTTCAAATGGATATTAGGCAATCTTTACAATCATTTTTCAACCATTTCTTCCCTAACGAAGAGAAGGAAAAGTTGTTTGCATTAGAACTGGAGTCTGAGTGCCTGAACTGTATTCGTACCATATGTCAAAAGTTCCCCAAGTCAATTACATGGAGAGACCAAAGAGGTTGGCTCGTAGCCGATCAAGTGACGTTTGAGAATGACTTACTCTGCGTGGAGGGTATCGTCAGAGGTACTGGGTTTAATGCCAACAGACTTGTTCATATTCCTGGTTTTGGAGATTTTCAGATCGACCATATTGAATCTATAAAGAAGAACCAGGATGATAACGTAGAATTCCAGCCAGATTCCAATCAAGAGACTCTTGAGGAGTTGAATAACGAAGAAGTTGACATGGATGAAGTTGAAGAATGGAATGGGATTGATGACGACTTTGGTGGAGCTAGAATGGATGATAAGCGTTACTTTGATGATGACGGAAGCAGAAACCTTCACCCAGACAGGCCATTGCCAAAAGGTACCTCTAGCTATCAAGGTAGATGGTATTTGGACGATGTGTTGGAGGATGCATCGGACATTGAAGAAGAAGACGAAGACGGAGTAGGTCAACTAGGAAAAGGTGACATGGAGATCGAAGAAGACTACATTAATAACGTAGCCGGAGGTCAATCAGAGTATGAGCCAACTGAAGCCGGCGAATCTGAATTGTTTGTAGAATTGACCCCAGAAGAAGAAACCAGGCAATTACAAGAATTCAGAGAAGCTGCCAAGGAAGATCTCGAATTCCCTGATGAACTTGAACTTGATCCTCAAGAATCCGGTAAGGAAAGATTGGCTGCCTACAGAGGTATCAAGTCATTGGGTAATTGTGACTGGGACTGTGATGAAGTTGATAAGGACTCTCCAAGTATCTGGAACAGATTATTGAGAATCAGTAACTTCAAGGCTACTAGAAACAAGATCGTCAAGCAAAACATTAGAGAAGCACAGTTGACCATTGGTAACAGATGTAGAATCTTTTTAAAGGCACCATTCCACATTATGGAAAAGGTTAACAGCTCAACCAATCCATTTGTAGTCTATGGCTTATTAGAACATGAACACAAATTAGCATTAGTCCACTTTTCATATGAATCATGGGAAGATTACGAAGAACCAATTGCATCTGGTGAATCTATTATTGTTCAATATGGCCCAAGAAGACAAGTCATTCAGCCCATATTTAATCAAGCATCAAATAACTCAAACAACGTACATAAATCTGAGAAGTTCCATCACCCAGGTTCATTTTCTATTGCATCGTGTATTGCACCAGTTTTGTTCAGCAATGCACCAACTATCTTCTTCAAGCCTATGGGTGATGACGGTAGTGAAGGTTTGGAACTTGTAGGACAAGGTACATTCTTGAACTGTGACCACACTAGAGTTGTTGCAGAGAGAGCTATACTCACAGGTCACCCAGTGAAGATCCATAAGCGTGTTGTTACAGTCAGATATATGTTCTTCTCTCCTGAGGATATTAATTGGTTTAAGGCTATCCCATTATTTACCAAATCTGGTCGTAGTGGATTCATTAAGGAGAGTTTAGGTACCCATGGATACTTCAAGGCTACCTTTGATGGTAAGCTAACCGCTCAAGATACTGTGGCTATGAGTATGTACAGACGTGTGTGGCCACATGTATCACAGCCATGGATTGAATAATTAAAAGACTAAGTCATACTATAGATTGAAGATAAATTATATGAAGACGAAAGGCGACAGTCGACTTTTTTATAATTTAATTTATTCTAAAGACCCTCTATCAAGATGAGTAGACGCAATTTAGACTGTTGGAATTCTGGTCGACGTTACTTTCATATCACTGTTCACTATACAACGATGATGATACTTTATAATTCTTTAAGTTGATTTGCATGATAACGTTTGAGCTGACACGAAAGGGAGCATGCCTGCAATCACTTCCAGTTGAGTATCATCTACACTTATCAGCTGTTGTTATAAGTCCAGACCCAAATAGGATTTCATTTGATTTTCCACTTTAAAAGAAACGATATCGTTTATTGATATATTCAGAAGAGTAGGTTAGTTTCAACAAAGCTGTTTCTCGTCAGGTCTTGTGGGTAATCACACCATAGAGTTAAAAAGAGTGTATATATACTAGTAGCATAATAAAAGAAATATGACAAAATATAGGTGCTTGTAATTCAGTTAGTTCTCTTGGAATGGATGGAAGTAGTTGATTTAACTTTCATTATTTTATATTTATAATATAAATAAGATACTCTCTGCATTCAATGCAAACATTGCAAGGTATTATTTGAAATTACCAATTGAGCTTCAAGTAGGTTTTCATTAGTTTTCTTCGTCATCGTCAATTTCTGCATCTTGATCCTGATGATACTCGCTGATTAAGTCATTTATATTGTATTCAGCCTCGATGAAATCGATTTCATCCATACCCATTGAGGTGTAAGTTAAGATAAACGCTCTTTTTCTGAACATGGCTCTGAATTGATCACCAACTCTAATGAATAAGTCTTTAATTGAGGTGTTGTTAGCAATAAATGACACAGACGTCTCAGATCCCTCAGAAGGGACAGAGCATATAGTAGTTTGTACATTATTTGGAATCCATTCAAAGAATGAAGACTCGTACTTACTTCCAACCATGTGCATTTCGTCTTCGATTTCCTTGACAGAAAAATTTCCTCTGAAGAATGCAGCCCCGGCTAGACATCTACCACTTGTTGGATCAGATGTTGTAATCATGTTCTCTGGGTTGAATATTTGATGAGTTAATTCCAGAACTGAAGGACTGGTGGAAATTGAATTATTCGAAGGTAAAGGCGCATGGCCGACCAGGAAGAAATGCAACCTTGGGAATGAAACTAGATTCACTGCTAACTTTCTTAAATCAGAGTTCAATTGGCCAGGGTATCTCAACGAAGAGGTAACGCCCGACATAACTGATGATGCCAAATTGTTCATTTGTGCATAGTTTTGTTCATGAAATTTCAGTGTTCTTCTACAAATGCTGCTTAAAGCGTCATTGTCGATACAGAAAGTTTCGTCAGAGTTTTCAATCAAGTGATGAATTGAAAATGCAGCATTATATGGATCAAGAATGTGTGCATTCACTTCCGAAGGAACAACCGAAAAAGTGGCCATCATTCTATCTGGATATTCTTCTCTAATTTTGGTCATTAATAAACTACCCATACCTGAACCAGTACCACCGCTTAGTGAATGGGTAATTTGGAAACCTTGTAAAAAGTCACAAGCTTCGGCTTCTCTTCTAACTACATCCATAACTGAATCAGCCAACTCAGCTCCACTAGTGTGGAAACCTGTTGACCAAATGTTTTCAGTGGAGCGTTGTCCGGAAACCAAGTTGTCAGGTGTAAATAGGGTACCATTCTTGGAATCCTTGACCTCATTGATAGCTGCTGGATCTAAATCAACTAACACTGCTCTTGGGATGTACTTCTCAGAAGATACTTCGTTGAAGTAAACATCTAGTTTCGCCTGTTGAATTTCTTCATTCCCATGATAATTACCATTTCTATCTAGACCGTGTTCTCCACAGATTTTATCCCAAAAGGCAGTACCCAAAAAAGAGGTTAGTAACGTTATAAGAAAAGTAGAAGTTAAATAAGTATTGGAAAGTATGCGAGTTTCACTGTACCTTCAGCGAGGAGAGCCATTGGCTCCTATGGTCTTCTCTCCATTTAGTCATTCTTAATGTATCAATCAGATCAGACGCTCATTTCTCGCTCGTTTTATGCTGACTCCTATAAATCCAAGCATTCTCGTTGACTCACTGACTTGAAAGAGTTGCAGTTCCACCTCAGTAGTACTTCGATATCTTTACATTCAGTCTATCCCCTCGCATCGTGCCTGATACTTACGACTTGGTTACCGCATTGGCCTATAGCCAAATTGATCTAGAAATCTGTTAGAATGATTGCTTCAAAGTGAACAAAATTTAAAATGAACAAAAAAGTAGGCACTTATTCAGAGGGCAGGAAGGTGGGCTAAGAATCAACTTTTACATTGATGATGATGTTAGACATCAGGTCTACCATGATGTTATTCAAGATCAGAATGTGCTCCTTCTGGAGAGACAGTGATTGATATGCCCTCTTTAGGAAGGTAAGTACCATCATCATACTACACTTAATATTGCCCTCTACCTCCAATTGCAAAGAATGCATATCAACTACCATGACTCATGAGTGATCGTATCGTATCTTATCGTGGCCGAAAAAATACCATACCATTATCTGTCTCTCTCCAGCCTCCTGTATTCTCTACATTGTCAATGCTCCCACTCGGCCCCTAGTATACCACACTTACAATTTCCCTCATTTAAAGAATTCTGTTGAGGAAAATCTAGAAAAGATCCAAGGAAAAGAAATGCTAACCTAGCAAGAAATCGGTACTGTCTCAAGAGACCAAGGCTAATCCAGTAATATCTTTCTTGACCTGCAGCGCATTTAAGGTGGTTCCATGTAAGGCAAATGTATGCAAATGTACAATAGATGAGGGCGGTTGGGAGCGCGGGTCCAGATTTGTAATGCATGTAATCAAAAAAAAAGTTTAAAGGCAAGGGAAAATAAAGATTTGTGATTAAGCAACCGTAGTTTGAGTTGTTACAGTCTTTTTCTTTCCAGAATTCAATCTACTTTAGAGAAATAGAATTATATAAAGGTTTTAGTACTATTAACATCATGTCAGACTCAGCGTCGTTTATGCCCCACGGTTCTTCTCCGCTGACTGCTTCATTTACCTGCAATACATGCGGAATTAGGTTCCCTACCGCCGAACTCCAGAGGCAACATATGAAAACTGAATGGCACAGATACAACTTGAAGAGAAGGGTTGCTCAACTTCCAGCGATTTCATCTGACACCTTTGCTGACTTAGTCCTCTCAAGACAGACGTTGGAGCAGGACAAATTTGCAGATGAAGATGAATATGGATTTGCCATCAACAACAGAAAGACGAAATCTGGAATGAGGCAATTGACAAAGAAAGATTTAAAGAGACAACAAAAGAGAGGTAGACCTCTGGGTATTTCTGCTGATTTTGGTGAAAGAGATCCATCGTTAGCGCCATCTGTAGAGTCAGTTCATTCGGAATTTTCAGAATTCTCCATTGGTGAAGACCAGCATTCGATCGAGAGGAAGTCAACAGTTTATTCTGAAGATGAAACTTCATCGGAGTACAATTTCACTGACAAGCTGCATACCGACTTAGAATTCAGTGACGAAGAAAGTGATGAGGAAAGTGATATTTCCGATTCCGAATCCTACGATGAACTTAAGGAGGAGGTCACCGCAACAACATGCTTTTACTGTGGCCTGAAGCATACAGAAAGAGAAGAAAACATCAGGCACATGTACCAAAAGCACGGTTTGTATATACCCGAGAGGTCATATTTGGTTGACCCTGATGGGCTTTTGGTATTTTTAGGAGGGGTCATCATGGAGGACCACGAGTGCTTGAGTTGCGGATTCTTGGGAAAGAACTTGGAGAGTATTAGACAGCATATGAGATCTAAGGGACATTGTAAGGTTCCTTATGAGACTAAGGAAGAGAAGGCCATGCTCAGCGAGTTTTACAATTTCAATATTGAACAAAGTAGCCCCAAGTCTGGCAATGGCAAGAAAAAGGCCGTTGCTTTCGATGAAGGGTTTGAAATCATAGAGGGTGCCGAAACCACAGAGGATGGATCTGGAGAAGAGGACTCTGAGGGGTCTGAGGAGTATGGAGATGGCAACTACTCAATAGTCCAAATCGATCCAAGTGGTGTGGAGCTCACATTACCTACCGGATCGAAGATCGGGCACAGATCTATGACCAGGTACTACCGCCAGAACTTAGCATTGCCAAGAGACCTCAATGAGTCCGAGAAGACAGTGTCGATCTCAGACAGGAGATTTGCACCTGGATTAACACTGACTGAAATTACGAAGCAGGAGAAGTTTACCAGGAGAGTTGAACAGAGATCAAAGAACCATTTCTACAGGAAGGATAAGAAGAGTCAAATTAACTTCCAACCACACTTTAGAGACGAGATGTTGGGACCAATGTAGGGTGATTTTATTATATTGTTTTAATATATTCTTCTGGTTGGAAGAAGGAATGGGTTAATTTATATTAAGCAGGTAATGAGAGACGAGTTTGGGGCCAATGCAGTGTAGTGTGCGACAGATTGTTGCGAATGCGGTGGTATTATATGTTAAATGTGATATTTTGGTACATATAATGTGATATTCTAGTAGAGATGGTCTTTTTCCATAGAGTCAGATGATAGAGGCGAGTTGTGGAACCATTGTTATAGAACTGGAACTGTCGCTATGATCAGTTCAGGCTACACTCATAGTATAGTCTCATAGTAGAAGAAAAGGTCCATTTTCATAGACACATAGTGAGAAAATTCTCGGCTCGGTTCGGCAGTTTCCGAGTTGCACTATCTTGGTCTTCTTAGATGAAATGTATGTCTGGCCCAACGAAAACTACTGCCTCGACTCCACTACAACATACTTACCGCTCACATATGTAGCCTGACATCCAGAAACTCCATGACAGCATCCATAAACAATGAGCCAGGTCTCCATCCACCTTCTGTGATTTGTGGGGTGGTCTTCGCTTCTAATTTTTATTTTTCTTTGCATTGCAGCAATTCTTCCAGCTGTCCTGCACGTCTGCGCCGTTTTACCTATGCTGCGTTCACGCTGGAAGGTTATGGAAACTTTTGGAATCATGCCATGCAGGATGGAATCTTATCGAAGCGCACGCTAAATACTAAGGAATATATATAACCTAAACTGATTTGGTAGCGTAGTAATTTAGATCATTATTAATCGAAAGTAACCCATTTGATAAATTTTCGAGTTATTGCACTTTTGTATTTTTTCTTATTTGTTCGCAACATTGTTCTCGCTTATTTCAGTTTAATTACTCCACTCTTGCGCTAATAGAAAGAGTGGATCGCACATACACACATATTCATGGTTTTAGAAACTAAATACTACGAGATTTTGAAGGTGCTGGAATCAGCCAGTACCGAGGAAATATCGAAAGCATATAAGAAAATAGCATTAACATGTCATCCTGATAAGACTGGCCGAGATCCAGTGCTTACCGAGAGGTTTAAGGACATAACGAAGGCGTACGAGGTGTTGAAGGATGGAGAGAGCAGGCGAGTGTATGACCACTACGGAGAAGCGGGAGTGGAGGGGGTGATGCCCGCTTCACAGCAACAGCAGCAGCAACAGCAGCAGCAGCAGCAAAGACAGAACCAAAACACATGCCACATAAGGAGGGCCACCGATCTATTCTCACAGGTATTCAGTGACTTCCACGATGCCTTCAATGGCGCTGGCGTAGGTTCGTTCCCCATGAACATGCATATGAACATGATGAACATGATGGGGCGCCAGTCGCAGAGCTTTGCGCAGACCCAGACCCAAACCCAAACACATCTGCAAAGCCTGTTCACTAAGGTGACTCCGGTAAGTAACCCTAGCATTCGGGAGCCAGTACGTGGCCACGACATCCATCACGTCTGTAACGTTACGTTATGGGAGATGTACCACGGTAAAGTGGTCAAATTTAGGCTCCCTAAGAATAGCAAGTGTAAGACTTGCTTAGGGGTTGGAGGTTTCAATCCAAAACTGTGTGGCACTTGTGCCGGTCAGGGCCAGGTGCTCATCACTGTCTTCAGCCAAAACTCACAGTTTCAGGAACTTAGTCTGTGTAAAGAATGTAATGGCTCTGGGGTCTATATAGCCCCCAACGATCAATGCTTGGCTGCAAACTGCCGCAGAGGGTACGTTAAGGAAAGTAAAATTATCAAGGCCAATATCTTCCCTGGATCCAAGCATAACGATAAAATTATCTTACAGGGCGAAGGTGACGAGGGAAGGAATATTTTCCCAGGCGACGTAATCATTCATTTAAAAGAAGTACCTGACAGTAAAATCGTTAGGAAGAACAACGATTTGTTTATCGAACATGAGATTGATCTCAGAACTGCACTTTGTGGAGGCAAGACTATTTTGAAGGATTTCTTGAAGCCAGGACAATGTCTTGAAATTAACGTAAACGTCCATGGATACGAAGACTTGAACCTGATGGATGTTCAACGGGGTGAAGTGCTAGGAATAATAGACAGCAGCACCCCTAAGATCGTCAAAGAATTTGGAATGCCTATAAACGAAGCTTCTGTTGATGGTACTTACTTCCAGAATTCTGACGAGGTTGAAGATTTTGCAGATGTAGTATTTGATTTGAAGAGGTATAAGAAGGGTAATTTATTCATTAAATTCAATGTTACTATGCCTCGCTTGGAAGATTTTGCGAGCGGAGTAGAAGATTTTAGATTGTTAGAGAAAGTACTTCCTAACAAAAGCGAAATGTCTTCTGCTCAGCAAACTTTCTTATCAGGAAACTTGAGCAATATTCCCAACTTTGAGCAGCTCTGCCCACAGGCAGGGGCAAGAGGAGCAACTGCAGAATCCACGGCCAAACTAGTGGAAGAAAACTGTCCATTGACCAAAAGACTAAAGAAATCTTCTAGTTTTGCTGCTGCAGATCAAAAAAAGGAAAAGTACGACTATAATGACATTGAATTGGAAGGAAGCGAAGAAGAAGAAGTGGAAGATGAAAGGTTTTACTCAAGTGAATGGGACGACCGCAAAAGGAAGGCTAACATGAATGGTTTATCAGACTATGTGATAACCTAAGATACGCTAGGGCAATATTTTGGAAACAATTTGCGACTTTACATTATTTGGCGGATATTGGATAATGTAAAAAGTGCTTGTTCTTCTCTATTTATAAGATATATATTGTAATTGTATCTACAGGTAATGTATTATTATTATTATCATAGTTGTTGTATGCCGGAACGGTTTTGTGTATTTTTTCTTGGTCACTATGTAGACAAACGAGATAGGCAGGGAAGCATTGATAAAGATTCTGATTTTGAAAGAAAGGAGCAATACAAGGCACTAATACTATAGACCTTGTTGTTACTCATATTTATGTGTATGTATTGATCCTGGTGAAACTGTAGAGTAAAAAAATAGTATCGATATGGAAGATAAGGTTCTTGATAGTTCGCTCATAAAGGACTTGTCCAACCACATTTACGAGAAGCGTAAGGCAACAGCTTTTCAGATAGAAAGTTTTACCAAGGCGGCATTGAGTAAAGAAGATACGCAAACAATATTCAAAATTATCCGAGAATTAACTGAATTGACCAATAATGGAACAAATTCAGCAAAAATGGGAGCCATTACTGCTCTAGGAAGCGTTTCCGTTGCACTTGGTTCGATCTTTATCGCGTTTTTCTTAGACGAGATTGTTAAGCCAATTTTTGCTACGTTTAGAGATACCGATGCAAGAGTTAGATATTACGCATGTGAATCCCTTTATAATATAGCCAAAATTGCTAGGGGAGAAATTTTGTTGTATTTTAATGAAGTTTTCGATATTTTGTGTATTTTGGTGACTGACACTGAGTCGTCTGTGAAGAATGCTGCTGATATTTTGGATAGATTGATTAAGGATATCGTAAGTGCCAAGTCTACCAATTATGTGTCGATTTTGCAACAGCCCAAGGCAGAAAATGAAACTCTTAATATCCCTTCTCATATTATTGATCCAAAAAGTGGAGATGCTTTCCAAGTTAACCAAGTTCAAGACACTAAAATGGCGTTCTCCTTGCCTAAATTTATCCCAACGTTGTTAGAAAGAATGTACACAATTGATCCATTTGCCAAAAAATTCTTGATCAGTTGGTTGGAATTGTTCGATGATATCCCTGCTCTTGAGCTAATCACATTTTTGCCCAATATCTTGGAGCCATTGTTGAAATTCTTATCCAACAACGCCCCCAGTGACGTTAGAATTGAAACTCAAAACGTCTTGAACACATTTTTGAAAGAGATTAAAGGAATCCAAAAAGTAAAGATTGAAGTCAAGAGGAAGGCATTACTAAAGGAAAAGGAGAATGAAGAGAGAAAAAGAATAGAAGAAGGTAAGAAGCTGGTACCGCCATCAATCTCATCGACTTCGGTAGAGGGAGAAGCTAAGAATGATAAAGAAAAAGTTCTTGAAGAATCTACAATTGAGGATGGAAATATAGATGGAGTTCTTTCTGACCTTGATAATATTTCTATCAAGTCGAACAGCACAGCTATAGTGAAGAAAGATTACCAACAACAGCACCAAGAAATACAAAATACAGAGGAAGATTATGACGTTGATGGGGACATATTTGTCAATGGACAAGACATATTTATAGATTATCCTAAGATCATCGATATTCTTTTGTCGTTCATAAGATTTCCAACTGGTAAGCCAGGTGAAAAGATAAATGACACCAGCAACGAAAATCATGAAACTTACTTGGAGATCCTATTCACTGTGTTGAAGTGGTTACAAGAAATATTGGACATAAACCCTACTAGCTTCATTAAACTCTTCCCTGATTGTGTCGCCATTACTCTTAAGAATATTGAGATCTCGGACAAGAACTCCGATTTCGATTTAAGAAATCATTTTTTGAAATTTAATTTGGATTTACAAGGATTCTTATTTGACTTAAATGAAGCTAATAAAGCCAGAGAAAAAATTGTAGAAAGAGAGAAAAATTCTAATGTTAAGGAGGGTGACAAAGGTGCAGAGGAAAAGAAGGAGGACAAGCTTGACACTTCTGTACCTGTATCTGTGTCTTCATCATCAACAGAAAGTAAACCTAAAGCAGCTGAAGTGAAACTTAGTCTAGATGACTCATTCTTGACATCAGATGCCTCGCTTAAGGGCATTAATTCCGAAATGTATGACGAGTTTACTGAATTTCAGCTTAATAAGACCCTTCAAACGATTATGAACGAATGTTTTACTTCTTCAAATGAGCTTTCAAGAATTACAAGTTTAGATTGGTTGATCTTCTTGTACTCAACCAATCCTTCAAGTTTTTTCGAGGAGATAGATGGTGAAGGTAAGACGAAGATCGACCTTACGGCATTACTTCGATCATCAACAGATTCATCTAATGAAGTAATATTGAAGGTCTTGCAATTATTGAGTAAGATTTCGGAAACAAATCAGGACTTCTTCAAGAGTTTCATGGTTGAATTGATTACATTCTTTGAAAAAGAAATTTCTGAAAATGAATCTATATCCTTTGTTCATCCTCAATATCACCCCCAACAGGTACATAGCCAATCTTCATTGACAAGAGATAAAATTGAATTTATAATTCGAAAACTTTGTGTTACCTTAGATTCTGAAAAGATTTTCAAGACGTTAGCAGAAGTTCTCATCAAGATGAATAATTTCAACTTGGACTTTTTGTATATGATCACCGTAACGTTGAACAATATTCTATTAACCACACAAGAATTGACCAGATTTAGGAAAAAGTTGAAGAATTTAGATTTTTATAAAATTGAGGATTGGACATTATTTGCAACATTATTCGAGAGTTGGTGTCACAATGCTCCTAGTGCACTTTCATTATGTTTACTCACGTCCAATTATGAGTTGGCATTTTTGATTATCAAAAATTTGAGTGAACTGGAAATCAACTTCCAATTGTTGACCCAGTTGGATATTTTGGTTCAATTATTGGAGTCTCCTATCTTTGTTAAACTTAGATTGCAATTATTGGAGCCAGAGAAAAATCCCTACTTGTATAAGACATTGTATGGTTTGTTGATGATATTGCCTCAATCTTCAACTTTCACTTCATTGAAAAATAGATTATCCAGTGTGTCCCATGTGAATAATTTACAGTCAGCAAATAGTTCTATTGGACAATCAAACTTGGTTCTTGGATCAGCTCCAGCAACTCCTGGCTCAACAACTTCAACTGCAGTATCGATTAAGAGAAAAAGAATATATGAAATGCTTGATAAATTCACGAAGATTCAAGAAAGTCATGAATTGTACCATCAAAATGCACAACATTTATCTAGAGGGATCGGAAATGCCGCATATAGTAGTACTTCCGACCGTGACAAGGATAATAATGGGAGTAAGGATACAGGAAAACATCGTGAGTCCAAGAAGGACAGATTAGTTTCTTATGATAATAGTGGAAAAAAGGAATATTTTGGAAATGCAGCAGAGGGAAAGAGAAAACCTAGTGGAAGATTTGCATTGTCAAGATTTAACTAGTTTAAAGGCTTCTTTATTTATTCACATATACTACGTATATATTCATTAAATTTCATTGCATTTATCTATCTTACATATTCTGTTTAGTTTTATAAAATTGTAAGTAATAATCACATCTCATTTGATGATTCGTACCTACTCGAAGTACTGTAAAAACTCTTGTTAGATGTGTGACCTATCTGTGGATTTCTATGCCCAGCTTGGTATCTCAGAGAATTCGATTCAGGTGATGGGTTGAGACTGCTACCATCAGACCTGGAAATTTCAGACATAGCCAGTGCTCCTGCAATCAGTATAGAGCCGTGCAACGATTTTATTTCAGAAGGGTGTTGTTGGTGAACAACAGGATGTGGAGTCTTTGGATTAAATACTTCCACAGAATCAGATCTCAAAATGTAGGATAAATTGGAAACCGGCTGCTGTGGGGGTCTCTGTGTCGAGGTAACGCTACGTTCCCATCTAATAGTTGATTCTGGCTTTAATGTAGGGTATTTTTCTTGTATACTTGGAGTAGAATTCATATTCGCATTTGGACTCTGTTGCTTAGTAGTTGAAGAGGGTGACAAGCCTTGCAATAAAGAGATCTCCAGGCTAAATACAAGTGGTTGTAGTTGCTCTGGACGTTGTTGTGGTGATGGGAAATTGAATTCTTCTTGCATGAAAGTTGAAATTCTGCTAGCCATGTCATCTAAGTCATTGATTAGTCCAATGGATGCTGCGGATGAAACCGACTTTTTATTTCTATGGTGATCAGAAGATGCCGTGGTATTAGCAGTGACGTGTGAGTTTGAATGAGAACTCAACTGTGTTGAATTTGAATTAGAATTAGAATGTGAATGTGAACCTGAGTTCGTGTCATTGGAAGATGTAGGGTCTAGAACAGGAGCTTTCTCTGATTCTTCGGATGAGCTGAGTGTTTCTGCAGACCTATTTAATGGTTTAAGCTGATACATATTGGATTTCAACCCCAGATTTTCAAGCGTATTATCCTTAGCTTTATTCTGTGGACCGTACTGTGCAAAATAGGTCTTGTTAAAGTCATTAATAAACAAATCTTCTTCTAGCACTCGATTCGTCGAAAACGAGCGTGTCTCTGGAATTGTGCTTATTGCAGGTTGAAGCGTTTGAGGAATTGCTGATATAGGAGTGGAAACGGATCTTGTGCGGGCAGTGGGTGGATTTGAAATTATACCAGAACTTCTAAGTAGAACATTGCCAGAAATAGAGCCAGATCTAGTACGCTGAGATGCCGTAGCTGCAGCGATCACTGCAGCTACAGTTTCGGAACTGCTTCGTGTTGTGTCAACTAATTGATGATCTCTGGGTGGAGTTGTCACTGGTTCCGGGGTCCATTTTTTGATTAGCTCAACTGATACTTGCGATTTCTGCAGTAACTGGTCAAGGTGGGGCAAGTCAAACGCTCCAAGCTTACCAAATAAGTCGGTTGAGTAAGATATTTGAGGAGAAGGTAAAAGTTCGGATGAAAGTAAAGATGCATTATGCTCTATGAGATCATTGGTATTGATGGAATCATCATCTGTATCTGAATCTTCGGAACTCGACAATTTAGGTATATCGTTGTAACGATCATTGAAAGCCTGGGTTGTTTCGCTTTTTGAGCTTGAATCAGTATCCAATTCATTTGAACTTAGTCTCTTTTCAGTATAAGTCTTTAACCTATAATCTATCTTAGCTGAAATGGTTCTCCTTAAAAGAACTTCAAGGAAAAGAGTTCTATTCATTTGGGAAATATCTTTACGTGTTAAATGAGGGAAGGGCCTAGAATTTGTGTCGGGGAACATCGTTGCATATGGGATAGGCTTCACAGTTTGAGAATTGAAAAGTTCATTTCTGAAATTTGAATAGGGGTTGTTACCTGAAACTGGAGGTGAAAGTGAAGGTGGTAATGTGGGTGCTGGGGAAAGCGAAGAGTTAAGTGAGCTCATTCCCGCAGCAGCAATTACAGCCGCTATAGTTCCTGGGGATAACTGAGCAGAGTTAATACCACCCATTTTGCTAGTAGTTGGATCTAGTGTCATTGGAATACTATCAGGATCTGTATTTGTAACAATATCAAGTTCAAGTGGATAATCTTTTTGCTTGTTCAAAGTGTTAATGGGTCTATTGGTAGCTGAAGCTGCTGCAGCCTCTGCAACAGCGGCCGCCGCTGTGGTGGTAATGTACGGATTTACTCCATTGTGGGTGAAGCTTTCTTTGATAGGAGATGATATGGTTACTCGTTTCTTACTAAGAGGGACCACCTTTGATTTTCTTGAAGGTATTATGGACTTTAATTGCGGATGTAATCCTTTTGGTTTCGTTTTTGATTTTGATCTTTTGATTTTGGGTTTAGCTGACTCAATTATCTCCACCTTATGAGCTTTTTTAACTTTCGGTGGAGCAGTTGGAAGGGTTGCACAAGTGGCAGTAGCCAAATCTGTATCATCGACGTTTTTCCAAAGACCAATCAAATCAGGTCTCCTCGATAATATCAACTGCTTGAACTCGTAAAATTTCAATTGTTTGGGCAAAATGTCGGCAAGCAATTGATTACTCCCTCTGGGAAAGCAGTAGTCGATAAATTTATCGAAATCTGACTTTTGGTGGAAATTGGGCACCGACTGACCTAAGGAATTATACGCAAAAGAGGGTTTCCTCTTCAAAGATGTGGTCCTTTTTACAGGGAATTGAAATTGGGAGAAGAAACCTTTTTTTTTATTCTTCTTCAGTCCATATTCTGAGGAACTTTCAGGGGCCTCCTTGGTAGAATAGTCCTGTAGCTCTTTTCTTCGTGCAATTTTAGTTCTACTCTTTATTCTATTCCTACTTCTTAGCGAGGCGCTAGAGGAAACGATGGATCCCGATCGCTTAACCTGCGGCGCATCGACAACTGTGATTATTGGGTGGGATTGGCGGATGACGTTTGACTCTCGTGAAGGTGAGAGTTGGTCGATTCTAGAATGAACGTGGGACCTTGGTGGAGATGGGTTCAATTGGTTAGACATGCTGTACTCAATGTCCTGGTAGATCTGCGAGTGCCTAATCTCATCTGTGTGACTCAATGGTCTCTGATTTTTTGTGGGCGAGGATCCTCCAGATGAATCATATATTACCTCGAATGGGTTATGCCTTGCTTGTGGTTCTTGCTTTGGGGGAGACTTATTAGGAGAAAGACGAAGGTCCTCCTCAGCAGAGTAGAATGAGCTATTCGACATAGTGATTCTGCCCTTTTCGATGTAGTCCTAGTTCTTTGATCTTTTTCTTTTTTCTTTTTCTTCTATTTTTAATTACTTCACTACTTCGCTGTTTGAATCTCTCTTTTATCTGTATTCACGCTTTAATTTTAGAATCGGTATACTACTATGCCCTTTTTGTTGACTCTGTAACTAATTAGTGCTATAGGGTAGGAGGAAAAGATATTCAGATTTCGTGTAAAATCCTCAACAAGTGCCTCTGCCTGTTTTATTAAAAGAAAAATTTTTATCTCCACCTTTATCAAAGGGATCAAATAATATTACTTTCAAACTTCCCTACGGCTACATACCTAACTTTCCAATGCATGGTACCATAAATGAATTGTGCTGGTGTCAAAATTCCCTTTGCTCTCTATGCAACATGGCTGGTTAGTCCGAAATGGGTGCAAATTTTCGCAGCCTGTCCTGCACCTACACCTGCAGGGGAGAATTCAAATAATATGAAAGCTTAATTTAGCAGCAAGCGAAAATCTCACACAGCAGTAGCGAAGGGAGCTCTTTGTCCTGTATGTAATTCTCTCCTATCCTGCATGGCAGTATTTCGTTTTGTGTAATTATTTACCTTTTTGTCTGCTTTTGACGAGGAAACACGAATCAAAAATCAAAATTTTAAATCATTGGCAGAAAGAAAGAGACGTATCAATATATATTTATATTTTATCATTTAACGAGGTAACGATGGATAAGCTTAAGGAAGTATGTATATGAAGGATGTAGAAGTGTAACTATGACGCGAAATTTAGTCAATTGGGGCTTCTATCAGGAGAAGTGGATGTTGGTAGGCGGAATAGTGTAGGAGGAAATGCGAGTTTGTGCTAGCGAGCTTGTGAATAGAACATAAAACAATCTGAAAAGGGCCTGGAATTATTGAGTTGAGTCGATTACGTCGTGATATCGATTGCTTAATTCTCGTCAATTGGTACTTTGAATGTAGAGATGTCCTTGGTGTTGGTCGGTGTGTTCATTACCTGAACGCCACTGATAACGATCCGAATCTCCCTAACTAAAATTTCGCAGAGAGGTGCTTTAAGCTTTAGTATGGCTATGCTAATTTTTTTTTTTTTTTGACAGCATAGGAGTATATATTCTACAGCGCAGTGTGCTGATGTGTATTATCGATCTAGTGGTGTTGTTTACTACTGAATGATGACGCGCTGTTGTTCAATAGAACACCGTTGACAAGGACCCTTAGCTGTTCATTAGTGACTTTCCGCATTGCCTCAAAATCCGCCCCATAAATATTTTTCTGTTTCGGCGGCACCACACGTGTAATTTTCTCTGCTTCCATAGAATACTAACTCGTTTTACTAGAAAATCAACAACTTAAAGTTGGATGCTGAAAAATGGCAAGAAAAGTCAGATGAGTTGGCCGATAAGATCAAGGAATTGGAACAAGAAAACTTAGAAAAGGATCACCAAATCCAATCTTTGACCAGAAAGAACCAAGTCTTGGAAGAACAAGTTGAAAAATTAGAATCTTCCTTGGATGAAATCAAACAAACTGCTGATGAATCCCACTCATTAAAGACCACCAACGAAAACTACACCAAAAAGAACCAAGTTCTTGAAGATGATTTGGAAGAAGCCGATAAGAACTTGAAGGAAACCACTGAAAAGTTGAGAGAAACCGATATTAAGGCCGAACAATTAGAAAGAAAGGTTGCCTCCTTGGAATCTGAAAAGGAAGAATGGGAAAAGAAATTCGAAGAATTGACTGAACAATACACCTCAGCCAAGTCCGAATTAGATGAAATCTCTCAACAATTAGAAGCCATCTAATTTAATTGTGTATGAAATGAAGGTGATTTAATAAATAGTAAAGTAATTCTATTTTTTTTTGTATGGCAAATAATTTAATACCATAGTTTAAAGATAGTCTAGGGTGAATTTGTTGTAGAGCGGAACCAATTTCATATCGAATATTAAGCACGGGGAGAAGCAGGCCAGAAGGGTTTAGTGGTCGAAGTTGCAAGGGTTAAACTGAAATAAACCTAATGGCATAGCACAGCGGAAACAAAGGGTTATCACTAAGGTACAATGGACGCGAAATAGTCATTTTAATTGGAACTAATGTCCAATGGTTAGAATTGAAGTGGCCTGAGAATCGGGCAAGGTGAAAGAAACGCAGGCTGCATGGACTAAATTGAGCTACAGCGTGAGCGAGAGCGAGAACGAACGTGTATGAGAACAGAAGAAGAACAGAACGAATACGAAAATTAGGAAGTGAGAGGCTTTCGGTGTAGTACTATGAAAGAGAGAGTAGAGAATGTACTCAGAGTCCAATTTTCCAATTTTGGCCAACTATCACAGTAGTCAATTCTACCTGGTGGTGAGCACATTGACCACCAACTCTCCACACAGATCCAGTTTATCGAATTCTTGACCCACCCGATTGGGAACAGAATGAGAAATGCAAGTCTTAAACCAGAGACAAATGCTTGCGAAATTAAGTTTACTAGAAGAGGGGGTGGAGATAGCCATACATTTTAGTCGTCATACATTCAGATACCAGAAGCAATCTTGGTGACATATTAGTGGTATCTCCGAATGCATTCAGCAGTCTTTGTTTCGGTATTTGCTTATCCACTCACCTTACAGGTATTATACTCCACACACCAAGTCTTCCAAACATATAACAACGTCAATTTGCATAATTTTCGTATTTTCCAAAACTTTTTTTTCTTTAAAGAATTTTTTTTTTATTTTTTGGCTAAGTTTTTTTTTTTACTTCTTGATTTTTTATTTTGCATTTATTTTCAGTTTCCATTGACGTTTCAACTTGTTCATCGAAAAATTCAGTTCTATCATATACATAGCTCCATATGCCTGTCAATATGTCGCGGAGACTCTTGGGAGAGGACAACTTTGAGCCCGTGAGATCGAATTCCGTGCCTGACTTGGCGCATTTGCCATTCGATCCGAATGAACCAGTTCCCTCATACGAATCATCTCAGTTGATGCACAGAACTAGCGCTAACACGCCCAATTTATCGAGACACGCTTCCGTGCTAGACACCGCTGCGATCATACGGCGTGATTCACTTGAACAGGACCTGAGCCGCTCCTTGTTTGCTTCGTTTGCCAATCCATTAGCGATAGGTGGACCTGTAGCTGCTTCAGCCGCTGGATCTGGTTCGACTACTGCACCTGGTTCCGTATCTGCGCCTGGTCCAGGTTCTGGGACAACCCCTGGAAGCTCAGGAGGCAGTGGAAACTCTGGCCGTGATAGCAAAAAATCCTTGAAAAGGTTGGGTTTGAAGTTTTTGAACGCTCGTCAGCACTTTGCTCTTGCCTGCTGTAGAGACCTTTCACTTATTCCTTGTCTTTATGGGTTGATACAGGCTTGGAAGAGAGTGTTTTTGCAAGAAGATACCAATTTTGTAGAGATCAACGGGATCCTGTACGAGTCTTTCACAGGAGCTCGGATTTCGGAGCACTTCTTGACCGGAGTGTGGTGTATAGTTTCAGCTTACTTGTCGTACTCGGTGTTGGACGGACTCATGGTGCGCTGGATCGTCACATACCTGACGTCAGCAGCTATAGTACGAATGTTGTCCATGTCTATGATTATTGTGAGTGTAGAGCAGTACTTGGTGGCTACATTTTCCGCTCAAGGTTACAAATACGGATTGCACATTTGGATATTGATAAGTTGTTGTCTCACTATAGTGTTTATAGTGCAGAATTTCGTGACGCTGAATCTAGATCTAAAAGATGGGAAACAGCGTGCCCGATTTTTCGATTTCTACAAGATAGCTGTGTTTGCAGTGGTGCCCATCGGGTTGGCCAGTTTTGTTACGATGATTGGATTATTAAGGAGTTTATTGATACTTCGGTTGGACCTTGAGGTCTCTGGGAATATATAAGGAAAGAATAGGAATAAAAATGTGAAAGAAAAAGCAAGAGTTAAAGGGAAGACAATGGGAATGAAGAGTGATCTGTTTTAGAACATGTTTAATAGTGAACCTTTCGTTAGGAAAGGTCCATGTATAATTTATTTAAATGAACTAAGAGACTAGTATAGTGTGCGCTAGCAATTTAATGTCTCTGTAACTGAGTGATACGCAGACTGAGTGTAGTACACCTGGTAGGATCTGGCTCTAGTACATTAATGTCCCGGTTCCAAGTGGGATATATGTATATGGTTATGTGCAGGATTTTGTAGTTCCAGTGCAACCTTCATGATTACCCTCTGGGTTACTTCTTTTGGAAGCCAGACTATATAAAGCCATGGTCTGCTATTATTAATATAATTTAACTATCTGTAGCTATATTTACACATAGTTTTCCTCTGTCAATGGTCCACTTGCAGGTACCCTTATGGTTTTCTTCTGCCCACCATTTCCAGGCTTTGTGTGAGTTTTGTGTAACATCATAATTTTTCAATATAATTTTTTCATTACAAAAATGTTTAACTTTTTCACATACTGTTCACTGCACTTTGATCACTTAAAATAGCGTTATGGGTGTGCATATTTTCGGAAAGTCGATCAAGCATAATGCCTTGGTAAGAGTAAGTAATCTTTTCCACAAAAAAACGAGAAAGAGCGATAAATAGAATGAAAGACTGTAATATATAAAGGGCTCTGATCCTGTTGAATTCGGTTTCCTTTAACTGCTACTTATAACTGTTGATATTTTTTGCTCTTTTCAATTTTTTTTTTTCGTTTTAATGTTTCTCATATTAACATACTTAGATTGGTTTAGCTAAAAGAATATTCGGTATTGGTTATCAATCCGCAGAGAAAATATGTGCTAAAGTAGGTATATACCCTCAAATGAGAATGAACCAGTTGACTGAACCTCAAATTATGTCCATCAATAAGGAATTATCCACCATGACTATTGAAGGTCACTTGAAACAAAAGATGATCGACGACATCAAGGCAAAGAGAAGAATCGGTTCTTATGCCGGTATAAGACATGCCTTAGGTTTGCCAGTTCGTGGTCAAGGTACTAGAAACAATGCCAACACTGCGAAGAAGATGAACAGGATAGAAAGAAGATTCAGGTAGATTGGAGAAAATATAAGAAGGAGGGATGAGTAGCAAAAAGTAGAAATAACGAGCAGGGGCACGTACATAAGAATATTAGATTGTAAATAGATTGAAATATATATACATAGTTTCATAAAATAAGTGAGAGTGAGATTACTCACCTAGTAGACGTATCCTATACAACGTTAGACCATCATAAAGTTCGAAGTTAATCAACCCAAACAGCTTAATATCAGGAAGTAAAAAAGAAAATGGACGAGTCCGGAGTCGAACCGGAGACCTTTCGCATGCTAAGCGAACGCGCTACCAACTACGCCACACGCCCTATTTGTGACTTGATTTCTGGCGAGCCTCTAATCTCAAAATAATCAACTAGGAATGTACCACTACCACTGCAATGGATATGATTATAATAGACGTTTATATACCTACCCAATGAATAGTGGATTTTGAGAAGGTTCCACTACAATTGATACGATTGTAATAGAAATTTATATATTAACCAATAGTGGAGTTTGGGCAGGTTCCACTGCAATGGATCGATTGTAATAGAAGTTTATATATTAACCAATAGTGGAGTTTGGGCAGGTTCCACTACAATGGATATGATTGTTATAGAAAATTATACATTCGAATGAATAGCGGAAGTTGGACAAGTATCTCAACTGCAGCCAGAATCGCTTCCAATTACACACTGTATTTTAGGCAGCACGTTACTAACTGGCACAACCCCGTGTATTTTAGGAGACCAATCTCCACATTTGCACCCATGTTTACCATAGTACCGCCTTACACACTTCTGCTTCTTCTGATCTGCCCAATACATAGTAGACTGTGCAAATAGTGCTCCTTTTTCATATTCAGGGACATTACATTCATATTTCCCGTGAAGCGAGACTTTCTTTTTCAAGGTATAACCGTAACTCGTCTTTGCATTCTGGTGCGCTGTTTTACCATCAAACCCTTTATCAATGGATTGAGTGACTTCCGTATCCCACAGTACTGACCCCCCAATTGCAACAGACAGGCTATAAAGGCAACCGGAAGCTTGAGTCAAATTAGACAAGTAATACCCTTTATTTACTGTTTGTCTCTGAGTGAAATATGTTCCCAAGGGTGCACTGGAACAAGACCATCTTTTGTACAATCCACTCAAATCAGTGGTATCACTGGAAGGGTCAGCTGCGACTGTTATATCTTCAATGATATATCCTGTGTTGTTAGCTTGAATTTTTACTCCATCTAATGACAAACCATTCAAATACATTGCCTCCACATAATCCAAAGCATCATCATCTGTTTCTGTTGTTAAGATATCACCAAATGGTGTAGATATCTGAAGAACGTTGATGTCTTCTAATCCTCTTTTGTTAATATCTTCAAGGCAGTTGTTTGCCATTCCAATCGACATCAGTACAGCACGAGAAATGAGAAGCATTGATATTATGAGAATCTTACCATACAGCATCTTGGACTCTAAGTTCCAGATAGGTGATGTTCTATTCCGTACCATTTTCACTCAAAAAATCCTCCTCCTTGTCTGCTGAATCTTTACGTATGACCGCTGGTTATATCTAAGGGACCTTATTTAGTGCTTTTCTTAGAGATAACCTGAACTACTCCTGAGAAATTTTAGAATTCTGAAGTTCATGACTTTTTAAGGGCGGGGCGGGGCAGGTCAGACTTTTATAGTTGACTATTTCATCTTGTATTCTCTACACAAAAGTCATCGAAATAGGCGAAATTACTTTAAAATTACAGACTCCGTTTAAATGTCCAAAATGCCCAACAAAACATCATGAATCCACCTTCCAACTGATTACCAAAGATTCATATCCACTAATTCAAAAGTTTACCTAAACTCGGCTTTCTATTAATTTATCTCAAGAATTTGGACACTTCTTCGCCAATCCAAATACTTTCAAATTGGCGATACGCATTGTAAAAGATTAATCCAATAATACATTCAAATACACATGTAAGGGTGCTTGAATGCAAATTTTTAGTCAGATTATTTCGTCCTCCTTTTTTTAGTCATTGAGTTTCTTCAATTCTGTATTATAGCAGAAGGTCTCGAACTCAATTTTATCCTATTTGGAAAGATAGATTGTAGCTCTCTTTTCTGTTCAAGTTAAGCCTCGCCCATCTCACTGTAAGAGAAATCCTGAGGTACTACTTTATCAATGTGCACTTATTTGGTTCAGACCCAGCAAAGTCGTCCACTTAAGCGCTGATGATTACCGAATCGCAATTGATATCTCATCTTTGCTAAGTAGCAAGAGATCGATCTCAGCCATTGGTGCAAATTTGGAAGCCATCAAATATTCAAATTGCCTAGCTGAGCTGTTAGCATAGAATAAGTCAGAGATGATACATCAAATTGCCAGTCATGAGCTATTGAATATTTTATCGACGGGAGCCGCAGTTATTTTTAAATGCTTCTCTCGTCTACTAATCAACAAAGTATACTTGTAATCTACTTGGCCGATCTTGATTGTTGAACTGAACTCACTAGCAGGGCCGTATAGTTGCAGAGAGAATTTTGACATGAAGCCCCGATCAATGCGGCTCTTCCAATGACGGACCCTTTGCTGCAGTATGTGCAGTTGCGACATTTTGGAAAGATTTACTTCTTCCAAAATCAGTGGAATTTAGTATCACATTTCTCCAAGATATGTTCAATAATTAGTAACGTTTAGGTCAGTTTTTGGGTTCTTTAGCGCTCATGTATAGTAATGGAAATCATCCTTGAAGCTGAACAAGAATAATCAGCGAAGGAATACGAACACTGTTAAATATTTGTTGAAATGAAACTCACCTTGCTCTTATATCGTTCAACTCGTCAAGCGTTTTTGACATAAATGGGTCGTAGTTGGCTAGATGTTATGTTGGATATGATCTATTTTTTTGTTCATTGCAGAGACATGGAATTTGAGAATTTGAGACTGCGCCTTAGCCAAGGGTTTAGCAAGGGCATTTGAGAATACTTAACTGGTGATAATTTAGGCAAAGAGAACATGACGGAGATTGACAGGCATAGTGAAGCGTGAAACTCTAAATCATACTCTTCATCAGCGCTGAAATTCATTTATATATGTATATTGATAGATTATTTTATGTGCATCGAATAGTAGGTGTAGAATCGAGAAGTAAGCAAAAGGGCATGGCGTCAAGCTTAGAAGAGAGCAAAGAGCACTGCAATTAGTCCAATACAGCTACTGAAATATTTACTTTGTGCATCCCCTGATGAAGTTTGGGATCTTGAAGATGGGCTTCCTGTAGAACTTTCTTCCCCCGAGGTTGCTTGGTCAAAAGTTATTGAGGAAGAATCTGTGCTAGAAACTGCTTCAGTTGATGAGCTTGCATTCTCTTCTTCGGCTGATGAGATACTTGGGGAATCAGATCCTGCGGTAGCACTGGAGTTTCTGCTTTCTGAAGTGGTTAAAGTAGCATTCACTGAAATAATACTAGAAAATGTTCCAGAACTAGCTGTAGAAAAATCCGTTTCAGTTTCTGAATGTATGCCACTTTCTGACTCAGTAGTGAGAACATCCACCTCAATATTACTTGGATTAAATATACCACCATCTGTCGTAATATTCCTTGGTGCGATTTCAAGCTGTAGCCTGAAACCATAGGTGGATGAATCGGCTACAAAAGGTTCTGCGAGAATGCTGAACTTGTCTTCTGAAAACAGTAACGGGTCCTCAGCATTTTCCTTTGCATAAAAGTTCCATCCATTAATATAAACACCTCCATACATTTCCTGTGTATCGGAATTAGTTTCTATAGAAACATAGTCGTCATCCCCATAGCCCCCATTAACAGCAATGACAAAATTATCATCATCTGTACCTACATAAAATATTTGATCTTTGTAGGTGACAGTGCAGATACTTGCGCTGTCATCGCAAGTAATTGGTAAGGCATCTGACTTAGGACCCAAGAAGAAATATAAAGTCTCTTCATCTTCTAGTGCTGCTTGGGCATATAGATTGTCAACTTCTGTGTCGCCATCTTCGGTAACAGCGTAGAAATAATAGCTGTTTACATCTGCAACAGCCATAGGAACAACTGAAATAATCAGAATTACTATTGAAATTTTCATTTTATGATTGATAGTGAAATTGGAAAGCCATTAGATTCTGAGCAATTGGCACTACCGTGGTCCTATTTATAGCTGATAAACTTTTAGAAACTTTAAAGTTTATTACTCTTCCAAGAAATTTCAATAAAAAACAAACTCAAATTGTTCTTCGTTTTCTTGGGAGACACTAATCCTGGCATTTACGAATTATTTGTTCTGTATATTAGAGTTTCTATCTTTAAACAAAGATCTTAAGTTCGAATATTGAAGTTCGAGATTGCAACAGACTTCAACACTGCCGGTGATTGAATGCTTATAATTATCTCACATTAGATGCAAAAAATTGAGTATGTGTGTATGTAAAGCAAATCGCAAAGCCACGATTTTGACATATTTAATATGCATGTGGCTAATTCTTTCCTTTTACGCATTGGATAAGGTGAGCCCTTCATTTGTGAGACACACATGTACTTTTGCGAATGTTAGATCTGGGGAATAACGAAGTGCTAATGAGTCAATTTGTGCGATCTAAAAAATGGAAAATCGACTGTCAAAGTGCAATAAAGACTTAAAGTAGACTAAACTGATATGGAAATTTGAAACTATTGGACCACAGACTTTAAAAACTTTAAAAATGAACTACTAATATTGTTAAATATTTTGCTGTATATTCGATTGGAGAAAACAAGATAACTAAGAGTTGAATAAAGAGCCCTCTGTGATGCTCAGATGAGAGCGAAGAAAATTGCAATAATTCCGATACCACTACAGAAGTATTTACTTTGAGCACCTCCCGATGAAGTTTGTGATCCTGTAGTAGCAGAATTACTCGAACCTGTTTCAGAGGTAGCTGAGCTGCTTGAACCGCTTGTTTCGCTTGCTTCACTTGTTTCACTTGAAGGAGATTCTTTGGCTGAATCTGAATTTGTGGTTGAGGTAACATGGGAACTTGAAAAAGTAGTAGACTTACTACCTGACTTTGTTAAGGTAGCACTAACTGAGCTGACGTTTCTTGCAGAACTGGAACCGGATTCGGATTCTGTTTCATTAAAGATAACTGTGCCCGATCCAGTTTCTGTATCGTCTGATCCTGTCCCTGTTTCAGTCTCAGTTTCAGCATCATCTTCTATCACAATGCTGCTTGGATTAAATACGCCTGCGTCTGCTGTAGCATTACGTGGAGCCTTTTCGTTGTAAAGCTTAAAACCGTAAGTTGAAGAATCCGCAACAAAACCTTCAACGAGTAGAGAAAACTTATCCTTTGAGTACAGTATTGGATCATCGGCATTTTTCTTAGCATGAAAATCGTATCCATCGATGTATACTCCTCCATAAGTGATCATTGAGTCTGCGTCAGTTTCTAAGCTAACATAAGGTGATATACCAGCTCCATCTATGACACCCACAACAAAAAAGTCATCATTGGATCCAATTTGAAATATTTGGTCCTGGAAAGACACTGTACACTTATTAGCTGATGTATCACAAGCGAAAGTTACTGCTTCAGACTTTGCTCCCAAGAAGAAATAGACTGTATCATCAGTTTCCAAAGCTGCTTGAACGTACAAATTATCAACTTCTGAGTCTCCATCATCAGTGACAGCATAGAAGTAATAGTTGTTAACATCGGCAACTGCCAACGCAAGAATTGAAAGGAGCAGAAATAAGCTGGACGACTTCATCGTGGTTTTGAAATAAAGAAAAGATAGGTTAAGCGAATTAGGATAATCATATCGAAGAATCTTATGCCATATTTATAGCCATCAAATATTGAGGTATACACATGGAGCATGGTTTGACCAAACCCTCTTTCGTATTATTTTTTAGCAATCGGGTGCCATATTCGGTGGTCGCATAGCAGAATGCTAATAATAAGCTTAGTTTAAAATAAGCTTAATCATGTTTTTTCGAGGTTTTATATTAACTGGTGGAAATTAGAGAATCCGAGAATGGTATTGCCGTACACTTATTTTACTACTTGTGCTAATGGTCAATTGGAACATACCTGCCAGCAACTACGATTAGTAAATTAAGGATTTCTTAACAAGACTTAGACTATGTGTCACTATCTCCTTCTTCATTATTCTTCGTATAAATTAAAGTTTCTCTTCTGACGCATTCGTCTTTGGTCGAACTTAAACGTGGTTCTGATCAGTGAATATGAAGAGCCTCAATATTGACATTCAACTCTAAATTGTACCGATACTCATTTGCACCTTTTTCGTTATCGTTCAATGTTGTAAAAATAGATTGTTTTTATTCTTGTATAGCGTCACGTAGAACATGTTTATGACCAAAGGCGAAGTTATAGTTCATGAGGTTCATTCAGGTTTATGTTGCATACTTGCAGAAAATGAGACTGAATTAGTAAATTAGGTCACATTCGAAAAAATATCTAAAAAATAACCAGAAATAATTCTTGGCGAGCCCAAGACAAGCGACAAAGTACGAACATTCTTTGGGCACAGTAACAAAGTTCTGATTAAGGTGGACATCTTTTCATGAGCAATTGAACTTTCTTAGGTTCGCCTGTCTTAAGGTACCATGCGCCGCCATTAAGCATTAATTTACGCGAAAGCAGCGCAGGGACCTAAGAGCAAAAGAAGGCGAATACACTGTACTAGTCTGAGTGACATAGAATCTGCTCTGTTCTGAATATTGTCAACCAGTCTGAAAGATTTCGTTTTGGGCACCGTAGCTTGGAGTTTGGCGATTGAGCGGCAGCTTCATTTGTTAAACATAATTCAAGTTTACTCACCATCTTTCCGCTGTTGAGAGTCGCAGATTTTCCAAAGGATGTTTTTTTTATCATAGCGCAGTGTACGGCACAGCCATCCATTCGATCGCATGCAACCTCAGAAACGCAACTTTCACCGAATTCAGACACGCAGTGCTCATAGCTAATGTGGCATAATGTCGTCTTGGGTAATTGGTCTAAGGTGTGATCTCTTCTGAGATGTTCCATTTTAGAAATTCCTATTTTTTTTTTTTTTCTCATTTTCCACTGCCTATCTAGTGATCCACTTTAACTTGAAACAAGTACGTGTAGATTTGGCAATGGTTGCAACATTTAATGCTGGAAAATTCATTGGGAGACAATCTAATGCGATATTCAATCACCTTGAAGTAGACCTCATGTAAAAATGCAACAACTTGCTGACCACAATGCTTCGACCATCGATTTTATTTTCATACACTCTGGTTCGCCCTACCATTATTCTTCGTCCCTACTCTCATTCCTATCCCATCCTGTCTAGCTCATACACGCTAAGCTCGCCAGCAATTGAATTTCTCTCTGCCCTGCTAAAATTCTGGGAGGGCAGTATCTGGGCATTCACTTCACGTGATCTTAAACCACATAACGTTGTAACTTCGGTCTATCTTCGCTTAATTTGTTGCACCCAGCTTTGCCCTATTTCACTCTTCACCCTTATCCCTATCGTATCCTTTTCTAGCACCTGGCTCCCATACCCACCGAACTCGCTAGCGAATGAGCATTGTTCTTCCCAGTCCCGATAAAATTCTGAAGGCTTGGCCCTGGGACCCTAATTGGCGTCCTGCATGTAGTCTACTTCACTAGGGAACAACCGAAATTTGCCAGGCAAAGTAGCTCGGAGTCGTAGTGGGAAGCAGTTACCTATTAACCAAGTCTCACGAGCTTATATACCTCTTCAGTGTCAGCTAATTAGTATGCCTAGATTAGAAGACTGGGAGATCAAGAAATACTGGGAAATTTTTCAGGGATTGTCCCCAGAAAATGGGAAGTTGACTGGTGAAAGAGTTTCGCCTGTGTTAAAGAACTCCAGATTGAGCGACCAACAATTGTCCAAGATATGGGAACTTTCTGATATAGATGCCGATGGGAAGTTGGACTTCGAGGAATTCTGTATTACAATGAGACTTATTTTCGATTTGGTCAACGGCAGTGGGACTTTACCGGAGGAGTTGCCCTCGTGGTTGATTCCTGCTTCCAAGGCACACTTAATCCAGGCAAACCAAGCTGTCGCTTCAGGGAATAACAACTACAAACAGCAGCAGTCTCCAAATGGAGGGTCGGGGTCCCTGGACGATTTTGACGAAGATGAATCGTTATCAGATGAGTTTGATTGGTACATCTCTCCCACCGACAAGGCCACGTACGAATCGATCTACAACTCCAATTCCGATACCTACGGCAGGGTCAGGTTTGAGTCTTTAAACGGACTTTATGGCACATTGCAACGAGTCCCCAGATCCGACATATCCTCGGCATGGAACTTGGTGAACCCGAAATCTTTTGAAACTATCGATAAGGACCAAGTGTTGGTGTTCTTACATATTTTGAACCAGAGAGAAAACGGCAAGAGAGTCCCCCGTGGTGTGCCTGCCTCGTTGAGGGCTACTTTCTCTAAGGAGCAGCCTACGTACGACTTAAACCAGATCAATCCAACTTCCACATTGTCAGCTTCAGCCAACGACAAGAAGACGTTCGGTACGAGTTATCTTAGCAAGATCGGAATGAACAGCAATGCCGTGGCCGGAAACAACAGTAATGGCACAGACTTCTCCTCCACCAAGGATAAGGACTGGGAAGAAGTCAGATTAAAGAGGGAATTGACAAACTTGGAAGATTTGTTAGCAAAGGCGCAAAGCACTGCTAAGGAAGATGGGCAAGATAATGAGCTGGTACTTATAAAACATGAACTCACACAACTATTGAAGTATAAGGAGGAAAAGTTGAGCAAAGCAACATCTTCCAATGGACACCAGGCAGATTTAAGTGATGTGAAGACCGACATTGATGAGATCGAGCTTCAAGTGACTACATTGGAGGGTTACTTGGACGAAAAGAAGAAGGAACTCGCCAACCTTCAGCAACAGCTTGCTGCCTAAGTAGAAGAAGAAGGTGAGGAGAGATAGAAGAGGAGAAACACGAACGAATGAAAGAATGAACGAAAAAATCAATCAAGCAGTCCATCCATCCACCCATCCATATGTAAAATAAATGAGTATGATGCGACCTACGCCATGTGTAGAAATGATCTACGCTGTACTTCCTTTTTCCTTTTTCCTTTTTATTACTATTTATTGTTTTCTTTAATGCAAGTCTATGGTTATTTCTTTTTATCAGCATCATCGGCTTCTGGTTCTGGTTCTGGGGTTGGCAACTTGAAGTTTTCTGGGGTAAAGTCCTTACCTTCACCGACTTGCTCCCACACAGAAGAACCGACGGTGAAGTTTCTCCATGCTTGGGTCAACTCCAATGGCTCGTAAACAACTCTCTTCTTTTCTTCATCGTATCTGACTTCTGTATAACCAGTAGTTGGGAAATCCTTCCTCAATGGGTGGCCCTCAAATCCATAATCGGTCATGATTCTTCTTAAATCTGGGTGGCCCTCGAAGAATATACCGAACAAATCGTATGTTTCTCTTTCGAACCAGTTAACACCTTGGTAGATTGGCACAAGCGATGGAACTGGGGAGGTTTCGTTGGCGTAAGTCTTGACTCTGATTCTGGAGTTGTGACGAACAGAAAGTAAGTTGTATACAACGTCAAATCTATTGGTTCTTGAAGGGTAGTCGGCCGCAGTCACGTCCATACAAGCCTTGAATTGTGAAGATGTGTGGTTCTTTAAGAAGACCATGGTAGGTCTTAATGCCTTTGGCGATACGTAGATGGTGAGCTCATCTTTCCAAACGGAGAACTGCTGGATGTACTTGGGCATACAAGCCATGATGTAGCGCCCGAACTTGTGTAATTCTTCAACTTGTTCTTTGTATTTATCTGCTGGGTTGACCAATGGGACATGGATGTCTTTTACTGGAGGTCTTGGTAAAGATCTTAAGTCAACCAATTCTTCATCTTCTGCCCTGTTTGTGTTAGAAGATGAGAACGATCTGGTGGTCACTGCTCTAGCGGACTTGGACGAGCCCATCAACGATCTTGCTACAGTTCCATTTCTGGCTGCAATGTTTCTTATCGATCTCGAGAGCATGGTACTACAGAAATCTCTTTACAATATCTGAAACTCGGTCTATTCACACTGCTAAACGCCCTTCCACCGCTTCTTCAAGGTTTATTTTTTTTCCCATACTATCGTTTGTGATTATGCCTGAAAATTTCTTGGGCTTCAATTGGTTGAGTTTTTGGTGCGCGCACGGAAGGGAGTGTATGTAGTCTGGGTGGTGGATAGGTGGTGGAGAGTTAGGTGAGGGAGATGGAGAGGGAGAGGAGAGATAGAGGTTGGAGAGGGAGGAAGAGCTGGCTATGTGAACGGAGATGTAGGTGGATTTGCAGAGATGGAGAGGTTCGGAACGTTGTCGTTTCGCCCTCAGGTCTTCTTTGGTGGTTCTGTTGTACTGCCCTTCTGTCTCTCTTGGTCTGTCTGGTGTGGGTTCCACTTTTCTGTTCCTGTACATCGCCCGCCGCTCCTCATTTCCTCTGCAGCACCTCAGTCTGCAAGTCACATGCGCAGACTTACCCTGAGGTCTCTCCAGTTTCCCAAACCTATATGCACAAGGGGTAGAGTGTAGAAAGCAGTACTGAGAACGTAGCAGCTTGCCCCACTTCTCACATTCTCAAAGTATATAACTTGAGAATCCACCGCACTTACTTCTGGAAGAGAAGATATACACGTATACATAACTATATACATAAATCTATTTTGTATAGCAAGTCTATTTTATATATCACAAGCACACATATCTAATTCAAGCAATCATGTCTGACGGAAAGAAACCAACTGACCTCCAAAAGCAATTGGGTGAACTCGGTGATGTTATCCACAACAAGTTGAAAGAAGATGGAAAGGACACCTCCCAAGCTGACAATGCTGTTGAAGGTGTCAAAGGCTTTATTAACGATGCATACGGAAAGGTTGAAAAGTCTGATGACAAGGAAAAGACTCAAGACGATATCGCTCAAAACATCTTAGGCAAGTTCGAGCAATACGCTGGCAAGGGGGAAACTAACAAGAGTACTGAAGAGAAGAAAGATTGAGTCCCCCGTGAAATACTGTAGGGAGCGCATGTTTGTTTTGTTTTTTTTAGTTTTACTTTTTAGTTTTGTTTTGGACGCTCTTTAGCCAATGTGTTGTAGTGATAAGTCAATATACATTTCGTAAAAGTGAAAAATTTTTGCCCTGTAGCTTTTTAGCTGTAGAAAATTAGAAATTTCTCTGGGCCCGAAATCCTGTCTATATATTATCCAGAGTCAAAATTGGGGCATAGCAACCTAATCTCTCGCTGTCTCTGTATCCTCCTGAGCCTTGGTTCTGTTAAATTCAGTGGTGTTGCATCTAATTTATGTCTAATTATCTTCCCCTTAATTAAGTTATATTTTTTTTAAAGTTGCATACTTTTCATGCATGAATTTTTGAATTTATAGGAATCCAGGACAATAATTCCGCCCAACCACGTTGCGTACATTATTTTACTAACCATGGAAAGGGGCCTGGTACTGTTTTAGGTACCAGTGGAAACGTAAAAGCTTGGTTTGTAACGCCCCAAACATGGTAACATTGCTCCTATAGATACCCTTTGAGAAATTGATAGTCTTCCTGGACCTGTTGTGACTGATACACCCAAAAGTAGGTGGGTTGGGCAGCGCTCATATACTTCATACTAATTGACTTTTAGTAAAGGTATTAGAGAGTACATGCATGTTACCGAGTTTCGGCCCATTCCTCGAAGTGTATTATTATGTCTCTTTTTGGCATGTCAACTCCTGCCTACAATAATAAAATAATATTTACTGTAAAGCAGAAATTGTGGAACCAAGGCACTAGGCATATGGGCTAAAATACTATGTACTGAATGCTACATTTTTAGCATCAACAATTGTTTTAGCAATGAAGTTTCATCTTAAATGAAAAAATACGTCGTCTTTTTCTCTCCATTCGACTTGGCATCAGCTACTATCAAATGGTTTCTATCAACACTAGCCAGTGTGGTGCTTCTGCCTGAAGTGTCATGCGACATGTAGGAACAATATACGAGCCCAAATCTCATAATCACATCTATTGTTACATCACAACATACGCAATATTTATGTGAAGTACCTATCGCACGTGGTACCCCATACAAACATTTGGTTGGTGCATCCATATGTATGGCTATTTCACATCTGATATTTTTAATGCATAGACGGATCAGCTATATTTCTTTTATAATTTCGGTTGCATTGATATTCCATTTTAGGATTTCTGACATCTCAAAGCGATACATGAATATACTTCGGCTTTTGTTTTTCATATTACAGGCACCACGGTTTCGGCCCATCTGAAGATGAAAAGTCCTAAATTAATTCATATATAAACCCATAGAGGTTAACCCTATTTGTAACTTTTGGTTTGGTTTAATGTAAGCACTACTCTAAAACTCTCTAAATAATGGTTTCAGTTTCTAAGTTGATCAATAATGGTTTGATCTTGGCCACTCAGCAAATCTTCTCACCAGTAGCTTCCCCAGAGCAAGCTGCAGTTGAGCAGTATAACATTCTTCACTTTTTGGGTGGTTCTGCTCCTTATATTCAAAACCCAGGTTACGGTATCTCGACTGACATTCCACCTCAATGTACCCTTGAACAGGTTCAATTGTGGTCCAGACATGGTGAACGTTACCCATCGAAGAGTACTGGTAAAACATATTCCGCGCTCTACCAAAAGCTTAAGGCATACAATGGTACTTTCAAGGGAGATTTAGCTTTCTTGAATGATTATACTTACTATGTTCCAGACACTTTCTGGTACGAAAAGGAAACTACTCCAGCAAACTCTGAAGGTTACTTCTCAGGAACGTCTAACGCTCAAAGACATGGTGCTGCATTTAGAGCCAAGTACAATGCCTTGTACGATTCAAGCAAGCCATTGCCAGTCTTTTCATCAAACTCCCGTAGATGTTACCAAACTTCTAACTACTTTGCCAGAGGTTTCTTAGGTGATAACTTCACCGACAGTGCCGTAGACTTTGTCGTCATTTCTGAAGATGCTAGCCAAGGTACTAACTCGTTAACTCCAAGATACGCCTGTAACGCCTACAATGATTCAATTAATGATGATAAATTCTCTAACTATTCCACTGACTATTTAAAGACTGCTTTAGCTAGATTCAAGAACGACAACCCTGGCTTAAACCTCTCAACCAGAGATGTTCAAAACATGTTCGGATACGCTGCTTTTGAAATTAACGTCAGAGGTTACTCACCATTCGCTGCTATCTTCACCAATGAAGAATTGATCAGCTACTCATACTCTAACGATTTAGACAACTACTACTCCAATGGCCCAGGACACAATTTAACCAAGGTTATCGGTTCTACCATCCTTAATGCTTCTTTAACCTTATTGAAGGACACAACAGCTGAAAACAAGGTCTGGTTATCATTCTCACATGACACTGATTGGGAAATCGTTAATGCTGCTCTTGGTTTAATGGACCCTGAAACCCCATTAAGTCCCGATGCGGTTCCATTCCCTAACCCATATGTGCATTCTAGATTGGTCCCACAAGGTGCCAGATTCTACACTGAAAAGTACTCTTGCGCAAATGAAACTTACGTAAGATACATTCTTAACGATGCTGTTATTCCATTAAAGGGCTGTTCAAGTGGTCCAGGTTTCTCCTGTAAGTTCGATGAATTTGAGACTTACATTGAAAACAGATTAAAGGGTGTCAACTGGGTTGAACAATGTGAAGTTTTCAGCAATGTTTCTCAGTCTGTCTCATTCTACTGGGATTACACCACTACCAAGTACAATGCTACTTTACTTGACCAATAGATGCAACCAGTGTCTATTTCTTTAACTTCTTCTCGTGTACCGTTCTAGTTTCCCCACAGTGGCTGCGAAAAATGAAAATTTTCATTGTTTTCAAAAAAAATGCAACCATATTTTTCCCATACCCCCATAGATTAAAAAGTGAAGTGGCAAATCGAAATTGCCCTATTATATGAAAGCAAAAGCTTAATTTGTGATATTCTCCTAATATATGGACAAAAAGTTTCTATTAATAATAATCCATGTAGTTTAACAACCAAAAAAGAGTAAGCATATGATTATGATGTAAGATTGCTTGTTCCTGCATGTTATGTGACGAAGTGAAAAATGGGGTAAACCAGCTCTAGTATATAAGGTTGCCACTACTTCATGTAAGAAAAAAAAGCAAGTAGAGGATATTGCTATACTTGTCTTTCATTTACTTATTTATTTATTAGATATGTCCACCACTAACGAAACTAACGAAAATGTTACTAAGCTGCTCGATATTCAGCAAAAGCTAATGCTCCTTGCAAAGAAGATTCTTAACCCCAAAGGTGATAAGCCATATGTTGATGAGTATATCACTGCAACATCCAGTTACATTCAGAATGCAATTTCTAAAGTTATGACCGCTGAGGACAAAGATAAAGCTAGTAAGGAAGTAGCTAAGGATTTAAACAAAAAGCTCGAAGCTTGGGTTGCTGAAAGAAAGGCGCAGAGAGCTGCTGCGCAAAACAAAAATGAGCTAGAGAAGATTGAACCTGAATTATTGCACGAAGACCTCGACTGAAGGTACTGAAAATTTGTCACTTAACGGTTACTAATGATTAATATATAACAACTGGTGATTTTTGAGCCGTTCTCGGTGTCAGGGAGAAAACATGTGCTACCGTACGGAGATTCTCTGAGGTGTCCGCTTACCAACAATGAATATGGTGAAGCTGAGTTGTAGCACTACTAGATGAGCTCAACTTCATTAAATAATACAAGCTAGCTTTCAATAAAATATACACATTCTAGATATTTGTATTCTTGCATTGAGCGCCTCTCTCCCAAGGTGGACTTACTGCCGATTCGGCCTCGTACCGTAGCCAGGGTATCTCATTTCCTTCCCTTTGTGTTCTTTTCAGCTGGAATAACTTCTAGCTGATAGTTGAATACTAAATTATGCAATATCGCCATCTTTGTTAGAAGCTTCTCGGTGACTAGATACATTTCGACATATGCTTGTCTTTCATTACAAAGTTGCATAAATGGGTTGCACAATCTTCTCACTTTTTTATGCACCTGAGAGTGCGGCGTGAGTGCTGTACAGATATTTTTTTTATTTAGTATTCAGTACTCTTTCTTCTGTCTATACATTAACTAACTACCATGCAACTCTACAAACTTGTAACTGTTTCGGTCTTATTTGGCTCGGTATTGGCTGCGATTGTTCCTGGTCACAAGCAGGTCAATTTTGATGTTGAACCCAGCGATTTTGATGTCTTCGGACATAGCAATGAGTTGACAGATTACGAGGTTAGCGGACATTCTCTTCTCACCTTACATAGGGATTTGGTTAAGACTCCTTCTGTTAGTGGATCAGAGCTTGCTGTTGCTGAGTTTCTTGCTAGGTATCTTACTAAGGTAGGTTTGACTGTAGAACTTCAAAAGGTATCGTCTGAGCCTTTAAGATACAATGTTTATGCTTACATTGGAAAAACGAGAGATACTAAATTATTAATAACTTCGCACATAGACACAGTACCTCCATACATCCCATACCACGTAGAAGGTACTAAAATCTATGGACGTGGAACATGTGACGCTAAAGGATCGGTCGCTTCCCAAGTGTTTTCTGTCTTGTCATTAATTGAAAAAGAATATTTAAAAGAAGGAGACATTTCATTACTTTATGTCGTTGGAGAAGAGAAAGATGGTTCAGGGATGAGATCTGCTAGTGCCAATTTAAATGCCACTTGGGAATCTGCAATCTTCGGAGAGCCTACCGAATTGAAATTGGGTGTTGGCCATAAGGGAAATTACTTATTTGAATTATTTGTTGAAGGTAAGGCATCTCATTCAGGTTACCCTGAATTGGGGATTTCTGCCACAGAGATTTTGGTTCCTGTCTTACAAGATTTATTAAAATTAGATTTACCAAAGTCAGATGTCTTGGGGCCAACTACCATTAATATTGGTAGAATCGAAGCTGGTGTTGCCGCAAATGTTGTTCCAGCTCATGGATATGCCCAAGTTTTCATTAGAGTCGCTGCTGACTTGAAGAAAGTTGACCAATTAGTCAAGGGTGTAATTGAAGGTGTAGAACACTTAACTTACGACTTACAGCACACTATCGAGCCACAGTTCCTCGACTACGATGTGCCTGGGTTTGACTCCATTATTTTGGCTTACGCTACTGATGTTCCCAACTTAACTGGACAAAATTTGAAATTAAGATATCTTTATGGACCTGGAAGTATCCATGTTGCCCACGGAGACAATGAGTTTGTTGAAAATTCAGATTTGCTTGATGCCATTGAAGGGTACAAGAATTTGATTGAACATATTTTGGGGAAGGAAGAGGAACTCAGATAAGGTAGTTCATACTTTATAAAATAGAAGTAAAGAAGTTGAATAAAATCAAATAAATTTAAACGAATAAATTCAAATGTATACAAATTTCTATATCCATTATAAGTAAGTTCATTATAACGGACTCAAACCATGTATATATCAATATAGCTGAGTGACTTGGTCAATTAATTGGAAGGAAACAATTAATTGTGTTCAAAGCTAGTAAGGCTTTTACACTCGCAATTAGAATAAGATCCTACACTAAAAAAAAGGAAGAAAACTATGTTTATTGCCAACGACCTTGGCTATTTGATCAATAATTAGAAAGGAAAAAGGTGTATGGATAAATTTTGAACTAGGTGAAAAATTTCCTTTGGGGATGGAAGTGAAAAAAAAATTGACCACCTGCAGTACCTCCGATGGGGCACATACTATGATGATTTACCATAAAGAAAATGTCAACCCTAGAGAGAGGTAAGATTTGGTCAAAGTATACCTTATATATATATATATATAATTGAATAGTTCTCTCTATAATACCATGTCTGTGCCTGCTTGGAAGAAAATTGGTTTAAAGATAAAGGAGCAGCCTGCTGAGGTTGAGGATCAGTCTCTCTCTATAACTCATTTGGAAAGTTCTACTATTACGAATAAGCAGGCCAAGAAACTTAACAAACAAAAGAGAAAGGCCGAGTTGGAAACTTCAGGTGATAAAAAGCCGCCAAAGAGGGTTAAGATTCCTAAATCTGAAAGGGGCCCTCCCCCAGTGAAGGACCAATTTGTATACTTGCAACAGTACCATACCGACAAAGATAATTGGAAGTTCAGTAAGCAGAAGCAAAACTGGATCTTGAAAAACATACGAAATATTCCTGATGAATATGAACTGGCATTAGTAGCATATATAGAAGGTATTCAAGGAGGATCTAGGGATAGAGTGATAGAAGATTTAAAGAAGGTTGTCCAGAAATGGAACGATATCCAGGCCGTTGCTGAAGCTAAAGTTATGGCCGAGCTAGAGAGAAAGAGAAATGGTGCAAGTAAGAAGGTCGATGAAGACAAGGAGGATGAAGAAAAGGACGAAAAGAAGAAAACATCCAAAGAAATCAAGGAAGCCACGAAGAAGAAGGCTCAAGAGCAGGAGGAAGAGGCTCCACCTGATGTTGAGTATGCCAAGAGGTGTAGAATACTCATCAAGGCATTGAGTGATGAAGTGGTTGAATTGAATGGAGTTGAGGACGAAGAAGATGAAGATGTAGAAGATGTAGAAGAGCAACAAGAAGAGGAAGCTGCTACAGAAACCAACGAACCAGTGGAAGATAACTTGATCTTTGACACCGTTGAGGTGTCTGGATTCCCTGAGGAATTTGAAGCTGCAAAGAACCCAAACGGAAAGGGCACATCCAAGAAAGACAAGAAGAGTAAGAAGAAGAAGTCCAAGTCTAAATCCAAGGCAAAGCCAATCTCTGAATAGGGCGATGTCCGGGCCAAAAGCATCCACTTAGTACAGTTTAAGTCTAAGTCCAGAATAAAGTCATTCTCTGATTAGAGCAATGCCTGAGCCAAGGCATCCACTTAGTACGGCCTAATGGTATAGATAATTTTTAATGAAAGATCCGCATATACATTTAACATGCACTAATTTAATGTTAGTCGACTGTAGTACTTGACTTAGCCAAGTTATTTTTTTACATTTTCTACGCTCTCTATACTCAACATGACTTTCCTGCCTCCTGCACCATCTCTACCCCCAGCTTCACCACCTCAGCTATGTGTACCAAAAGTGTGTTGCTTACGGAATTTTTCACTCTCGTATGGACCCTCGACTTTTCGGATTTTAAGATTCTCATTTCTCACCAACTTATCATTTCTAATCTTAACATTATACTGCTGTTGCTGTTGGTAATCTACGTGTTTGTTTCATCCAGTATGGCTAGTTTAAGTACAATTCAGAGCAATGCTATGAATGTCGATCCAGACATTAGATACATGGCTATAAAAGATTTCCAGAAGTATTTGCTACTGTCTCCTCAAGTGTCTGTGAAAAATGTGGAAAAGTTGATTCCCATCTTATTCCACCTCTTGAATGACTCCAATGCTGACATTCAAAGTCAAACTGTAAAGACGTTTGCGCCCATGATAATCTTTATGACTACACCGAAGACAATTGATATCATAAATAAACTATATGAGTTGGTGGAAAAGGAGAATCAACCGGGAAATAGCAAGAAGATAACCATCTCAATTCCAAATATGGCGCTTAGAACAATCTTCTCTTCAGATATTAAATTCTCGTACCAAACATCCAGAAACGTGTTGGATTCTTTACTTCCTCAAATCACTGCCACTGCGGCCAACATTGGGATGACTTTTGATTCCATTGAGGTGTTAACTTACTTGATTAGGTCCGTTGGAGAGGTTTTGACCATCGCAGAGCTTCGGAACTTGTCTGACTTTTTAATAGGTGTAGTGTACAACGAATACGGGATGATTTGTAAAAGATCTGTAATAGTTTTAGATAACCTATTGGGTTACATCACTGAAGGAAATGGGGGTGAAAATGAGGATGAAGCAGCTAGGTTGATAAACGACTTGGTCCTTTCCATTGATGGGTATAACAGTAAAACTAATAGAGCAGACAAGGACTCATTGAGCCTTTCATTATACTCTATTGTGTTGAAGAACTCGGTGTCCAATTCCTCCTCATTCCTCCTATCTACATCCTCCATTCAATTCATTTGGGAAAAGATTGACGAAGCTTTAAATTTGGATGAAATAAACGTGGAAGTGGATCCAAACTCTTTTGACTATGATCTTCTTGTTCAGCAAAGTTCCCACAGAGAAGATGGGCTTCTTTTGTTGAACACATTTATAAGCGAGTTGACATTCTCCTTATTAGAACCATATTGGGGCAGAATCTATGAGTACATTAAGGCATTTATGAAGTATGATCCTTTGAACTTTGGAGATAACGATGACGAAGGTGATGACGATTTTGTTAATGATTTAGATTCCGATATAGAATTCTCTGATGACGAAGTCAACGAAGGGTATAATGATGAAAACTTCAATGATTGTACTTGGAAACTTAGAAAGCAATCTGCAATTTTATTAAAATTGATCACCCAAAACTTCTCCAAACAGTTGTTATCGTCCATTTATTCCAATTTTGTCACCCTGGATTACCTTTTGTCATCAGTAAACGATAGAAGCGATGTGGTATCTGATGAAATCTTGGTTACCTTAATAACAATTTTCAACCTGACAGCCGCATCGTCTGGTGCTGCTACTTCAGCTAAAAGGCAGGAAGCACGCAGGTCTTCAGATATGAGTATGCTTAATGAATCAGATCCCACCATACAATTGCTTGACATATTACCACTATTGGAAAAGAGGTTATTTGAAAACTTGTTTATCGAAAAGAAAATCAACAGATTTCCCAACTTTCTCAAACTTATTGAAAGTATAACCAAAAATGGTGGTATTCTTTCAACTGAATTCTTGGAGAAATTGTATAATGTTTTCCAAACATTAAACATTAAAACTGGCGGTAATAGTGAATATTTGAATTTATACAAAGCCATCTTGAGTAGCCGTGTTGAGGAAATCCCTCATAAATTGGTGGTTCACATTGCCAATGATCTTACCAATTCAATTAGGAACGAAAATTCATATCATAATATAATTATGGAGAGTTTATCCACGGCCATCACTTTATTCAAAAGGTTTAAAGGTAAGTTAGATGTCGATGACATAGATCTCAGTGGGATGCAAAACGCAATCATAGACAAATGTCACAACAAGGCATATTCTGGGGACTTGAGACAAAGATCAATATTAACCTTGTGTCAATTAGTCTATAACATAAAATTGCATCTGACAATGGTCACAAAAAGTCTTGAGGTTTTTGAAGAAAGTCTCAACTATGAAGCCACTGTTAAGATTACTCTAGAGTCTTTACTTAAAGTTTTCGATCATGATTGTGTTAATGAAATTGGAAGTAATGGAGAAAGTGGCACATTTGAACTTAAGCTAATTGAAAAATTTGTTTTGTTCATTAATTCTCTAGATGATTCATTATATTATAATACTCTTAAGGCGTTTGTTGTGGTTACTGAACGATTGCAAGGCCCATTGCTGGTCGGAATTCCACCCACCACAATTACCTCGCTTCTTTCTTTCTGTAAAGTTGCAGATATGAAGAACCTTTTGCTCACTTTTAAAATATTCACAAATTTACTTGTTGATGATAATGTTACTGTTAGCAAAGAATTTATTCAGTCAATTATCGGAATTGTTGACAATAGATTTGAAAGGGAACAACAAGTTGAGATTGAATATGACTTGCAGGACTATGAACTGTTCATTAAGCTGTTGTGTAAAAAGATGAACCCTCAAGCATTATTCAATGAGTTTTATGGCCAATTAGATTTAGATTTATTTATCTCTGCTATCACTTTATCAATCATTAGCACAGAAGGTGGACTCTTGGACATAATAGAGAAGTTTGAGTTGGAATTGGCAAGTAATGACAACATTTTATTTAATATCCAATTTTTGGGTGTGGTTAGTTCTACTGTGGAGCTAAAGCATACCAACTTGAGTACATTCCAGAAATTTTTTGATCAGGCATATCCGGATACAATCAAGATTGCAAGTGCAAAATCTATTGGTTTGTATACAATCAGAGATGCAGAGAAGTACTTACCTGGTTTGTTGCAACAATATAAAGAAGTGAAACAACAGAATAGAGAATTAATACTAGTTGCTTTAAAAGAAGTACTACTTAATAGTTCTGACTTAGGAGATGAAATAATTGACCAAATATGGATAAATGTTTGGGAACAACAACAAAACCTCACTGAGGAAGAGTCTGTGAATATAAACAAAGCAGAAGCTAAATATGTTGGCGATATATTGTCAAAGATCTGCAGTATTAAGAGGTTCTACTTGAATGTATTGATCGACAAACTTGAGCATGAAGCTGAACTAACTAATTCAACAAGGTATGTCCTTATTGTTGTCTTGAAACAACTCTTATCGAATTCTGCCAATCCTTCCAGTAATGCTTATGAAGAGTTGAACTCAGTATCTGACACTCTTATTCTTCAGTACTTCCTCAAATCTTTAAAGTTTTTTAATATCATCAATATTCCAATAAAGCAGGCATTAATTGGTACCTTGCTCACTGGTCTTCACAATAAACCCTTATTAATTTACCCAATATTACAGGATGATATCTTACCGTTTATTTACGATGAATTGGAAGCAAAGTTGGAGTTTAGAAAAACTATCCCTATGGGCCCATATAAGTACAATATTGACGAAGGTTTAGAAATAAGAAAGTTATCATACGAATTTCTTTATACTATTCTATCCATTGATATTAATTTGAATTCCACCTATGGAGTAAAATATATTGAAATAGTGAACAATATTTTAGAGAAGGGTTTCAAAGATACTGAAAATGATATAATTATCCTTTCTTCGGTCAACTTGACTACATTCATAAATAAGTCTCCAGATATTTTAAATGAGCAAGACATTTTGGAAAAGTTAATCGAACAAATTACACTTGCCTTGAGCAAAAAATTGAAAGCAAAGCCAAGCAAACAAGAGAGTGAAAGTTACGAAGAATGTCAGAAATCGATCTTGAGCTTATGTAAGATCATCAATACAATCTTATCGAACTCCTCGGAGAATAAGAATACAAGAAAGATAAATATAAGAGGAGGACAGCTTCAAAAGTGGAACACTTACTACATTAATGAAGTGAAAAGAAATTTTGAAATCTGAGACACTTTCGCTCAAGAAGATAATTTCGTCAGCTCATCGCTGCACTTCTGACTTAAGGTATTGGATATACATAAAAGTTTTACTAATTCAAAGATTGCTTAAATCGACAAAAATACTTGTAGAGATGACTAAAGAGAGAAGAATTTTATTCTATGCGTCATGCACATTACGGACTAGAGGGTATTTTCATTTTTCTTCATGTAGTTTGATTATTTAGTATTGTTTATTTTTCGCAGATTGAAACGCGGGGAAATGAAAGTCATCGAACGTTTAGCAGAGATATGAATCATTCACATATGGAAGAGCTGGATACGTATAGAGCGTAGATGATTAGATACCAAACTTGCTTCGAGAGGTGTCTGGAGTGTGGTCATATAAACCCATATGCCAGTTTTCATGAATTAGCTGAAAAAAGAAATCATTGTAAATGACTAAGGTACTTCTCGCTCCAAGCAAAAAGTCCGAAATCGACTTCAGTATAGAGTAAGCCAAAACAACCCATTGTGATGATGCGATTTTTACTATGTGGGGAGAGTAGCAAGGTAAATCTCAATGGATTTTCCAGATCTGATACTTCTGTTTCAGGATCTCCGCCTAACTCAGCAATAGTGAGAAAGTAGAAATCTCACTCGAAATCAGGGAAAATGAGAAACTGGCCGAACCTCAACGAGGCTATATTCCAGTTACATCCGGGTCCTCATCATCAAGCGCAGTCATCATTCTAAACTTATATACTAATAGAAGCGGTTGAAAATCAGTCATCGGTGAATTTCACTACCATTTAAGGTTCTATACCTCATTCATCCAGCAAGTCACGTTGCCAGAAGTAATTTGTAAGTGCTAAATTCTTATTGCACATGCTCAAAACGTCATACAAAGCCACTTTGTCCGCGCTAGCGCCGTCCACTTAGAGCGGGTGTATGCGAAACCGTTAGTGACGTTCCTTCTTTATTTCTTTTGCTTTTCAGGCGCACACGAAACTGCCCCTCCTTTGTTGCAAAATAAACCCATAAAAAGTAACACTCATTAATAATAAATATATATATATATATATAAGTCCGAATTCCTCAAACATAGAGAACAGATAATTGAAATTCCAGTGTTTTTCTTCCGTTTGTTAATAGACATATTGGTTGAGTTACAACAAACATTGTAGTTCTTTACAAAACGTACCCACTCCTTTCCTTCAGAATGTCAGATTTACTAGATGAAGTGTACTTGTTCATTGACACGCTTATATACTACGTAATAAATGGAGTGATGCTAATGATGAACTTTGCGGATACCGTGACCGAGTTTTCAACCAAGGTTCAATATAATTATAAAATTGTTAGCTCATCGTTCAAGCACAAAATGTATAACAATATAAACTAAGTCTGATTCGATGTTGCGGGCAACTGAAGATATAGAAACATGGTAACAAAGATCAAAGTTGAAAACAGAATACTTATTTATTTACCTTAAAAATTAGTAGGCTAATTAAAATTGTTAGCGTACATGTATTTACAAATTATTAGATTAGAGATTAATATTAATATTAAACAAGCGATAAATTTTGGGCCGTCAGTGTAGACAACAAGCACCTCGGTAGTTGATCTATGTGCCGATCTGTTAGCCACTGTAGAAATCAAAGGTCTCCTTATCTGAAGTATGTGGCCGAGAAATGTAGTAAGGTGGTTCTCTTCAAGGTACTTCTAGACATTCAGCTGTTTATTTTTTACCTTGGCCACATAACCACATGCATTTTGTGCTGCATAGAAGTAACTACTCATATATAGACTTAAGTGGTTCTAGAATTGACAAGCGAGATAGGGTCAACGGATACTGAAGAGGATAGTTGTTCCTGAAATTAGTACAAATTAATATAATTATGACGACGTGGTAAATTTTGTTTCAGAATATCCTTGGGTAAAGCTAATTTAGACTAGCAAGCAATCCTCTTGTGTGAGGTTTGAAACGCACATGGTGAAGAGAAGAGAGAAAGCTAAAAAAGATTAAATGGATAAACTTTTCACCGAAAAAAGGTTCTGCCGCCATGGATAACAGGTCATCGTGTGGCGAAACATTTCTTAGGTTAGAACCTTCTTTACTGGGCTGTGATAATAATAATAACTCACGACATTGGTCTCAGGGGTTAGTACCTAGTAAAACACTAATACTGACTAGTACTGCAGTAATGCAGCATTGAGCTTGAAAATATGAAACCTGGACACCCTTCTTCTCTAAGAGTCTTGTAATCCATCAGAAAAGAGAGATAGAAACATCGGGCGTGTGGTCTAGTGGTATGATTCTCGCTTTGGGTGAATCTACTTGTAAAAGAGTAGGAAAAACTGCAAGCATGCGAGAGGCCCTGGGTTCAATTCCCAGCTCGCCCCATTTTTTTCTTCTCAGCGCAATATTAACATCCTAACACCCAATTTTGCATTCATAAATGCAACCCTTCTTTTAAATGTAATGAATGGGCTCTGTAAGAAGCTATCGTATCTTCGTACGTCGGTAAGCAGTTCAACATCGAAAGAGTTACTTTCCTTCCTTATCAGCTGCTTGTTACTTTGAAGTTTAATACTACATTCTTGCAGTATCTTATCATATATATATTACTGGTGCATTTTTGCAAGTCAGAACACTTAATATGCTCTCCACTGAAGCAATCCCTTAACATTCTACATTTGAATGGCACTTTACTAATCTAGTTTATTATTTATACACATGGAGACAGTTCACCAGAAATGTTCAGTCATCACAACCCTCTTTCTAATTTTCCTTGGCCAATTCGGCTCTAACCCATCCTTCTAAACCGCCCTTCACGATAATATCTTGTAAGTTTGTACCCAATTCACCGACTTTTTGGTTCAAAACTTCTTTTCCTTCTGCATCAGTAACGATAACTTGAGCCTTGGTGACGTCCCACTTCAAAAACCAACCTGTTCTTATGGTCAATTCGTTAGAATCTTTGTAGATTTTTCTTAAATTGTTAATTAAATCTGGAATTTCCAAAGTTAAGAGAGCATTGTTGATGGAGTTTCTTGAGAAAATGTTACCAAATGAACCAGCAACTACAAGTTTCATACCTCTGGCTAAAATACAGGTGGCAGCTTGTTCTCTGGAAGATCCGGTACCGAAGTTATAACCTGAAATTATTATATCGCTAGGCTTGGTCTTGGTGTTGAACTCACCATCATAGTTTTCCATACAAACTTCAGCCATCTTTTCCTTTGGAATGTCATCTTGGTAAGTGTATTTACCTGGGTAAATTCCATCAGTATTAATGTTATCAGCATCACAAAGAATAAGCTCACCTTCAATCGTTTGAGGGAACCCTTCAATGATTTCAACAGCTGCACCTGCATCAGATGCACTGTCACCTTCAGCGCCGCTACTGATCTCTATACTTTTAACAATCTCCTTGACATTTGGTACAGATCCACCAGTTAACTCTTCAACACCTCCGATCTTACCCAAAACAGCAGATGCTGCAACAACTTCTGGAGAGGCCAAGTAAGCAAGAGCATCTTTAGAACCCATTCTTCCTTTGAAGTTACGGTTAGTAGCAGAGATACCAACTTCACCATCCTTCAATAAACCAGTACCCAAACCAATACATGGTCCACAACCAGCAGGTAATGGCTTAGCACCAGCATCAATAATATCCTGCCAAGCGCCAATGGCTTCAGCATCTTTTTGGACGTTAGAAGAAGCAGCAGCGACATAGAATTCAACACCTTCAGCGATCTTGTGGCCTCTGATAACGTCAGCAGCTGCCTTGATATCGGAAAGTCTAGAATTAGTACATGAGACTAAGTATGCCTTGTTAATTTTGATGTCTTGTGCACTTAAATCATATAAAGTGTTAGAAACCTTAACAGAGTTTGGACCTGAAATGTTAGCTGATAAAGATGAGAGATCAACCACGAGCTTCTTGGCATATACGGAATCCAGATCTGAATCTTGTTTGTTGTCAATTAAATATTGTATGGTGTCCTGATTGACTCTAGCGTGTGGTTGAGGCAACTTAGTGATTCTTTCTTTGTACCAGTCGATTAAAACTTCATCAACTGGGAATAAACCAGAGAGAGCACCCCATTCAGTGGTCATATTGGCAATAGTTAATCTGTAGTCTACTGGCAAGTTTTTTACACCTTCACCTGTGAATTCAATAGCATGATTCAATACCTCATCGTTGTTGAAAATACCACAAAGGGTTATAATGATATCCTTACCAGTCACTCCCTTAGGTAAATTTCCAACTAACTCTACTTTAGCAACTGGTGGAATCTGCCACCAGGTCTGGCCAGTGGCCCAAATTGAAGCAGCATCAGTTCTGACAATGGGGGTACCCAAAGAACCTACACCACCGTAAGTGTTAGAATGAGAGTCTGAGGCAACTGTTAAGTTTAATGGGAAAGCGTAACCTTCTTCTATCATGATTTGATGTCCGATACCTCTACCAGCTGGGTAGAAATCAATGCCCTGTTCCTTGGCAAATCTTTCAATGTTGGTATATTTTTCAAGATTCTTTTCAGACTTGTTTTGCACATCATGATCCAATGTACAAACGATTTGCCTGTTATCTTTAACCTTTTTAGCACCAAGTCCCATGAACTTAGTTGCTACGGGCCATGAGTTGTCATGCGACATGCAATGAGCTGGCTTGATAGAAACGTAATCTCCAGAGAATACTTTCTTTCCTTCAGGAAGTCCCACAGCATACTTCTGCACGATCTTTTCTGTCAAATTTTGACCTCTATGAAGCACAGACGACGTGCTTAAAAATCTTTTCATAGCCATCTTGGAATCTGAATGTCTACAAGAGGAAATCAACAACGGGTGAAAAACTCTGCCTAAAGAAGAAGATGGTGAAAAATCCTGATGAAAAAATCTGAAAAATTGTGAAAGATTACTAGCCATATCACGTGAATATCTTCAAATGCCTTAATCAACAGTGCGGAGAATGAGTCACTAGCAGAGACTTTACTAGTGCTATCTCACCAATGAAACACTGATAGAAGGTAATCTCCAAACGTGAGAGAGTGCACGTGACTCAACATGAAAAAAAAAAATTAATCTCTGTGTGTGTCAATCTTGATGTTTCAGAAACATATACCGACATGAACTCGACTATAGTTTCGCCTTCAGATCCTTTTATAGAAGTTTGCGATAGTTATTGGTTCGTAACATGTATTCAATCCTCACCGCTTTTGTAATTTCTGTTGCAATTGCAATTTCTTACGTCTTCGTAATCTTTTGGGGCCAAAACATCAAACAAGACAGAAATGATCCACAGGTAATACGAGGTAGAATCTTCAGAGTTACCACATTATGTGTGGTTTTAACTGCCATGTTGCCCATTTTAATTCAATGTTTCTTAAATCCATACCCTACTTTATTGAAAAGTTATCAACAGTTGAAGATCTTTCAACTCCCCAATTCAAAAGACTTGCAAAGTATTCTTTTGATGTGCATATTATATACAGGACCTATATGGAACTACTTCCACAGCATCAACTACGACTTAGCTGGATGGGTTCAAGAATGTAAGGAAGAGCTAACACTGATTCAGGGCATAAGAGATTTGGTATTTGCGCCAATTTCCGAAGAGGTTGTTTACAGGTCTCTCATCTTACTAGTATACCAACCTCTACTCCAGTCAGGTGACTTGTCCACTAGGAGCTTTATAACCTACACGCCATTATTATTTGGAATTGCTCATTTCAACCATGGGTACGTGCTATACAAGGTCAGAAAAATCGATCTCGCTATGGTTCTATTCAACGGAATGGTTCAATTCACGTATACCTCGATATTTGGGATGCTTGCGAACTACTTGCTCCTCAGAAATGACAGTATATATGGAAGCATATTAGTGCATAGTATGTGTAATTTGATGGGGTTCCCAGAACTTGTTCCCGAGATGTCTGAACTAATCTACTACCCATTGCTTATAGTTGGACCAATTGCCTTCTACTACTATTTGTAGCGTATTATTTCAACGTTTCTGCGTGCGAAATGCGGAGTAAGAATATTTTTTAGGCGATACTACTTTGGTTGCAGAAACGAAACAATGAATGTCGAATTAGGGGAAAAAGAAATTGGGTAGAGTTGCAGACGACGTTTATATAAGATATTAAAGTATAAAAGAAGATAAAGAGAACAGAATAGGCTAACAAGGGGGTACTAACCCAGAGAAAAAAAATGTAGGAAATAAAAAAAATGGTGGTTGGGGAAGTAAGAAATGTTCAAATTTAGGACGTGTAGGAAAATGAAAGTGAGGCAAGTAACGAAGAAAGAAGGAACGATGAGAGCAAGTAGACCAAGCAAACGAAATGAAAGAACCCTACCCCCCAAAAGAAAGTAAATAGAGCAAGCGCTACATAAAAAACATGCAAAGAAAAGAAATTAAGCCAATGCAACCTTGCTAATTCAGTTCACCTGCGTTCTTGCGCTTTCTACCACTTTTAAGATTTAAGATTTGATAATGCCAATAATAAATAAATTATTTTGAACAAAGTACATCACGTCTGCATTCAAGAGGCACATCTCACCCTGACTGTGGTAGTAAAAGCGACAGAAAAACACTCTTCTCTTTTTTTGCACCGCCCACAAGCACTCTTGTCAACCTCTCCTTTCGCTTCACACTCCCTTTACACAAAAATACCCAACCGCTACAACTCTAATTGAATCGAGATTCTCTTTCGTACCCTCGTAAAACACGTCAACTTTGATTTTTCGCATCCATTCTGCGCAACTGATTTTTGCTTGTTTTAGCCACTAAAATAGTGTCTTTACCAATGTTTTCATTTCTCGTCCTTCTGTTTCCCTCACTATTCCCAGGAATTTGCGCTATGTTACGTAGATCCACGCCTTAGTTTGGGTAAATTTGTTAAAGATTTGGTGTGAAATTTTGCGGAAAAACCAAATCAAGTGCACAGAAGAAAAAAAAAAGAAAAGAACGTAGAAACCAGTTGGAAACAGAACTAGTACACTGCTTAATTCCTGTATTAGTATTAGCATTAGCATTTCGAAAGTTATACTGAAGAAGACCTGTTGGTGAAAGTATCTTCTTAGCTTATATAAAGGAAAAGAACAAAGGATTTAGTATCTTTTGGACGGGGGTGTACTATCAATACAGAAAACCGGTGAAATTTCAAGAGGTTGAGTAAAATCGAAAAAATAAAAAAACACCAACCTCCAACCACATTGTTAAGTTACAGTGACAAACAGCACAAAGAATTGATCACATACACTCATTTATACCCAGCTGTCTCTATACATTTAGAAGCTCAACAGAACTACTCTATTCACTCATTTAAATAACTCGTTTAGTTCCTCCAATCGTTACGTCTTTGATCGACCATTTCCAATTCCATTTCCATTCCCATTTCCATTTCCACTTCCATTTTTTCAAATTATATATATATAACTTCCATCTTACCACTTCAAATTGCATATGATCCACTATGTCTTACAATACTTATGAAAATGCCGCGAAGGACATAGAACAAGAGAAGAAGATGGTGGCCGCCTTAAAGCGCTTATCCATAGGGAATTTGATGAACTATGATCCTGATCTCCCGCCTTCCGATGAATTCGAATTCCAATACCAGTACGATGATAATTTGAATAATGAAATACAGAAGGAGGCCACTCTTTCACGTGGTAAATCACTAAAGAGACAGCCCACGAAGAAAAGCTCGATGTCAAAGGAAGTGAATATGAACGTCGGTGATTCTGACTCTGTACCCCCATTACCTAGCATTTCAATCTCAGAGTCTCCTAATTCCTCAGGAAGAAATACACCCACTTATCCTACAACTCCTCCAGATCACGAGGATAGGGACGAGTATCCATCTCCGACGACACACTCAAGAGGCGTGGATATAAGTGTAGAAGAAGAGGAAGAAGAAGAAGAGGGGGACCAGGATAATGGCGAAGCAGAAGTCCTGCAGAACTCACTCGAAGTTAACCCATTATTGTGGGTTCCTGCTAGTTTACACCCAGAAGTTGACCCAGAACAATTTAAAATGCATTTAAAGACTACGGTGGAAGATCTTTTGGAGAAAAAATTAAGTAGAAACCCTTCTAAGCGTTCTTCTTTATCATTGTCGAGTAGTAATGGTGACTTACCAATTATACAAGATGAAGATGAACCCAGCGGAAATAAAGATGCTGGTGACTCCAAGGGGTCATCTCCGTCAGCTTCTTCATCTGACGAAACTTTAGAACCATCTGTTTCATATCAGGAAAGGAGGTTTAGTAACCCATCATTGAGGGACTTAACGAATGAGCTTGAGCAACTATCAAAATTGGCAGGAATGGATTCTAATGATGCTGTGACTTTGGCCAGAACATTATCTAAAAATTCCTTAGGATATACCGATGTAGAAAGACAAGCATTTGATGAAATGACTTCACCACCTAAAAAGAGCGATCTGCCACAACAACAACATCAATTGCTGCAAAGTTATGGAGAAAGAGACTCGGAAAAATATCAATCAAGTGGAAGAGAGTCAAGGAGGATGAACCTGGCTGACTACCAAAAGAAATTATACCAGCAACAGCAGTATAAGAATCATCAACGTCAACTCAAATACGAGCAAGCACAGGCACAAGCATACCAACAATCACAACTGTCTCGTCGTCACAACCACCAAGGATCTTCTTCTTCACAACAGCAACAATTGCAACGTCAAGAAGATTTTGCATTAAAGAGAAGCAGAAGGTTGGACTATAGAAAAGCAGTTTCAAATGTAGCGGCTAGTGGATCGAATTTACAACAAACCAAAGCTGATAAACTTAATGAACTAAGGAGTAACCTTAGTACTAGCTTGACTCCAGAAATACCCCAACAGCTTGCACAATCCCACAAGCGGAGTCAAAATTCGAAGACCAAGTCTTATTCACAAAGCAATAACCGAAGCTCTCAAGTATTGTTTAGTTATCGTAATCCAAATGTGCCAAACGTTTCAAACTTGCCAAACTCTCCACAAATGTCGAGAGATTCGCCATACCCATCAGGTCAAGTTCCTATTCAGAATCAAATGCACACAAGTAAGTATGCCCACTCTGCTACGAGAAGAGTGTCCCCTCAGTCTGGACAGCATAGAGTTAGTTCTGGAGAACAAGCATATTTACAACAACAACAACAACAACAACAACAACAACAGCAGAAGGGAGCTACGACATACTCAGGAGCAGCAGCAATTCCTTATATTAAGGAAAAGGTACGCCAACGTCAAGTTTCACCAAACTCTCAATATTTACCTCAACAACATTCGCAATCAATCCCTCAGACCTCTCAACGTCATTCTAAATTGCCTCACACGTCACACAAAATACCAAGTAAGTCATCATCACCATATGTTCAACAAGGACCTCAGAACCAAATGATACCAAATCAAGGGCATATACAACAAAAGCATGGCCAACCGCGGTCTCTGCATCATAGGTCGCATTATGGTGATGGCCAACAGCCACTCCCACAACAACAATCGTACTTTCCTGTTCAATCCCAGGGACAATTAACAAAGGGACCAGGTCACTCACATCAACAAGGAAACCAGAAGAAGTTCCAACAAGGATATTCACCTATTTCCCATCCAACGGGAGTAACCTCGAAAGTTAATAATAAATCTAGAGAGTTGAATCAGAATTTGGACTTATTGAGATCCGAAATAAATGAATTCAAGGAAAGTTTGAGCAAGTCAGAAGGGCAGTCTACACATACAAACATAACACCTAAAGTACAGAAAGCACCTACTGAACAGATACCAGCAGCTCTTCCAGATACTATCACTCAGGAACCTGATTTTTCATTTGATACTACTTACCAAGATATTAGCTACGAAGATTCCTTAGGAATTGAGAAAGAGGTGCTCAAAGAACTTGATATTGAGAGCAATTATGAAAGTGAGAAAGCAGGAAGTTTTCAAAGCCAGTCGAGAAAACATTCAATATCGAGAAAGTTTTCCAATGCCAGTGCTAAAGAGCACGATAATCAATCTCGTCCAATATTTTCACCCACCGTGGACACGAGTACGCCCAACATTGATGAAAGGAATGATACTTCAAATGATTACTTCAAATCTGAAATAAGTTCTAAGCATGAAGAAAATTATGACATCCAGCAAGAACAGGAACCAGAACCGGAACCAGAACCAGAACCAGATTTGGTTGCAGATGCTGAAATTAAGCATGAATCTCGAAAAGATGAAGCTGCAGGTACTGAAGTAGAGCCAGAAACTCAAAGAGATTCTCAAAGAGATTCTGAATCTGAACAAGGCGCAGAAAATGAAAGTTTTCTGATTGATGAAAATGAAACTACTGGTAGTTCAAGATCTCCTAATACATCACCAAGGAAAAAGAAAACATTTGGTATTCTTTCTACGAATACTGCGGAACTTCCTACAAATTCAGTTCAGGGATCCTTGAACTCCAAGTCATTGAAAAAGAAAAAGTCATGGTCTTTATTTAAGGAAAGAGCTGTTAGTACTTCAGCAATCGAGACGACCAATGTTGAAGCCGAGGAAAGTCAACCGAGCAGCGCCTCAAATTCGACTAAGGTATCGAATAGGTCTATTTCGAACCCTGAGACTAGTGATAATAGAAAGATAAGCGAAGAATCTAACCAAAGAAAGTCTAGTGAGAATGCAAATAATAACCATTTGGGCAAGGATGTGGTTGGAAAGGAAAATATGATAACTAAACTTTTCAAGAAGAAAAGAACTAATTCCTCTTCAGCCAACGTAACCCCTGTAACTTCAACAATCATCGAAGAAGAAGCTAACCCAATCCGTGGATCAGGAGTTACAGTTGACTACGAATCTGATTCAGAAAGCGTGAGCGGCAGGAAGGATAACAAGAAGAAGACTGGTGGATTATTCAAGAAGAAGAGTAAGAAGGAGAAGCAAGTACCCCTGTCGATTTCTAATAACTCCATTAGTTCTTTCATTAGCTCAAAGTCAAAAGAAGATGAAGAAGATAAATCATCGACGAAATCATCAGGCAAGAAGTTGATAGATAAAATAAGAAACAAATCAGAAGAAAAGATTGATGAAGAAGAAAGTGAATTGCATGATGGAGCAGATAGAGAAGAGCATGATGGCGAGGGCAAAAATAATGCAAGTGGGGCCACGACACTGGTTGTACCTGCTTCCGGTGCTACTGGAAGTGGTGCTGACGAAAGACATCTTCAAACTACTCTTGAAGTACAGGAGAAGTTAAAGAAATCCATCAAGAGAAGTTCTAGAGCCAACCAGCCACTTGAATTCACCGATTCTGCATTCGGGTTCCCATTGCCACCTCCTTCACAATCTACATTGGTTATGCTTGATTATAGATTCCCAGTTCATGTTGAAAGAGCTATCTACAGATTGTCGCACCTTAAACTTGCCAACCCTAAGAGATCTCTTCGAGAACAGGTTCTATTATCGAATTTTATGTATGCATATTTGAATTTGGTTGACCACACATTGCATCTTGAACAACAACTTAGTAGCTCAGAAGCTGGTAGCCTTGCCGGAGACGATGCCGGAGGCGCTGGAGAGGATGATGACGGAGTATTACATGAATCTAAAGAATATAACAACATTAATGACGACGACGAAATGACCACTGATGCGGAGCATGCACTTTATGCCAAGGATGAGCCAATGATAGAAGAAGATGACTTTGAGACTGAAGAGACGCTGACAATTGATTTAAATGTCGCAAATTATGATCATATGTCGCAGATTGAGGTATAGCATTATTTAGATATTCTTCAATAAAGGAAGATAGGAAGCAGGAGGGATAATTTTGTAGTGCTGTGTAGGGTTATGGATAGCTTCAGTGCTTACAGGGTAGCGAAATTCACAGTAGGGCTGTGGAGAGTAGGCTAGAACGACGTATAGCGTAGTATAGCGAAATCCACAGTCTCTTTGTGAATATATGACTATGAGAAGAGGAATAACACTATAGTGCAAAGTGGGGCCGTAGGGCCGTAGAGGGAACTCTAGACCGTTGTACGGGTGCAGCAATGTATCGGCGTTCCGAGCGCCACTCGGTAATTCGCAGCCAAAATACGTCAAGATTGCGACTAAATAGAGCCTAAAATAGGGCCTTGAAAAAAGGAAATAGTGTGAAACACGGTAAAAAAAAAAAAAGAGAATAAACAAAGAAAAAAGAAAAGGAAAAAAGAAATAAGAAATAGGAGAGGTTGCACGTTCTGTATACAGTGCCCGAGCCTATGCCTAGCAAGTAGTACTAAAACACGTAACGTCAGCTAATGTGTTACCCTTCCATTGGCTGACTTTCTCGGTACACTTCCCGAACAGAAGAACCTCAAGCATTGCAAAATGTTTCGATTTACTATGCTCGTCACAAAAAAAAACACGCACCAAGAACCTCGCCAAATCATCTGATTCAAACATGAGTTGATTTGATCATCCCATGCCAGTAAATTTTTTTTTTCACGCTATTTTGTTGTTTATCTATGGGGAGCAGGCTTCGCCTGCCGCGGTACCTAAGGCACTCAATTTTGCTTTTGTATTTTTCAGTACCGGCGGAAAAACTGGGAAGACACATATAGAAACTCTTTCGTCTGTTTGTTCTTTTGTTGCATTTGTTCTTCTTGCTTTTCTTCAGAGTTTTTTTCATTCTGTAAGCTTGCATCATATATTATGTCTAAGAACTTACCACTTATCTCCGCAACGGAGGTGCAGAAGCACAACAAAGAAAAAGACGCCTACGTAACTCTCTTTAACAGAAAGGTGTATAACATCACATCGTTTATCGATGAGCATCCAGGTGGAGGCGATATAATATTACCATATTTGGGTAAGGATATAACCGAAATTATGGCAGATGAGATCTCTCATGAACACTCTGAAAGTGCCTACGAGATGCTTGACGACGACATGCTTGTTGGATACTTAGCTACCGATGAAGAAGAAAGAGAGTTACTTAATAACAAGAAGGGAACTCCAGTGGAAGTGAAATTAACCAAGGAGGCCGAGGAAGTAGACCTCTACGAATTCCACAGCGAATTGCCCCCAGAAGAAAGTTTGTCTGTTCAAACCGATTTCGAAGCTGACGCCAAGAAGCACAAGTTCTTGGACTTGAACAAACCGTTATTGTTGCAGGTGTACTTCGGTGGGTTCTCCAAGGATTTCTACTTGGATCAGGTCCACAGACCTAGACATTACGGGAAGGGGTCTGCTCCATTGTTCGGAAACTTTCTTGAAGGATTATCATTAACCCCATGGTGGGTTGTTCCAATAGTGTGGTTGCCTCCTAATATGTACTTCTTCTACCTTGGATGGAGTGGACAGTCTCACCTCACAGCCTTGAGTTTGTGGGTGTGTGGACTTTTCGTGTGGACATTGGTTGAATACTGCTTGCACAGATTCCTTTTCCACTTGGATGGATACTTGCCAGACCACCCTGCTGCATTAACCTTGCATTTCTTACTTCATGGTATTCACCATTACTTGCCAATGGACGGGAAGAGATTGGTGTTACCCCCAACTTTGTTTTGCGTGTTGGCTTATCCATTCTACAAGCTTGTCTTTGCAATCTTCCCATACTACATGGCCTGCTCAGGATTTGCTGGTGGTACTCTCGGGTACATCATGTATGATTGTAGTCATTACTTCTTACACCATTCCAAGTTACCTCTGTACTTGCAGAGAATCAAGAAGGTCCACTTGGAACATCACTACAAGAACTATGAGCTTGGGTTTGGTGTAACTTCCGATTTCTGGGACGTTATCTTTGGTACTGAAATCGTAAAGACTTTTGAAAAGAGAAATTAGAACCCATGTCCATGGGAGGAAGGTAATTGTATGTGGACTACGATTTGTAATTTATTTTGTTTATATTTTTATTTAGGCGTCAGCAGCACTTGCTGACACAGAGGTCAAGGGAAAATTTACTGTGTGATATGATATGATATGATATGAGTATTTGAGTATATAATAAAACCAATAAATACATCAGACTCTGTATGCTGTAGCAAGAAAGAACACATTGCTTGCTTGTACTTTCTTTCAATTATGTAATGTAGGTATCTTCATCTATGGCTAGACTGGACACAGCAAGTGCTCTTTTCTCCTGTTCACTGATATCGAAACTTTCGGGTATATGTCTTGTCGCCTTTAGCTTCTTCCGGGGAATATTGAACTTGTTTTCCCACGATAGCGCTTGCAAGCGTTCACGAACTTCAAGAGTCTTCAAAAACGTCTGTCTCTTCGCTTGCATGCCCGTCTCGTAAGATGATTTCTTTCTCTGAGTTCGTATTTTGTAATGCTGGTACGATAGTTGAGACCTGCTGTCGGGAAGCCTCCTCTTCTTTGAGTCTATTTCATCTACGAATGTATCGTAGTCGAAGACAGGAACAACTAGGTCGTCGTCGGCGTCATCGCCATCTGATTCACCATCTTCATCACCTTCCTCCGACGCCTCATCAGTGTTGGACTCAGCATCTACAATGTCTTCGTCACCGTTGAGTTCAGTGTTTCCCACATACACTGGGCTCTCCTCATATTCGTACTTGTACTGGAAAGCAAACAACTCAGTTAGCCTTGCGTATATATCCCTGTACCAGATCACGTCGACGTTCTCATTGTTCTCTATATCAGCATTGAGCTTTGCTAGTAGGACATCCAACCAATTCATAAGCTTTTTACCATGTCTACGCGTAGCTGCCACCAACCTTGTTTCTATCAAAGCGTCTAGTATGTCATCGACTTGGCCCGTGAGCTTGTCCACCATGGATCGGATAAGATAGTCTTTAATCTCAACTACGGGAACCAAATTCTTGGCAGCTGGTTTCCCTGTATTCTTCTTCAATTGCTGGTGCACCTTTGAGTATATTTTCCTCTCAATTAGCGCCTTGAGCTCGAGCTTCAAGTCACTCTCTGACGAGGTGATTCGTTCCTGTACTTTAACACCATGGAACAGTTTAGTCCTGGTAGACTCTTGATCTGATTCGTCATTTTCAACGTTGAACGGATTGTCGTGCATGTATGTTGTGACAGTTTTGGGATCTGGAACTGTATCGAACGACTGGGGCCAGCTAGACCAATTCTCTCGAGGGAAGATGGGGTCTACTTGATGGAGCAAATGCGTAGAGTATAAATGTATGGCCAAATCATGGGTATATTCATCCTCGAAGTTTTCGAGAATTGTGTCAATTTCCCTTTTATTTGCCATCTTGGGGACCTAAGGCGCAGAACGGGCTAAAAAGGAAAATATAGAGGAGTGAAACTCACCAGTATGAAGATATTGAAGTTGGTATGGTTGTTATGGTAGCATCCATGCCATGCTATATAGTGATCGAATCCTGCACATAACACAAGCCTGCTGCTGATGATGTAAAGGCTCCATGGAAGTGTATACCCTAAGTGTCGTTCTGTGATAGAGTTGGAGAAAGTCATTACGCTAGAGTGATGCTTCACTGCTGGAGAGCTCGCTGCCGACCACTGGACCTAGGATATCTGCTAGTCAGTTGGTAGGTATTGACTAAACCAGTATGTATTACTTTATGCAACCAACTGATCTGCATGCAGTACAACAATGTACATTCTAGGTATTTTTTATGGTAAAAATGGTGGAGTCTTTACGTTAGAGAAATGCTTCACTGCTGGAGAGTTCACCGCTGACCTTAGATTCTAGAATATCTACCAGTATTGGGGTATTGACTACACATCGTTATATACCACTTCCTGCAACCTACTGATCTACATGCAGTTCCACAAATCTTTTTTTTTTATTTTTTTATTTTTATTTTTTGTATTTGTTTTTTATTTTTTTATTTTTCTGAGTCACCTGAAAAATTTGCTCCAGCCTTAGCTACGCAAACGCCGGCTTATCTCCTCATCACCAAAATTTTTCACTCTTCTCTCTAGCTGATCTCTATATAAAACCTTTGCTTCCTCCTTTTTTGTCCTTTTAATATTTTTTTTTTTCGTCTCTCTCTTTTTTTTTTCTCTCTTCCTCTTCCTCTCTCTCTTCCTGTTCCTCTCTTCCTTTCTCTCTTTCTCTCTGTAAAACCCTTTGTAATCACCATGGAATCATATCAAACTAAATTTCTCGACTCTGCTTTAGAATCCTCAACTCTCAAGTTCGGATCGTTCACCTTGAAGTCAGGTAGACAGTCTCCTTACTTCTTTAATTTAGGATTTTTCAGCACTGGTAAGCTTGTTTCCGATTTAGCAACTTCGTACGCTCAAGCTATTATTAAAGCCGGACTTAAGTTTGATATCATTTTTGGACCTGCTTACAAGGGGATTCCACTCTGCGCTATCACCGTTGCTAAGTTAGCTGAGTTAGACCCAGAAAACTATGGTCATATCGGTTACTCTTTCAACAGAAAGGAAAAGAAGGACCATGGTGAAGGTGGGTCTATTGTTGGTAGCGCTTTAGAGGGAAAGAAGGTCTTGATCATCGACGACGTTATGACCGCTGGTACAGCCATCAACGAAGCGTTTGAAATCATCTCTCAAGAGAAGGGTGAGACTGTCGGTTGTATTATTGCTTTAGATAGACAAGAAACCACCAAAGATTCTGAAAAATCAGCAACCCAGGCAGTGTCCCAAAGATACGGAATTCCTGTTATCTCTATTGTCACTTTATCTGACATTATTGCTCACTTGAGCGACAAGGTTACTCCAGAGCAATTGGCCAGTATCAAGGAGTATAGAGCTACTTATGCTCCTAAATAGGTACCGAATAAAGGCACTGAACACTTCAAAAGCGATTGCCTCAGAAAGTATGTCTACATGGAATTCAGAGCGAAGAGCCACTACAAGGTAAGTGAACTAAAGTAATTACTTAGATTTAGAGATATATGAATTAACAGAAAGCTGAGTACGCATATATAGTAGCTGATCTGTGAGCGGGAGTGGCCCCATCAGCAGCCCAACTCCCCTTTCTTTCTCTTCTACTATCGGATTGTAGTCTCCATCAACCTTCCCTCTCCCTCCCCCTCTCTCTCTCGTTATTTCCCCATGTACCCTTTACTACATTGACCTATCCTCTGATCATCTTCACTTTCTTCTTCATTTTGTTTGGGTTTGGCGCCTTAACTGGGGCTACCTGCTCCGGTTCCGGGTCGTAAATGCTCTTGGTCATAGGATGCTTGATACTGAGCGGCGAGTGCACCGGCACAATACTATTCATCTTGAAACCCTTGACCTTAGGGACTTCTTCTGGTTCGAAGTTTCCTCCTACTTCGTACTCTCTAGGCAAAGGAATGCCGCTCTTGGGCCCAATGCTGTCCAAGGTAGTTGGGTGTGATATAAGGTAGTCTGCAATGACATCCAAGAGTTCTCTCTTGGTCTTGAATCTTTGGTCTTGTGGGGTTCCGTTTTCCTTGATGAATACCCGCACTCTACCAGGATTTCCAAAGTCCTGCGGGTGTGTCTTGTCAAGTTCTAACATACACTGGAGAAATAAATGACGACATGCATCGGAAATGGTCTTTGCCAATGGGTTGTTCACGGCCTTTGAGGAAGATACTCTTCTCCCTTCCTTGTGTGATCTGTTCTTATCGAAGTAGCAAGGGTAAATAAGCTGGAATTTTTTAAGATGGTTACGTTCTTCTTCGGTGAATTTATTGGGATCAACAATCGAAGGGTGTTCCTTCGAGGTTGGTTGGCTTTGGGGCTGTTGTTGCACCTGTGAATACGAAGACTGCATGACTGGTGGTTGCGCTCTCTGTATAGGTGCTATTGGAGTTCTAAGCTGCGGATCGAACTGAGCGATGTCTAAATCCATGTCGATGTCATCATCGTCCACTTCCTCTAACACTGGTCTATTAGACATGTTGATAATCGGTCCCTGGGCTCTTTTATTGGCAGTTAACCGTGCTCTAATCTGTCTTGATAACTCGTGGAGTTGGTCGGTCGTTGAAAAAATTGCCAAAATCAGCGAGCACAGCTTGGTTTATATGCAGGCCAACATGATAGCACGAAAAGTGTGGAACATCAAGGCAGCGATTGAAAAATGTGAAAAACAACGTAGGTGGTAAGAAAGGTTACTTTATAGAAGGTTATTTGGGTTGAAAGGCTATTTATTTTCGGCTAGACCTGATCATGAATGACACATCACAAGTACTATCCGACTGTTTGGCTCTTCTTTCGTCTCCTGCACACGAGAAGTATCCATCTCTGAGCGGAAGAGGGTCTTCACATTTCAATTCACATCCGGACATCCAGTACTTTAAAGAGATCAAGGATAAAAACCACTATGAATACCACAAACTGAAGTACAACAGCAGTAATATAAACCACAGCAAGAGCTTGAGAGGTAACGATGTACAGGTATCGATACAGAATGTTCTCAGCCCGCAGAAGCTGGTGCTTCCAGCGCAGCTGACTGGCTCTTCTGTACCACATACCGACCCTCGCATTAACTTCAATCCACATGATAGGTCTTCGCTCATACTGCGCTTGTCTACCTTTTCTGTGCTAAACTGGCAGGTACCTGACTTGGGGCTCACTGCGGTGGACTTGAACGAACTTACCTGTGCAAGAAAAGGTTGGAAATGCCTAAAGGGGACCAGTCCTAAGAACACACTCAGTTGCACATACTGTCACTCAGTGATGCAGCTTAAATTCAACGATGCTTCTACAGGCGCAAATACTTCGTACTTTCCCTTCGACTTCGATGCGGATGATTATATGGAGCTAAATGTGGCATTAGCTCAAAACTACCTCAAACAAATCAGATATCAGGGTCATGACGATAACTGTCTCTGGAGAGTCTACGAGACTCCACTTGACGGTGTGTACTATCCGAGGCCCTACATAGACGAGACTAGCATCGAGTTAGTCGAAGATTACTTGAAGAATCTCAAAGCACTCACCGATAATAACCATCTTATAGTAGACTTGAGACCCATATTCAAAAATTCAGTGAATTTCCAGCCGCCTAGTCCCTCTGAAGAGTTCATATCTAAGTCAAACTCGCTTCTCGTTGAAAAATACTACAAAGAAGACCAGGAAAATTCCTACTACGATATCCAATTAAATTCAAATATTCCCGGGTGGATGTACCGAATAGCAGCATTGGGATGGAGCTTACATGTGCAGTATTTCTCACGCCAATATGTGATACTCTTGGTCTGCTCCCAGTGTAATAGTAGAGTGTTTTTACCACAGAACCAGAACCAAAATCAGAGTCAGACCCAGGGTGAACTTAATTTGTCTCCACTGAGAATACTCACTCCTTGCAAGTACCCACCATTCATTTCCAATGTAGCCAACAATGAGAGCATATTCGATGATGTTGAAGAAGAGGAGCTTTCCAAAATAGATATAGTTAACGAGCACAAGCCTTGGTGTTGTCACCTAAAACAATATCCTCACAACAGAACTTTGGAAGATCTTTTATTTGAATTAATCTTAGTAGAAACAGAAACCAATACAACCAAGTCTACAAAGCGTAAGTCAAGTCTGGAAATCGCTGAGAACTTAAATAGATTAAACAAACTCAGGAAAGTCTTCTTGAATCAAAATTAGCCAAAAGATATATAATATACTATACTATTCAATCCGCACTCATGCATTTCATTTGTACTGTAAATACTTGTGCTTCCATTACAATAGATTCGTTTTTTGCATATTAGGAAGTAGAAAGCTACAATTTCTTATCTAATTTATTGATAATCGTGTATTTAAAAAAACATTGTATGAAAGCAAAAAAACCTATTTTAAAAAGAGTGTCCAATATATCGAAAAGATTTTGTACGAACTAGAGAAACAAGTGAAAAAAAGAGTCCACACATGTCTTAAACCTGATTGAGCGAGTATTTTGAAAAAATAACCAGTTATTTCTTTAAGCAATTGTACAACCTTGAAGGATAGTTGATCTGCTTGGTAAAGAAGTAAGGACGTAGTTGTCCTTGTCTTCGGATTGCTTGGTGGAAGAGTTGTTGTTGTTACTGTTTTGAGCGGCCATTGTAAATTGTAATTTTCAGTTTTGAATGATGAAGGAAATGAAAAATAACTCAAACCACTGGATTGAAGATGGCTTTATATAGTTCAATTGGGTGCAAAAGTCTAGCTAGACAATTAGTTGATGATGCTGCAATTGTCGCAGACCACCTTCCTAATTAAGATTTTTAATGCTAGTATTAAATGTATGCATATGCATGTAATCTAGTGAAAAATTACGTACTATACCACACAGAAGATTCACAATAGGAAATTGTTTCATATATCTGACGATGTAATGTATTTTTTATGAATCTGTAGGACCAAATTGAATTGCAATGTACGCAACTCAGAAAGATGTACTTTGTCTGGCTATATCGATGGCAGCAAATGAAAAAGTGGTAGTGATAACAACCACATTGGAATAGGGGCCCAGATTAGAGAAAGAAAGGGTTTCAAAAGACTACTTTAATTGATTACAGAATTACATGCCGGTGGTGTTATTATCAATAACTCAGTGCTGAAATCAACCACTTTCTTATCTATAGTAGGAACAAACATAATATTTCTGGGAGAGTCAATTTGCCTCGTAAATTACGTTCACTGGATCTCATGTCGGCCGCCTAATTCAGATGTAGTTCCAGTCAATTGCTTCCTCTAAAGTTCAACATGTCTGACACGTTGTCTAACTCGGCAAAATACCTTCAAGCAGTATCGGACTGCCACTCATTTTAATATCCTATCAATCTACATCAGTAATCTGTTATGTTGTCTGTAATTATTCATGTATTCGTATTATTAGTTGCTCTCTTGTATCTCTTAGGCTAAATATATTTATGATGTTGGTGGAGTACTGAAATCAACTATCTCAATAAAAGTCTCGCGGGTATCATTGGCACTTCTGTCAACAGCAGCAACACAACGACAGTAGTCAAATCTAACTTGCCATATACATCCAGTAATATCTGCTAATAAGTCTCTAACAAATTTTCCAGTTTGTATATCCCATAGTTTTAACATCTTTTCGCTCCCACTAACGATCCTAAGATTGTCGTGTTGGAAGCAGGTTATAGCTGCAGTGTGACCCTCTAATTTACTCAAGTTTCGACCAGTTTCAGGGTCCCAAACTCTTAAAGTGGCGTCTGCTGCTGCAGAAACTAGATACTCTTTGGACAATTCCAATAGTCCAACAAGAGACAGGTGACCTTCCAAAGTATACAATAATTTACCCTTCTCAAAATCCCAAACATTAATGGTAGCATCCATGCTACCCGAGTAACACCTTTTGTTATAGAAATCTAACGCCGTAGAATATATTTTGTTTTGGTGACCTCCTAAAATGTGCTTACATTTACCTCCATCTAGCAAGTCCCAAACTCTAACAGTTGTATCGTATGAACCTGATACAATGATATTTCCATATCCTGATACAGATCTAACAGAATGAGTATGCCCTGATAACACGGCAACCAAGTATGGATTGTCCAAATCATTCGCATTACTTCCACTTGTATCAACTTCTATCGGATCAGATTTTCCGTCGTCTTCTTCAGTATCATCTTCGTCAACTAATGGCAATCTCCAAACATGCAAATTATGGTCTCTAGACCCCGTTACCAACAATGGTGTTTGAGGAAATATTATATCTTCTCCATTATCATCGGTACCAATCTTAACTGGATGTAATATATCTAAACATCTCACTGTTGAGGTGTGACCTCTAAACACTTGAGTACATTTCCCAGTCTTGATGTTCCAAACTCGTACAGTTCTGTCGGTGGATCCACTTACCAAAGTATTTCCAGTATACTTCAACGCCCAAACCCCACCTTCATGTCCTTTTAAGACCTTCAATAATTTACCAGTTTTTGAACTATTGATATTGATTAGCTTATCATCAACTCCTGTGATAATCTTCTCATCGTCATGTTGTAAACAAGTTACTACGTTGGATCCATTGGTACCATGTCCGGGTACGCTTATTCTTTTCGGTTCGTATTTAGGATCCATCCATCTATTTAAGATTATTCTTCTCTTTTTGAAAAGTAATTGAACGTAATTTAAGTTTGGTGAATTTGGAATAGTAGACCACTTACTTAATTCGTCTCTTTCATACTTCAATTCCCTTTCGATTTCTTCATCTCCAGTGACTAATTTGTCGCGTTTCAATAGATCAGACCAAATCCCAGTACTGTTTATTATGCGATTCCAATTAGAACATACTCTTGAGAGGGAACAAACTGTTTTGTAGTCCAATTTTTTCAATATGCTGTATGAGATTTCCAAAGGTAAATTGGATATCAAATCTCTTTTCAAGCTTTGTCTAATGATGTCGTTAAATGAGGAAAGGGTTGATCTTCTGACGTTTTGCAACAATTTGAAGATTAAATGGTTATTGTTCTTCTCATTAAGGTAGCCGGAAAGTCCAACGATCATACGGAGCAATTCAGCTTGCGTAGCAGGAACTGACGATGGTACAAGTTGGTAGTCTGTGGTATTTATGTTCGCATCCGTGCTGGTAATTGGGGTGATATCTTTATTGTACGACAGCACGGGAGAGGCACTTGGCGAGGGTAAGGGAAGCAGAAGCAGTTGGTTTAGCTCTCCTTCCTCCTCTCTTACGATTTCTCCAGTAATGTCTGAGTCTTCTTCGATTTCGGAAATAGGGGTATTGGATGGAGAGTTAAAAGCGGTGGGAGTTCGAGGTACGACGACCTCTGTTAAATTTGCATTGTTAGCTGTCCCTGACACAACAGCGCTAGCTGGGCCAGAGATGGAGTTCGCAGCAGTGCTGACTGTGGTGCTTGGGGTAGAAATGGACCCGCCAGTACTGATACTATTCAAAATGGCTTCATTCACGGCTTCGCTGGTTGTGAGTCGTCTTTTGGGCGGATGAATCAATCTGTTCTCCCGCAACAATGCCAAAATCGATCCGTTATTGGAAACCATGCTATTCGTGTCAGTGTCACTAGCCATCATATCGTCGCACGATTCTGTGCCAGTACTTTCTTCATCTTCACCCAAAGTCCAAATTCGCTTTCTTTTCACCGTGTCGACGTTGGCAGAGGGTGCATGGAGTTCGTTGCTGGATGGTGTTTGTTTATCGGAGCGCTCCTTGGAAGCCCGTAAGTCCCTAAGCTTAGAGTCTGGATCCGAGAGCTTGAAATCGTACTTCGCCGTAATCCCTTGCAATGGGTACGTGCTCGGCTGGTTAGCGTGTTGATTAGGTTGATTTGACATGCCAGACGTACGTGAAATTTAGGCAGTTTGCAGAAAAGGAGGGCTCAAAAGGAAGAAGCTTCGTTCGTTGTTTGTAGTACTAGTATCGGCTGTTTCTTTCCTCTGTTGAGGTGTCTCGAGTGATGTATGTCTTGGGGCCTTGTATATCTACGTAGCTAGCTGCTTCTTTGTGTATCTTTCCGCTTTCAAATGCGTAGGGGAAAGCCTTGCCAGCTCAATAGGGGAAACGATATTTCTGTGATAACAAAAACCTATGACCAACAGTAAACAATAAAAGTAACACCAGAAGAATGTACTTTTGAAGGTTTTAATTGAACCTAACTACTCTAAAATTCCCAACTGAAGCAACGTTATATTCGCCAAACGTATCTAGCCTGTGCTTCCTGTCAAGGTAGGTGGTGTAAGTGCAACTGTCAGGGTTAAGATTTGTTTATCCTCGTTTCTATGTGGAAAGGCACGACGCAAAGACAAACCAAAAAAAAAAAAGAAAAGGGAAAAAAAAAAAATTAAATAGCGTAAAATTAAAATAAAAAATTATTAGGCTGCTTATACGAAACGTTGGAACAGAAGTCGGAGAGTCAGATTTTGGGGTAAGAGGGCCCGCATTATTTGATATTTGGAAAATTGCGTTACGGCGTATTGGAACGAAGCTGAGATTGAATTTTCACCGAATATTAGGCGAATTTGCGTGATTGGTGCCGGTGTTAGGTGTCTTGTATGTTCCTTTGTTAGTCACTCATTTGAAGCTCGAGCTGAACAGGGCCGCACTATGAAGTACTATATACCGGACAACCATGCCACATGCACCGCATATGGATGGTTGCATTAATTCATTCATTCACAGGAAGAGGTGGTAGAGGTGGTAGTGGTCGTGAGTGGGTGGAGACAGGATAGATGCTTTCTAGCGTACGAAGGTTGTTCTAAGATGGTTCCTGAAGTTCAGCTTATACTCGGACAGTGGAAAATACGGGCGAAAATTGTTTCCAGAGTACTTACCCTCTGTGCACTATGAGTATGTCCCCACACTATTATGATTATTATACTATTATCGCAATTTTCGCTGTTATTCTTATTGTTGTATTATTATTTTTACAATTTATATATCTATACAGCGCTTAGCTTTGATCTACACGCTATTTCACTACCTCTAGCTATCGAACAGTATTCATCACCTTACCGCAACCTCTAATTCTCTAATTTTCCAATTCTTTAATCCCCAAAACTCAGTCTCTCAAAGTTATATTTCAAAATGCATAAATTATGCCTTTATTGAACTTTACACTTACATAAACACTGAAAGTATCAAACACTACTTGGCTGTATCTATCTAATATTTATTCTTCTTATACACAGATTTGAAACATATCTAAATGTTCTTGATTATAATACCTGGTTCACCAGGAATGGCTTGTTCAACCATCTTCTTAGCAGTACTCGTAATTTCTACTTCTTCTCCGGTGACTACATTCTTTCCCTTATCAGCACCATTTTCCACTGCAATAATTTCCAATTCACTAATGTTAATAGCTGCTGGTGCCTTCTGGATATTCCCTAAAACACTCAAAACAACTTCAGCTTCATTAAAAGTCAATTCTCTGTTGAAAACAATTTGTGGATCTTCAACTGCCAATCTTTGCTTCAAGACTGAAATGAATGGCATGGCACGCTTCATGTCCTTACCAGTCTTTTCCTTGATTAACTTGTTATCGTCTAACAAGTTCATGTCGTATAATTCCTTAACTAAGGAAATATAGCTATCTTGCCATTCAGGGAATGAGGAAGAAATGTAAAGGCTTAACTTAGCTGGCTTACTAACGTCAACTTCAGATGGCTTACCACCCTTCTTTTTCTTTAAGACATTTCCCTCCAGCTCACGAATAGATCTAGATAAGGATCTGACATATTCATAAGAGTCAGATAAAATCTTGGAAATTTCGGTTCCAGCTCTTGGGAATTTGGCATTTTGTACTGATCCATTCTTTCCTAAGACTTCTTGGTAGATGTACTCAGCAAAATGTGGAGTAATTGGAGCTAACATTAAGGCCTGAGTTTCAATATATTTCAAAACCAAATCTTTATGCATACCAATGTTGGATGAGACAGAATCTCTGTAGTAATCTCTTGCAGTTTGGTAGTCAAATAAACCTGTCTTTAATCCAGCTTTGTAGTTGGTGAGAGAAAACTGTTCGTAAGTCTTTTCAATCAAATCATTCATTTCATTGTCAAATGCCTTATCGAAAAAGCTGTCCAATGGTCCAGTTCTTAAAGAAGACACATTTGAAACAATGTCTTCACACCATTCTTTTAATGTAGTTAATCTCAAAATGGCAGCATTGGCATTTTGCTCATCAAAATTAGCATCTTCCACAGCATCACCTGCATCTGCCATGGCAATTCTAGAAGCATCAGCACCAAACTTTTTAACTATATCATCTAAGGTCATAAAGTTACCAGTAGATTTAGACATCTTGTTATTATTTAATAATAAATGTCCGTTAGCACGAATACCTCTTGGCCAGAATTGCTTCTTGAAAAGGGTGACATGAGAGTAAATGAAGAATGTTAAATGATTTGGAATTAAATCCTTACCAGAAATTCTAACATCCAATGGGTAAAAGTACTCAAATTCTCTTCTCATTTCTTTCAATTGATTGATAGGAATATCGGTCTTGATATTTTCTCTTCTAGCAAAGATGTAGTCAAATACCTCGTCAGTGAATTGCTCCACCTTGAAAGAGAACTTACCCGGCTTAGCACCATAGTAATCTGAGTGTATGAACCTAGAAATGGTGTAGTAAGCCATGTAAATAGTGGAATCACTTAAGGATTCAATAAGATATCTGTCATCCCATGGTAATCTAGTACCTAAACCGAAATTTCTGGTGATAGCCCAGTTCTTTAACCAGTCTAAAACACCTTCAAAACCATGTCTAGTTTCCTTTGCGAAAGTATTCATGTCGTGCAAACATTCAAGAGCTTGAGCCTTCCAACTTTCTTCACCATAATCGATGTACCATTGATCTTCTAATGAAACAATACATTCATCTCCAGATCTTGAAATAACCACATTTTCTGGCTCACTGTAAACAAATGCTTCACCAGATGCTATTAAGTCAGCCTTAACCTTTGGCTTAGCTTCTTCGACCTTAAGACCAGTGTATTTACCATAGCTCATAACACCGTTATAGAAACCTTCCTTATAGGCAGCTTCCTTAGCCTTAGCTAATTGAAGAGTATCCTTTGGAGATTGAATCTTTAATTCATTAACAAGGAATTCGGCACATTTGTCGCCATACTTTTCAGTTTTGATGAGTCCAATAATATCGGTGATAACCCAATCTCTTTCAATTCCATAGTATTCAGGCTTGTTAGCTAAATCCTTAGTGGTTATGTAGTCATCTGGAGAGTCAGATGGAACACAGGTAACAACACCAGTACCCTTAGAAGCTAAGACTGTTTCCATGGGCAAGACTCTTAAGTTCTTTGCAACAGCCATTGGAGCTACAATCTTGGATCCAATTAAAGCTTTACCATTGATTTTTAATAAAGCATCATGGACACCTCTAGTTGGGGTGATCTTTTGATAAGACATATTCTTGAATGCTCTTTCGGTACAGATGAAGTATTCATCATTTCCAGCATCAAAAATACCATAATCAATCTTTGGAGAGACGAAACAGGTAGTTTGTCCATACATGGTTTCTGGTCTTAAAGTAGCAGCCACTAAGTAAACCTTCTTGTTGGAGATGTCAAGCTTAGCCTCTTCAAGTAGCTTGGTAGCTTCTGGTGCAAATTCTTCAACTTCGATCTTAATACCAACATACTCTTGAGGGTTGACACCTTCTCCAGACTGTCTGTCATGATCTAAACATGCTTGACCGTCCTTTTCGGAGTAGATGGTGTACCTTTCACCGAATTTAATCTTACCACATTCTCTTAATCTGTTTACTTGCCATCTGATGAAAGCATCGTAGAATGGGTTAGCTGGGGTAGTGACCATAGATCTTCTCCAATCAACTCTACAACCAAACTCAGTAACATGTTTTTGTGTCAATTCAGGAAAGTAACGTAACCAGTAGTCTGGCTCAGCGAACTTGGCAATCTCTTCTTTTGGGATGCCTGATTGTAACATGATTTCGAATTGGTACTTACCTCTACCCTGCTTGGCAACGGCCTTTGATTTCTTAGCAGTGAACTTGGTTACATCTTCTCTTTGGGCAGCTGGTTTGGCAACAACTTCTTCCTCCTCTTCGTCCTTTGGAGCACCAGAGAAATCAGCACCGAAATCCTCAACTTCCCTCTTCACTTTGTCAGCAGCAGCCTTAATGGGCATACCAGTGCAGTGGAAACCTAAAGGCATAAGAGCTCTCTTCCCATTCATTCTTTCGAACCCGGTGGAGAATTCAACCTTGGATAAAGTGAAGGCATGACCGGCGTGTAAGGCACCATTCATATATGGGTAAGCCATACAGGAGAAGTACTTAGGATGTCTGGATCTCAAGTCTTCAGCATCATCAGTGTCGTCCTCTTCGAAAGTTGGGGAGTTTACTTCGAAATATTTCTCATCAGCCCAAATTTTTTGGTACTTCTTTTCAAGTTCAATTAAAGTATCACGACGAGCCGTGTTCTCTAATTTTAAACCTGCACTCATCTGTATTGGTGTGCTTATAGCTTAAGGAACTAAGAAAGGGTTACTCAACTGGTTGTCTTGCAACTGTGCGTTAAAAAATTTTGAAAATTTTGAAAATTGAAAAAAGGTCGTGCACACGACCAAGTTTTGCAGAGTCATAGGATAAGCCGTCTACCCTAGCGTCACACTATGGTGAGTGGTGCTATACTGGCGAAGGAGCTTCGTTAATGAGTCTACGTGCTTGGTACTATCTACAGGCTAAGAAAAGTTAAACTTTTTCAAAAATGTGTATTTTGCCTTTCTCCTTGTGTGACTATGTCTTATGTTTTCTCTCTCATCTTTCCTCTATTCACTAGAACTCACCAGTGTAGCCTATTTTTTTTTTTTTCATCTAGCTATGTGCATTTTGCACCCATTCCTATTCTTGCTTCTTCTTCCTTCTTTTCGCTACTGAAGCCGGCATCATCAATTTTGGCTTGTCTCCTGCGGCAGCACCTGCACCTCCGCCTCCTGTATTAACTTTCTTCTTCAAGTCGAAATATGTCCCGATTTCAACAGGCTTCCCTTCAATTACCTTACCTGCAAGAATCAAAGATGCTTTTCCAGAATCTGCAACCTCTTCAAACTCAACTAGCGCTGCATTCTCCTGCGGGCGCAAATCAATCTTGCTGATTCTCCCAACGACACCTGCAAATTTGTTAACTTGCTCTTGATTAATCGTATCGCTTAGGTTCAATATACTAATTGTTCTGGCAAAGTCGAACTTCAATTCCTTGTGTGGTATATCCTTTTTTGGTTGTGCTATTGATACTTGCACCTTCCTATCCATGATAACTTGTCCATTTTTTGCTAAGGAATTTGTAGCTGAAACTGCAGACTTGAAAGTAATAAACCCAAACCCACTATTCAAGTTCTTGCTAGTACCTTTGTCATTAGCATGCTGTTTGGGAGCTGGGAGTACGATTCTTTCGATGTCTCCATATTCAGTGAATTCTTTCTCTAAAACATCCTTGGAAACCTTCTTAAAATCCAAATTTTGAATAAATATTTCTCTGCTTTCATATACTGCGTTGTCTTTCCGCTTTAATTTATCTTCTGGCTTTGAAATCTTGACAACAAGCCTATATGTCTTCCCATCAAGTTCATCTTTCAATTCGTTACCATCAAAGGTGGTCACTGCGTGGTTTGCCAATTCAGCGGTTGCATACTCAACATACCCAAACCTACGGGTATTATTGTATTTCAAGGAAGGAAAACGAATACTCACCACTTTTCCAATTGAGCCGAAGTAGTTCTCAAGATCTCCGTGTCCCATACTTGGGGGAAAATTGGTTATCCAGACAGTTGAGACAACAGCTCTAAAGACGTTCACTACCTGTTCACCTATCATTTTTAAATTTTTGGTTACTGCTGCGAGTAGTTCCTTTTCACTCGAGAATTCTACAGTTGCTTGGGGAAGTTCATTTTCGACCTCAATTAACTTGATCTCTCTTATCTCTCCGCAGTCTTTAAAAAGCTGCGAGACCCTTTTCTCAGTTATATCGTTAGGAAGATTTGTAACGCGCACAGTGAACTCTTCTCTATTCCTGGCTTGTTCTTTACTTTCAGAAGGCTTTTGTCGTTTGGATTGCTCATCGGGTTCTTCATCGTGGGGCCTTTTCTTTTCAATACTTTCCTCAATTATCTGTTCAGCTACCTCTTGCCTTTTAATTCTTTCCAAATTGACTAAAGTAAATGCACTATTTGCTTTCAAAAGACTTCTCTTATATTCTTCCAAGTCAAAATTCAATTGCTTCATGCTCAACCATTCTTGAATAATCTTTTCTGGCCAGTCTAAACTAGTGGGATTTTCAATTGCAAACTCCAAAATTTGAGCGATTTGCTCAACTGGAGTTCCATACTTTTTCTGACGTTCACAAACGTATAGCCAAATATCACTTTGGTCTCTGAAGTTCTTCAACAATCTATCTAATATTGATATGCAACTTTCTAAATCTTCCAATTCTTCAAATATAACGATAGAAGTTTTCTCTACAGTATGGAATCCATCATTATTCTTGGTAATTGCAAACTCGACGAAGCTGCCTATGTCGGCGTACAATAAATCCACAATGTCCAAATTTTCACCAGTTCTTGTGATTGAGGTCTCAGAAGTCAATATAGAAAGTGCAAGAATTTTCCATTCATCATAAGCACTTGCTTCCATTAAGTTACTGCTGTTAACTCTATTTCTAGCACTAAGAAATTTCTGATAGCCCCCTTCGACAAATTCAAGGCAATTACGAATGTATTCAGCATGGCTTAAGGGTGATTCTGGGTATTTCCTTACGAAATTAGTCAAAAACGTTTCTGTTTGGGACTTGGAGAATTTGTTCTTTGGATCATATATCACATAGAGATAACTGAGCCAGATCTGTATATTATCTACAGAATAAGTTGCTCTGGCGAACAAAGTATTCATTTTTTGGATGTCTCCATTTGCATATTCGCAAACGGCTTGTAGGTATTCTAGCCATAAGTTGATGTTGGAAGGATCTTTCGAGATTTTCAATTCGTGAATCTCATAATATCTTTGCTGCCTTTTAGACCTAGAATACACTTTATTTACCAAAGGCATATGCTTCAGGTAATTTTTGGGGTCATTATTAGAAATAAAAGACGAGAAGTCTTGAAAGGACTCATCCAATGTTTCATGAGGATATGAGAGTCTCCTCTTATGGAGGCCCACCAATTTCAGGAATAGGTCATCATCCTGTAGTTTAGCTTCATAATATGATATGATAATTTTCCATATTTTACTGGTGTTTTGATAGTCATATACAGTGTCATACAACGCTTCTTCAAATAATGAGTTTAAACTAGCTTCGTCTATCAAATGGAGATCTTCACAAGAAATAGCCAACTCCAAATAAGGCTTCCAATACTCAACTACGGAATAATCTTTTACAATATACGAGTAAATCTTCAATAGAAAGGTCTTCTGTTGTTCAATATCCTCTAATTTATTTACATCGTCCATCCATTGCGTATACTCAATTGGTGAAAGAACAAAGTGTTCCAACTTCTTCAAATACGCATTGGCCAAATGTTCGTGAAATGATGGCGAGGAGCTTTCGAGCAATCGGATAGAGGAAATGTATTTTGAGTGGGAATCTGCATCAAAAGGATCAACAGGAGAATGTACTGCCATATTTGATTCCGACATTCCTCCGTGTGGCTATCAAATGAAGGTGTACTGGATAGTTTGGCATTGGGTCTATCTTGTCTTTGATTGCGTATAGGCGAAGTCCATGTGCAGGATAGTGGTTGCAAAAAGCCCAAAATACCAACAAGAAGATGAAACTTGGAACAATTTTAAAGCGTTATTGTGCTCTTTGAAGTTTTAGATGCGAGGATATTGAAGAGTTCATAAGCAGACAGTCTTTGATTAATTTATGTATGCTAAGATTAAAGATTGTAACGACGGCAGGGTGCTTCGTCACAGGCAAGAGAAGGTTCCTATCTAAGGTTATATGCACACCGAGATGGGTAGGTGCATCTCACGTAAAAAAAATCTTGAAGCCGATGCCATCAGAGTTCAGTGGAGTGGAAGTGTACACTATCAGCATGGATACTAAAGGATATTTGCAGTCGTTTGGCTGGAAAGAAGGCGAGGCCCTTCAGAAGGGGGGTTTGAAGAAACCAATTTTAGTGAAACATAAAAAGGATACCAAAGGGTTGGGAAATGGATCAAACGACGCTGATATGTGGTGGGAAAAATTGTTTGATGGACAATTGAAGAGTCTAGAAGTTAGTAGTGGCAGTAATGGTAAAGGAGTCAGTTTTGCACAGAATAAAGACAATATAAACCTGGAAATAGCAAAAGCCAATTCTCCCTTATATCGAATGTTTGTGAAAGGAGTGGGGCTATCAGGAACAGTAGGGAAGACTGATTTTGCGAAGGTAGAAGATAAGGTAGACTATAAAATGGCTCTCGTAGAAGTAGAAAAAATGACAGTGAAGAAAGAGAGTAAGAGCAAGAAAGAGAAGAAGGAAAAGAAACTGAAAAAAGTAATAAAGGAGAAGAAAGAAAAGAAGGAGAAGAAGGAGAAGGAAGCTAAAGGAAAGAAAGAAAAGAAGGACAAGAAGGACAAGAGAGACAAGAAAGAGAAAGACAAGAAAGTAAAGAAAGTGAAAAAGGAAAATGAACCAGAAAAACCAAAGAAAGTGAAGAAAGAGAAACCATTGAAACTGGACAAGAAGGATGTAAAGGAGGTAAAAATTTTAAAGTCAAAGAAAACAGATTCATCCAAGAAGAGAAAACTGAAAGAGGAAACCCCAGAAAATTCGAAGAGACTCAAAAGGTAACCAATCCATTATTCATACATAGCATTTAATAGACATAGACCACATCATATTCATAATTTTGGGGCATCATCGCAGCTCGTATATTTTTTGTAGCGCGCGTTTCGTTAAGCTTCGTCTCCACAGTATGGGATATGACTAGAAGAGCGTATAGATTTTGATAAGGAAAAGCGAACCATTGGTAACAGAGGAGTGGTTCGGCAATACAGAATCATGATAAAAAATGCGTACTTACAACCGTATTATGCACCGGTCGTACTTACACTTGTTGTAGTCTGCTGGTCATACTACAAATTTATTATTATCATAGGAATTCTCAGCGCAGTGTTTAGCGTATTATGGATTCTCTACATATCGCTATATACTTCAGTAGTTAGACCTCCTCATATCCAAAAACACAGAAAAAGGTTCAAATTTTTGAATAGCTCAGAGTGGGAGAGGGAAACTTCATCAGTCATTGCTAAAAAATCCGACTCCACCGATATAATATCGGAGTCATTTCTTATTAGTGAAACGGTAAATGACTTCATAAATTTGATTTTACAGGAATTCGTAGATGGTTGGTTTGTACATATAAGTCAGAGCAACAACCTTTTCCAAGATAGGATAAGGGATGAATTGGGGGTAGTGGTAAGAAACTTAAAACAGAGATTAAGTAGAATTGATTTTGCTAAGCTCTTGGTGTCTCTGTTACTCCCAGTTGTTCACGAACATTTCAGGAATTTCCAGAGGGCAGACGAGGCGGTTAAGTTGATGACAACGAATAATGTAAATAATGCAAGCAAAAGCTATTATAATGATAGCAATAAGCATACCAATGATGATGATGCTTCTAAGAGTATACCCGGCAGTACTAATAATGCTAAAAAAGCTACCGCAATTACCACCATAGATTACGACATAGCTATAGCCGAAAATTACAATAGAGGAAAGATAAATAAGGGTGTCACTGTGCCTAAAAGGAAGGATAATGGAAAGAGTGAGCCTAATATTCTGAATTCGATGGAAAAAGAGTACCTTAGAGAAAAGATTGAAGCCATACTTCCATACCTCCTCAGCGACAAGGAAAATGATAATTCTATTGTAGCTACTTTGATTCGAGAAATAGTTGCCTGTACTGTACTAACTAATATTTTCCTGATGTTACGGGAGGGTGATTTTTATAACGTGCTCATTGTAAAGTTGATAGGAGATAACCTCAAACACAGAACACAAGTGAAGCAATTGCGTAAAGCTTTGGCCGAACATACAGAAGAAGTACTACCCCAAAGAAGCATACTCAGTGGCAATGACATTTACAATTCCTTCCTGATGTCTACTGACTATTCCTCCTTTAAGAAAATGTATGAAAGCATTTCCAAAATTAGTTCCATTGAACAATTGAAAAACTTGGAAGTACTTTTTAAATCGAAAATTCCCACTACAAGAGATGCAAGCGGTAGCAAATCTCGAAATAAGTTTGAGAAACGGTTGATTTTAGTGCTAGAAGCAATTAATTTGAAGTTAAATCAATTGAAAAGTTCCGTTGCCAACAGTCAAGATACAAAGCTTTCTACAATCTTAGATAATTCCACTTCGTTTCAACTGTTTCAAACTTATTTAACAGGGAAGAACAGATCAATTCTACTTGAATTTTGGAAGGAGATTGAAGAAATAAAGGCTCCTTTAGAAGATGCTTCTTTAGACTACGACGAAGACGATGATAGTTCTGAAGATATCCTTTCTCTTGGGTATTCCAATTCGGAGGAAATGATCCGCGTCTATAATAAGTATTTTTACAATCTGACTTTGGCGATTAAAAGATCATCAATAGAAACGATGGAAGAATATGTTACTTATGTGAAAGGAATTGAAAGTGGGACTAGTGTTAATGATTCAGAGAGGATAAAGCTTTATCGCAGAGCAAGAAAGGAACTATTGAAGTTACAGAGTGATACATTGCAAAGGCTTCATGATGAAGAGTTGAATGAGTTCAAGAGATCGGAATTCTTCATAAATTTAATAGAAAAAGATACCTTTGGTATTGAAAGACAACAGAAAATGAATTCTCATACTGGAAATGAGACAAATATATCTGAAACTGCATCTTCTCAAGATAAAATACAAACTAAGGACGCTCAAGAAAATAAGAACATTGGAGGTTCTGAAGGTGAAGTTGTAGGCTCACAGGTAATTAGGGCTGTCGAAGATGCGTTCAATGAAATTATGAAGAATTCTACGTATAACCGCGATTCTGAAGGGGATTCGATTACTGTAAATACGAAGGCAGAGCCAAGCACCTCGATCAATACAAGCTTTGACAGCGAAAATACTAAGTCACCTCCCCTCATTCTGACTCTAAATATGAAGAGAGATTTGTTTGGAGATCCAGAACCTACTTCTATATTTGGAAGTGATGACAATGTGGGGGCTCTCTCTGGTAGATACTCCCGACTTTTTGACGATGATGAAAGTGGTGAAGGGACTGATAATGAATCTTTAAATTATGATACCTCGTCTCCAATGGCTAATTCTTTAGAGCTTGATCCAGATGGCGGCAGTGGGTTTGGCAGTGATAGTGGATTTTTGCCATCTATGTCACTGCTGCAGGAAGTATTTCTTGCTGCTCCAGGTAATTTAAAATTAACCGAAGAGATTGCAAAATTAGATGAAGAAATTGACAAATTAACCAAGCAGTTGAACATTTTGGTTCCATTACTCAGAAAGGCAGAATTGACCAACAATATTGGGGAGCTAAAGATTCTTAGACGATCCAAGCTCAGTTTGGATAGAGAAATCAGCTATAAAGAATTACAAAAGCAACAATACATAGTCCAAGAAAATGATAACAGTTTGTATGGAAAATCAAGGGTTTCTATTCAGTCATACATCGTGGGGACAGATGGGGGTAAAGAAGTTGTATTATACATAGTAGAGGTCCAAAAGCTCTCCAATGACGATCCTGATATTGTTACGGCTGGTTGGATTGTTGCAAGAAGATACAGTCAATTTTATAAATTGAATGAGTATTTGAAATTCAAATATCCTAAAGTTGGCAATACCAAATTTCCAAAGAGGGCTGTTCTGGTATTGAAATTTCAACAGAAGCAAATTGTCGAATTGAGAAAGATAGCTTTAGAGGAATATTTACAAGAGATTATCAACATGCCAGAAGTTTGCTCAGACAGAGCATTCAGATCATTTCTCAGTTCAGAAAATTTTAACATCGGTAAAGATCAAATGTTCGATAGAGAGGATGTCCCAAAAAGCACTTCTACCAGAAGTAGCATAGAATTGGTTGCAAACAAGCTATACGGACAAACTAAGCAACTGTTGTCACAATTCCAGGACCCTGTTAGCAGTGTAACCAGAACTGCCAGTTTGACAACGGCATCATCCAAATCAGACACAACGGCTGTTGACAAGGAATTGATTGCAAATTTAGCAGAAATGCAAAAAGAATTGAAACTGTTTGAGGGAAGTACAGATTCTGTAAAGGAATCCTTCGTTAAGCCAATATGTGATACGTTAATATCCGTATTTAAATTGAATACTTCCAAAACATGGTTAAGAGGTCGAGCTCTATTGGTGATTTTGCAGCAAATATTTGGAACTACCATAGAGAAGAAAGTCTACGAATTGGTCGAGAAGCAGTTGCACAGCGAGGAGAACATTCTTGATTTGTTAACTGCCTTGCAAAACATTGTTTTTCCAAATGGTAAATTCAAGGATCCCCCTGTAATAAGAACGTTGTATGAGCGTTCAACCACCAAACACGAAGCGAAAATACTCTTTGGGATATTTTTCCAGGAAACATGTGCCAAGTTGTTTGGACAGGGGAATACAATGTACGCATCTACAGGAATATTCAATATGATACAAAATGACTATTTGAACGAGCACTTGCTATTTGAAATGTTTGATATCATAGTTGAAGAGATTTTTATAGAACTTAAGTAGATAATGCCAATATGATTGTTTGAGGTAATCAATTGAGGTAATTGATTAAAATAAACGTCTAATGTAAATATGTGGAGAGTAACATACACATTTAGGGCAATAGTACTATACCTATTCCAGCCAGTACCTCTCGCGCCTTTCATTTGCTCGGCTAAATAAAGAACTTTTCTTCTACAAGCACCTTATCTCTTCACTTTTGACACCTTACTGGATCGATGCAACACTTAATGCCTTTAAAGGGGCTCAGGCACAGCAACCACTTCGCGTGCGTGATCGAAGCACGCCAATCTAAGCAAAGAACGCATGCACATGACACAAAACCATATTTTATTGATTACATGATGCAACTCCGCGGGAGTGGCCAAGCAAAAACCGATCCCAAGCCTATCGTTAGAAAGCACTGGAAATCCAGTGGTGGAATTTATTATCAATTCAGGATCTCTTTTTCTTTTATTCTTCCATAGTATTAAAGTAACTGTCTTCGACGCCAATATTAGAATTTATTTAGAATCAATAACGTAAAAATGGCAGCAGATCCTTCAAATCCGCCAAACGTTCCAGGTGGATGGTTAGCGAAATACGATGAAAAGTATAAGACCTTTTTCTATGTAGACTTATCAACCAAGAAGTCTCAGTGGGAGGCGCCAGATGGAACTACATTTGGAAAGAAGGAAGGCGAATCGGCTCCTCCAGCATACTCGCCATCTGGATCGAGCTCAAAGCCAACCCCATCCCCACAACCTTCGACTGGCCAATCTGCTGATGGAAGAGGGCTCTTCAGCCATAAGCAACACCAGCAGTACCCACCACAACAGCAATATGTCCAGCAGTCGGGCTACGGGGGTGGATATCCTCCACAACAGGGCTACGGTGGCTATCCTCCACAACAGGGCTACGGTGGCTATCCTCCACAACAGGGCTACGGTGGCTATCCTCCTCAACAAGGCTACGGTGGCTACCCCCCACAGGGCTACGGAGGCTACCAACAACCTCAAAGGCAGAGCAGATTTGGTGGTGGTGGTATGGGTATGGGAGGAGGAATGGCCATGGGTGCGCTCGGTGGTTTAGCCGGTGGAATGCTTCTCGGAGAAATGATGGAAGATCACCTGGATAACATGGCGTACCAAGACGGTTACCAAGACGGTGCTGACTTTGACGGTGGTGACGGTGGAGGAGGAGACTTCTAATCCACCAGATAGCCAAAAATAAATAGTAAAAAATTTACAAAAAAAAAAAAAAGAAAGTGCAATCGGGTGAACGAAGTTCGTGAGAACTTGTGTATGTTATATATAATAAAATACAGGTAAATTGTATCATTTAAATGCCCAGGTGTCCCTCTAGTGGTACACATGTAGTAGTGTTCTACCCAGCTAGCGAAATTATCATTACCTGCATACAAGCAAGCCGGATACAGATTTCCCAAATTTGGCGGGACTCCAAAAATGGCGGAGGTCCTGGCAAGCTTTAGAGCAAAGCAACTCCATTTAATTGCTCAGCTGTAGTAAGATTCTGGGTATGTCGTCGTCATTATACTCACGAGACTATTCTACGTCGCACCACCTATCGACGCTTTTCCAGTCACCGCAGTCGTTGAAGGAACTTCCCGCGTTGTTGAACCATGTGTATCAGTACAAGTCGCAGCTCGATTTGGACATCACGAGCGATATAGACGCTTACAATGCCCAGATCACATCGTCGTCATCGACCTCACCCAAGGAGCTCAGTGCCGACTTGAAGTCACTCTTCCAATCGATCAGTGAAACGCAGAAAAAGGCAATCAAGACCGAGAATGAAATCACTGCCATGTCTGAGAACATCCAGAAGCTCGACAAGGCCAAGAAGAACTTAGTACTCCTGATGACCGTGTTGAAGCGTCTCCAGATGTTGATTTCTGCCATAGAAACACTCACGGATACCGTTTCTTCGTCGTCATCGTCAAGAGACTACAGAGAAATCCTTCAGTTGTTTAGCGTGGTGAAGGAACTCTCGTCGCACTTCAAGCCATACAAGTCAATTGACGAGATCTCCACACTCAACGGGATTATCAACAGAACACAGGCCAAGCTCATTGACGATATCTTTTCAGACTATGAGGACGTAATCCTGGGTGCTACTGCATCTTTGCCTAACGATACCATCCAGTACGCTGGGGAGATCTTGGAATTGATCAACCCGTCGAACAAGACCAAAATAATCGATTTGTTTTGTAAACGACAATTGCATGAGATTCAGGGTATCTTTAAGTCTTCGGACGAAGCTGGCTCATTGGAGAATGTTAACCGTAGATATCTCTTCTATAAGAAAATCTTGACTAATGTGCAAGACAACTTCTTGACCACTTTCCCCAAATCTTGGGCCATAGAATTGGAGATCACCAAAAAGTTCTGTGAGTTTACGAGAGACGATCTTAAACTGGTATTAAATTATTATAGAACCAATAATAAGAAGTCTTCTCCAGATACCTTGCTCAATGCATTGACTTCAACCTTGGAGTTTGAAAGGTACTTGAATTCTGAGTTGTCCACCGACATCTTCGAACAATTCATCCTGCGAAGCTTCGAGCCATACCTTTCTGTTTGGGTTTCGCAGCAAGATTCTAATTTGGATATGAAATTTTTGGAATACTTGTCGGCTTCCAAGATTCCTGAGGAATTCCAGCAGCTGCCACTGCTGCTGCTGCCACAGACAGTTGATGAGTTTATGCATATAATTGCAACGAACAATGTGCCAAATATTGCGACTAGCTCTGCAGAACTCTTCAGAACATATAGGGGTATCTTATCTCAGGCCACGAAATTGCTGTCGGGTCCCATTTTGCTTGACTTATCGCAGTTATTCATCAAGTATCTCAAACAATATGCATCCAGGGTCCTTCAGCCTTGCTTACCTACATCTGAAGCAGACGTGGTCAACGCTGGCGTGGATTCTATTAAGTACCTCACCATGGTATTGAATACAGCCGATTACTGCTCTAATACCGCTACTCAGCTTGAAGAAAAGATCCAGGCTACGATTGATGAGGATTTGAAAGATTCCATAAATTTCGATGAAGCAAGAGAGTGTTTCATAGAGTTGATAACAAGGGCCATCACTTTACTACTCACCAAAATCTCGAAAGAATTGGAGTTCTGTTGGAGACAATTCAGTAATATCAACTGGAAGGGAATGGACCAGGTTGGTGACATTTCAAGATATGTGGTTGATCTTGAAAAAATTCTTGTGCATGATAACATTAAACTCATTCTTCCGTTAGTTGTGAGAGAAGGGTATATCCGAAACTTCTGCAACAAAGTTGTAGAGTTGATAGTTAACTGCTTTATGAATCAATGGAAGAACATCAAGAGTGGCATTCTGACGTTCAACGCAGAGCAGCTTCTTTTGGACTTGGAAACTATCAAGCAACTTTTATTAAAGCTCCCAATGTACGCAGATACTGAAGCCACCATAAGCAACAAAATCGGTGCGGTTCCTGCAAGCTATGGAAAGTATGTCAATTCTCAAACTCATAAGGCAGAAACATTATTGAAATTATTATTGGGGACTACCAAACCAATTGATGATTTTGTACTCAACTATATTAATTTAATTGGAGACAAGAGTAAATTCAACTTCGGGAAAGTTCTTGAATTGAAAGGAATTGCTTCGAACAGCTTAGAATATCTGCAATTTATTGACAATTTCCAACTTCAAATTAATACAGGAGTAATGAAGGAAGAATTGGTCGATTCTAGTCCAATATTGGCTCATTTATTGAATGAGATGGAGGAACAGAGTGCTACTACCATCCAATTTAATAACAACAGCAGTAATATAAGAAAACCAGTTCCAGTCGGACCTAAGATCATGACTGCTAAGTCTCCCATTCTTGGGGGTAGCTTCTCTCCCAGTGTTCCGACTTCGATTCAGAATAACTTGAAGATCAACAACATAGAAAAGAGTTTCAGAGAATTGGCATTAAATGGGGAGAATAAAGTTAGTAAGATCAACGAGAACTTCAAGAACTTTGGTAAATTATTTAGAAAAAACGACGAATAGGCTAATATGTAATATAGAGTATAAGTAACTTAGTAAAGATTTGAAATCAACGTGTATGGTGTAAGAAGTTTGCAGCCATTCTCTTCTAGGAGATGTAGCTGCAATCTACGCATACTCTTTCCAGCATGTACATGGAGATGCATAACAATAGTTTGCAACCTACGATTAGCATTAAGGCAGGGGGTTGAGACATTAAAGTCCAAGTGTGAATATGCGTTCGTTAAAGCCGGGGCCCACTTGTGTATAAATAGATGTGCTTTCGCCATATAATCAATGGCTGTAAGTTATTTAATTGGGGGCAAACCATTCACTGTTTCCTACAGACAAACATGAACTTTGAAGAGGTTGCCCCCCACCAAGAATATTTCTAATTTGAGTCTTTGCTAGCAAAAAACTAAAAGATCAATATATTAGAGTTATTTATATAATGAGAGAAAAGAGGATTTAGGTCCGACTTTAAGAGAACTGTTTTTAGGTTGTTTGTCCACCAGGTGGCAGCTGAATAGAGCACCTTCTGCTTCTACTCCCACTAAATTAGGGGCGAAGAGTGCTGCTAATTTGCTTTGGTTGCCACTTATAAAGTGGTACTTGTCCACTACCACTTTGCAAAGGTGAAGGCTTGCAATCATGGTATACTTATTAAATTAAATGCATGATTTTCAGTTTAAAAATTGCGACAGAAAAAAGCTGCATCGTAAGTGTTTCTTTAGATCTCTGACTAATCTTACCAATATATAAACTCTCTTTCTCATAATAAGAAGCAGGATGACCATAGTTAAAATATGTGGTTTGAAGTCTGAAGACGCTGCAAGTACTGCTATTCAGAATGGCGCGAACTTGTTAGGGATGATATTGGTTCCTGGTAGAGCCAGAACCGTTGACAAGCAAACGGCACTGAAAATTGTCAGGTTAGCTCAAGCCGAAAGAAAAAAGCAAGGAAGGAAGCACCGAAGTATAACCTCATTACTCAAATACTTATACTCAGGCGAATATTCTAGTGTCGAGGAGTTTCAGTTGAGGGCGGCAGAGTTAATCGAAGAAAATGGACCATTTGTAGCTGGTGTATTTCGAAATCAGAGTATAGAAGATGTTTACAATATTGCAGCTGACATTGACCTTGATATCATCCAGCTTCATGGCAGTGAAGACAAGTTGGAATATGCCAAATTGAACGCTACAGAATTGAAGTATGCCATCATTCCTAGGTTTGTGATACCGAAGGATATAATTGAGATGGAAATTGTTTTCCTGAAGCACTCTGAGTGCCAGAATGGGATATTACTACCATTACTTGACTCTGAGGCTGGTGGCGAAGGTAAGAAGATAGATTGGAGTGCAGTAGGTAAACTAAAATTTGGCAAGTATCTTCTTGCTGGGGGTCTTACTCCAGAGAACGTTGTGGATGCCTTAAATGTGGAGAATGTCATCGGAGTTGATGTGAGTGGAGGCGTAGAGACCGATGGAGTGAAAGATTTGACAAAAGTTAAGCAATTCATCATTAATGCCAAGAGCAAGTAGATCGACGAATAAATGAACAAATGATACAGTGAGCTAAAAGTAAGTGAGTGCAAGGAGTAATGCATATCGAATGTGGTGATAAAACAGTACCGTTCTCCTTGTAAATAGTCTACAGTGACTGAAAATAATTCTTTTAATATCCTTAATTATGTGGTATATACATAGTATTAAATACTCTATCAATTACAACCCAGCATGCCTCCATTACTTGTTATTTTTCTTGTTCACATTCTCTAATCAGCTTGATCCCAGTTACCTGGTCTCTGTTGTTTTGGCATAACTGGCCCTCCAGCTCTCTTTGCCATGATAATTTGATCAATACTCAAGACGGTGTTTGTAGCATCGGTAGCCAAGTTAATAGCAGACTTCTTAGCAGCTAATAAATCAAGAATTCCGAATTCAACGGTATCAACAAGTCCAGTGGACGACTCTCCATCAATGTCTAAACCAAGACGTAAACCATCTACGATCGCTTCCTTGTCTTCTTCCTTTTGTTTGTCAGAGTGACCGGCGTACAACTTACTCAAACTACCTTGGACATCTAAACCAGCGGTTTCAGCCAAGGCTCTTGGAATGACTTCAAAGGAATTAGCGTACTCTTTGATGGCCAACTGTAATAAACCTGGAGTTTTTTCTCCGTATTGGGTGATTAATTTAATCAATTCTGCTTCTACGGCACCTGCACCTGGTAATAATCTATTATCTTGTAACAATGCCTTTACTGAGTTGACACCATCATCTATGGCTCTTTCGATATCATCCAAGTGATTTTGGGTAGCACCTCTTATTAAAATTGTGGCAGTTCTTGACGTAGAGTTGGCACCGTCTTCTTGCCTGAAAATAGTGACTCTGTCACCACCGATTTCCTTGGTTTCAATGTAATCAATGGAACCCATTTCTTCAGGCATTGGGGCACCTAATCTTGGTAATGGTGTGGCACCACAAACACGACAAATACGTCTTAAATCGAACTTAGATGGAACTCTTAACACTAAAATACCATACTTGTTGAAATAGTGTAATGCTAATTCTCCAACGTTGGCTCCTGCTACAACAACCTTGACACCAGCGTCTGAGATTTCTTTACACATTTGGTCCAACTGCTGCTCTTCACCCTTGGAGAAATCCAAAATTTCCTTAGCGTTATGCAACAACACGGTACCCTTGGATTCAGTGGTGGAGATATCGATTGGGCAAGTGTAGATGGCCACCTTCGATTTTTGCTTGATGTTTTTGATGTGGCCCTCCGGTTCTCTTGGGAAAACCATACCCTTGATTACTTTGGACTCACTGAGTGAAGATCCCATAATCTTGACAACTCTAACAGAGTCGATGTTGAAAGAAGAAGGATTCTTTGGGTTCAATATGGTTGAGACAGCTTCGATAATCAACTTGGAAATCAAATCTTCAAATCCGTATTGCTTGGACATAACTACAGGCTTAATTGCCTTGAGCAATTCCAGTGGCTCGGTAACAGATGTCACCTTGTCGACAACCAACTTTTCCAAGGCTTCTCCAACAAATTTGTTTGCTAAAGTGTAACCCTGAATGATCTCAGTGGGGCTCAATCCCAAGGTGACCAATTTTTCAGCGGCGTTCAAAAACTCTCCAGCCAATATGATTACTAAATTGGAGTTATCACCCATCTCCATCATTTGTTGTTGAGATGCCATAATGAGCAATTTCACGGCCGGGTGAACCACTTCCAATTCATTGAGCATGGTGGCAGCGTCGTTGGTGATGAAGATTCTACCGTGCTGGTTGACGATGATCTTGTTTCTACCACTTGGCCCCATTGAAGTGAGCAAGATAGATGAAATTTCACGTACCGCTTGGATGTTACGGATCAAGGCACCGTCCGCGTTGGAGTGGGTTTGGTAACCCTGTTTAAACAACCCAGCATTAGGAGCTTGAGGTAATTTAAGCGACATGATATAGGTTAGTGGATATGAAAAGTAGAAGGAACGATCAGGATGAAGATCAATCCAACTCGTTCATTTTCGGTTCTAGTTTGTTCTGCGTGTGTCGAAAAAAAAATTCTGAAAAAGACTTTGTGTAAGCAAAGCGTTTCGCGTGCGACTGTGTGGATCATTTAACAGGGGAGTGCGATAGGAAGGTGTTTTGGGGTGTCAAATGTGTGAATATTGAGTTGTGTTGATGTGTGTTGCATCAACAGGGCTAACCTCGGCGTGTAGCTAATTGGCTTCGTTGGGTTCCCATTGCATCTAGGTGTACACTGCTTTCTTTCTTTTTTTTTTTTTCTTTTTTTTTTTTCTACTATTTCTCTGCCTGGTCTTCCAACAGTTAGCTATGTTTACTTTCCTGCCTATACATTTAAAATGTTTTATATATGCCTTATCCGTTTATGGTGACCTTCCATAACATGCACCAATGGCGATTTTATGGCGGTCTTTTCACCAGTAGCACACATGCAGTGGGTAGTCGTTAAATTCCTCCTTGCATTGTCTTACACATGTCCTTCTCTAGCTCTTACCCTCAGCCGTATATGCTACTCTTCCCCTACGTTTATATTTTTTATTCGTTTCACGTAAAATCACATTTGCAGCCATTACGTCAACGGTGGTACATTGTCGAGCAGATTTGGTGCTATAGCTTCATTCTGGAGTGCTTACAATTGGAAATCTTAGGTCTCCCTTTCTATAGTCGTTTCTAGGATGTTGCCTAAATACCGCCTGATAGTGCTTTCATGTCCCCATAGCCACGGTGCTACCACGACACCGAGAAACGCACTACCTTCTGTTTAAGAGTGTACAGGTGTAGTATTTTCATAATGAGCTGTACTTCCTCAATGCTTCTCAGTGAGCCGCTGTCGAAGGAGAGCAATAAGCGCTTTCATCTATCTTTTTCCTTTTGAATCTGTTGGGCTGCTTGGTCTCTTGCAAGCTTAACTTGGACATTACTCTCTTTTCCTCTGAGCTTCGACTCTCCAGGTTGGGTTTAATACTCCTCTCGCCATTTTCTTCACCTAGTACTACTACCCATAGTCTGATCTCAATATTCCTTCCACCATTCTCTACACCTCATAGTGTCCACCTTTGTTTGATCTCAATGCTCCTCTCCCTATTTCTCCAAGATCGGGTTAGATCTCTCTCCACTCATAATCCTCCACACTGCTCCTACTTATTCTACACTTTGCTACGTCTGTACGTCTCATTTTCTATATAAATAATCCATCAAGGACTATATCTTTAATCTATTACCCTGGCCCCCTCAAAAACAAGTCTTGGAAGGTGAAATACCTGTAATCTGTTCAGTCTCTTTTTTTGTTGTGCCATTTCCCTTAAAAAAGTAATCTATAAATTGTTCTTGATGCCGCTAGCTTGGACCTAAAAATTAAGGATTTTCTGTTCTTCTTCGTCTAAATCAATCTCTTCTAACATTCTCATCATGGACAACGATTCAAAGTTCTTACACTCAGATGCATGCTTAGCAATAGCCGAGTTGTATCTTTTGAATACTTCTCTGTACTTCTTCACTTTGTCCTGTAAGGTTTTCACTTCCAGCTGGTATTTGGAAATGTTGCTCTGTAACGTCTGTTGAGCTTGCTTCTTACGTTGTCTACATCTGGAAGCGGCAATTCTGTTTCTTTCAAGTAAACGCTCTTTCTTCCATGCAGCAGTCCCGGGGATGGGACCATCATTTGGATTGTATATGACCTCATTATCGTATATGAGCTGGTGGTTTGGTGGTGGTACACCGGCAGCGGACCCTTCACCGTCCGCAAATTCCTTGTCAGTGGCAGCTGTCAAATCTAAACCTTGTTGAGCAACGGACGCCAGACCAAGTGGCTGATGCTGAGGAATGCCTTGAGCGTGTGCTCCTGGAAGCTGCTGCTGTTGCTGAGGAGGGTTCAGTTGCAGTGGCGCATGAAAGGGTGGGAAGTCGTTCGCATTATCATCCGAAACGTTTTCATACTCAAAGAACGCCTCGTGGTTGATAATCTGGCCAATCTGACCGTTGGAAATGGAAATTCTTCTTCTCCTCTGCCCCCCGTCATTGGCTGTGTAGGGAAATTTCATGGTGTAGTCGAAAAGGGGAGGGTTCGTCAACGGGTACGAATGGGTGTCAAAGGGGTTGTGAAATGGAATCACAGAGGCAAACGACGATAAAGAGGATCCATTGCCTACAGGAGCGGCTGCTGTACCAACAGAAGCACCAGCGACAGGTCTACCGGGTTGAACAACGCTAGGGCCAGGAGCATGGATACTGTGGGGAGAGTCTGCAGGTTGACGGGCAGCAGGTGGGCTAACTTGATGAGATACGCCGCCTGGGGAGTCATGGGCAGGTGCTGGAGGTTGGGTCTGCACCTGAGGCTGGGTCTGTACGTGAGGTTGGATCTGATGAGCAGGTGCCTGTTGAAGTTGGGACGGAACCTGGGCCCGCTGCTGCTGTTGTTGTTGTTGTTGTTGCTGTTGTTGTTGCTGCTGCTGTTGCTGTTGTATCGCTTGTGTTGGGTTAGTCAGCGGCACTGCTTGAACCTGAGCCGGATGTTCTTGCAAGTAAATCCCCATTTTCTGCTGGAAGTCCACGTTCATCCCGTCATTCAATACAGGTTGGTTGTGGCTGGCCAATATGTGGTGCTGGTCGCTGTTGAACACAGCACCGGCTGAAACATAGTTCATCTTAACGGTCGGTAATGATAGAAGGTAAAAGAAGGGGCGAGATCTACCACACTTCAAGTATATAAGATAATGTAAAAAGAGGCGCTAGTTACCTGACTAGCTCTCTTCTGTTATGACGGCCTTGTTTTGCCAAATTATGCTCCTTAATCAACTAAGAATACAATAGCTATTCTTTTCCTTGTCCAAACGTTAAATTTTTGGGTCTCTACAAAAAAAAAAAACGGAAAAAAAAAATAAATTAGTAAAATTTGAAGGGCCTAAAAAAGAAAGAAGAAAAAGAAAAACTTGGCCCAAGCAGGGACTGACACAAGGCTACAGGAAGGTATATATACAAGAAGGGAAGGAAATGAGAAGAGGGAGTGGTAAATAATAAACGAGTGATGGCGAGCATTTTGACCCTTATGCATATGTAGTCGGATGAAGAGCGGATGAATAGTGTGTGGTACAGTAGGGCCAAGATGGGGGATAGGAGGGTGAGGTAAAGGCAGCAATATGTGTACACTTCTGGCTCTATTTCCACAGTGGCAGTGGCTAAAAGTTGTATCAAGCGAGAATCGGGCAGAATCGTGAAACTATTTCGTACGTTGGTATTGCAAATAAATAGAGAGGATCTATGGGGACAGGTCCGTAGTTTGCATTAAGCATAAAAAAGTGTGTGAGTTTTGGGGATGTGCGTATTTCAGATATGCCTCTAGCATGCCCTTTCTTGTTAATAGAGTTCGTAGTGATCAGCAAAAGCGAAACTAAAAGAATATTTTTTGGATTGTTATGCATGTAATCATAAAAATATACAGAACTTACTTACGCAGATGTTGCCAAGGATGCTTCAAACAAAAGAGAAAATATATCTAGGCAACGGGAAGGTAGAAAATAATGGTAGTAACTCCAGAAAGGTTCGTATTTTCTAGGGATGTGTGAGTGTGAGTGTGAGTGTTCTGTGCGTGAGTGCGTGAGTGAGTGAGTGAGTGAGTGAGTAAGTGTATGTGTGTGTGTGAGTTCGCCATGGGGTATTTTTTGGTAGATAGTTTTAGGTTTCTGACCATGCGACTGAATATTTGGTGGAGAATGGGTGCATGTGCACACCCTAGCAGCCCCATGCAAGCCATAATTTTGATCATTTTCGAAAAATTTAGCGCCGATTCTGAAGGTAAAATAAAGTCTGTACTACTTACATCAACTGTCGGCTCTTCTAATGCACACCTTTTCACTATTTCTTGTTTATCTTACAGTCACTTTATTGCAAATCCAACTGTTTGGGGTCTCTTCATTCCCGCCTTTTTTTTGATTTTTAATCCCACATTTCCAGACCACTTTTGTGTTGCCAGGCAAAGAACCACTACAGGGCTGCACGAAGAACGTAGAAAATGCCTTGATACATTTGTAATCAGACAATACACGAGCATTTGCAAAAATCATGAGCGGGAATAACAGCTGCCCGCATATAATTGCAGGTGCTTGTGCGCAGAGATATGCACGAGAGGATTCAACCAAGACAAGAAAAAGGAAGAAAAACTCTAAATACGCTCTAACTTTTAGTGGTGCTATCTCCTTTGGGGGGACGAAGATCCCAAACGTGTTACTTTTAGTATTAGTTAGAGAATGTAGACCTTTCTGCTTTTCCATTTATCCTTCTAGAACACTAATAGATGCACTTAAGTCCATCATTCTCATGTCTACTTTATTGTTTTTTTTTTTTTTTTCTATTCCTAACTGTGGGGGGTTTCAATGTTACTGTTCTCGTGGGAATCGAAACGAAGAAAAAAGAAAAGTGGATCTCGTAAGCATCTAACCATATTTTTATTTTAGTAAAAGTATCTACACGAAAGAGCTCCTGTGCAGCAATTCTTGCAGTTAGTACTTTGATGCAAAACCTCTTGAAATCCAACAAAATTTAAACATTTACTGGTTGTACAGTGAAAATAAGACCATATTGTGTTCCTCTGCAGCAAACAATAGCAGTTGTAGAGCGATATTTTGGTGGAACAATTTCGGTTAAAGGATTAAAAATTGAACGATTGCATAACCTTCTTGAATTAAGGTTCTCCAATTAAGTTAACTTGAGAAAACAATAAGATTTGAAATAAGCTTAACCAGATATACATCGTTTCAAGTAAACTGTAAATGGTGGGTATTAATAGATACTCTCACGCCATAAAGTACAGCATGAATGTGCGGAAGCAGTGGAAAAACCTTCCCTTTCGGAGCTAACCAACTTCTTGTCGTTCGTATTTTTAGGTGCTATTTTGGATTGTTATCTAATCTAGGGGCCACAGGTTGGAGATGCAACCTGCAGAGAAGGCTCTCAAATGTGAGAGGTTCTAATTCTATCACCGGGATAGTGAAGTATCACACTATTAATTAAGCAGAGCTGAATGCCTCCTTTCCTATATAGAGACGAGTGATCAGGCCAAGATTAATCCGCTTTCTTCCCTTGGGGAGAGTTGAAGTTTGGAATTTTCCGACGGTCATCAGAGGGTGTGGTGGTCCCCCGGAGAACTAGTGCAAATATCCTTGCCTAAACAAAACCACACGAAAAAAATACCACTATGTAAATTAAGCACTGAAAGGATACAGGCGATAGGAACAATAGGAACAACATCGCACTTATTATTGAAGCATTCAAAAAACACATCACTTGGGCCAAGTACTCTTATCGTACTTGATAAGAAGGTGCACTCTCCTCGGATACCTAGTCATCCATAAGCACGTAAGCTCTCTAATGCACTCATCCCAATCGAGGCTGCTCCTTCTTGAAGTAGTATCTTGCATGCAGGTGGAAGCGCACCTCTTTTCTCGTACATGATGAGAAAAAAAATACACCAATCTAAAAATAAAGAGCTGTGGTATGTGTTACTTCTTATTCGAAAGGAAGAGTTTATCGTTGATCAAATTGAATTCCTGATGCATCATGTGAACTTTAAATCGAAAAACAGGTATAGCGAAGATGACCAATCGGAAAGTGCAGTATCTAGAAAGAATTCGATTAACGTTAACTTTGAGAACTTCCCGCAAGTTAAGGCATTAAGGAGTATACTTGATGATGACAATTCGAAGAATGTAACATCTCTCACCAACTCCCTATTGAGCGAGTATTTGAAAAACCTGAAATTGAAGATAAGTAATTTCAATAATTCCAATGTAGAATTCGAATTTGTTCTCGAAAACCAAAGAGGGATGAAGTTTTTTGGTATACCTGCATTTTCACATAAATCTCTTTTCCCACTTCTTGATCCGCCCAGCTTCCAGCTGATAAATGGGACCAAACTATTGCAGGCGGTGGAAAAGGGGTACGATAATGAGTACATCTATAGCAGTCTTGCCCAGTTGTATCCTTTGCCAGATCTTGATTGGGAATGGACTTGGGATTCTTGGTACGTGTTCATGTTGCACGATGTAGATGATCAGGGTTGGATATACCTGAGGATCAACTTTGGTAGTAAGCATTGGAAAGGGAAGTATAACTTTGGCAATTTCATCAGGAGACGAATTTGGGTTAGATTAAGAAATAGAAAAGGCTTTAAAATAAGCGAGGATGAGCATGGACTGAAAGATGGGCCGGCCAACTATGATATGTTTGACAACGACGAGGTGGAGGAGTTTGAAGAAGGCGATACCATTTACGTTGGCTCGACGAAGGCCCCAAAGTAGCATACAAGTTAATAATAGTATACCCGTAGACTTATCAAGTTAGCATCTACCTATAGAAATTAACAATTAAGCATGAATTTATGGCAAGGTTCAGTAGGGATGCATGAGGGCTCAAGCCAACTGTATATAGTGAAGAAAACAATAATATCTGCATTGGATCGAATAGGGCCCAATAGTAGCATATACTTGAATATTCGGCATACACCTATTGTAAAAATATACATAGAGATGAATAATTTAGTCTGAACTCAAAGTAAGGCTCTGTAGAGACAGCGCTAGGGTCATGGCACACTGTATCTAGTCAAGTAAGTCTACTATTGTAGAGCCCCATCACTTCGTATATTCTCGATTTTTTTTTGCAGCCATTCGCAATGGCATGAGATGGGCCACTGGTGATATTGATCGTACTCATTCAACCTTCTCTACTAGGTCATACTATATTATCGCCATGACTACTAAAGTATCAGGTGTCGATGGTCTGCTGAGAATGGAATTGGAATTGGCACTATATATTGCTAAAAGAAAGACTGGAAGTGTAAAAGGTGAGAAATACTTGTTATGATACAATATCTTGGCTCATACTAACCATAGACTATATAACATATATAAAAAGTGTTTTGCTGCCCTGCAAGCCTGGAAGGAAAGAGCGCAAGGTCTTCAAAGTAATACTTAAAATCCCGAAATGGAAAGAAGCATATAAACAAGAGATGGGACTATTCAAACCCGGCCCGATGCTGGACATTCGTGCTATTCAAGCTATTTCGAAGTCCTTCAGTAGTGAGCTTCTCAAGCCTAGGCCAACGCTGAAAATGCATACTATTCAAACGGATTCCAAGTCCTACAGGTCTAGATCTTACAGATCTGCAAACGTTCCTTTGATTTCACTAGAACTGTTTCCACAAGGCTTGAAGCTACCGACCAAAATCTCAGTAACTCAAAAGGAATGGTTTCTTGAGCTTTTCCATGTAGACTACTCCTTACAAAGCTTGAATATGTTTAAGCAACTGGTCTCTCGAAGTGGAAATCCTGCGCCTCTATCATTCGACAATCTATTCAAGTATTTAGACTTACTTCGCTGGGTGAGCGCAACGGGGTCCGTAGGTGATGAAAGAAGAGGTTTTGCCTCTAGAAAGATTTGGTCAGTTTTCCAAAACCAATTCCCAATGCTCTTGCACAATGATACAGATAGTAAGTTTCTGGAAATGGTGCCAAATGTGCTTAAAAGAGTTTCCGAAATCGTATTACAGTCTTTGAATAACAACAGCTTGGAAAGTACCATTGATTTGACTATGCACAACTATATAACATACATCTATGAGCCAATTTTCACCAATGTGGCTGGTAATTTGGTATTCTTTGATGATTCTGTCGACATTTTGAAACAATTAGTGGACTCATTCCTAAAAATCGTTGGCTGTTGCCTCTTAATGAAGCTAGGTCTCCTTCAATCAAGTGAAACACTAAGGGACACTCAAACATTGAGAAGACTAGAACAGATACTTCAGCAGAGGGCATCAACTTCTCCAACCCAGCTGAACCAGTTGCACCACCTTAGAGATATCTTTATAACACCTGCTCCATTCTTTTCCACACCCTTGAATTTACAGAAGTTCATATCCCAAACAAGTACTGGAGTTTGGCTCAGGTTGGCAACATTCTACCTAGATTTGATGCAGCTGTTGATGAAGCTCTTATGGAAAGTCAAACTCCATTGCTCGCTCACCGATGATCTTCCTTACATAGTAGCCAGAAGCAGATTGAAAATACTTGCCTTTATGTTAGCATTGGAAGATACCGAGTTGATGGCGTTCTATTTAAGTATGAATTGCTGGAGCCAGTAAGACGAGAACAGGCACAGTCACCATTACTTCTTTCCAATTATCTTGACTGCATCCTTAGAGAAAAGATAAGTTGCGCCACTAATGAAGGTGGTCGAAGCAACCAAGTATCCAAATCCCGTCAAGAAGTAGTCAAGGGCCAGGATCCATTCACTATCGACAAGCATCATCTCGATACCTGGTCTTAGCATCAAACTTCCAATATATACCATCTGGAAGCCTGTATTCCACTTGGACAAGGTCGTAGGATGAACACTGGCACTTGGGATCAGAAAGTCCCAGAATCTCAAAAAGGTTCTAGGTTGTGGCAATGAGACAAATCTGTAGTACAATGCCATGAATCCCAACATGACATCTCTTCCGATAATCAAAGTAGCTAAGTACAAGGGCATAGTCAGGTTATAGCAGAGTGACAAGGTGCATACGGTCATTAGAAACTTATCGGCCATTGGGTCAATGATGGATCCCAATACTGAACCCATATTGTACTTTCTCGCAATGTATCCATCAACAAAGTCAGTACAGCATGAATATATAAAAAATGACATGGCCCAGGCGGTCTGATTGTGACAAAGTAAGTACCCGATTACCGGAGTGGTGGCTATTCTTGTGAACGTTAAGATATTAGGAATTGTGTAAATGTTTTCGTGCTTCGGGATGATGGTTTCAATGTTCTTCTTCGTGGTGGACTGCAATTCCTTCTGGTATGCTTGGGTCTTGGCAATTAGCTGCTTAGTTGACTCCTTTTGCCTCTGGTACGTATCTCTTTGCTTCTGAAATGTTTTCTTTGCATTTGGTTCCAAAGTATGCTTGAGTTCATTCTTGGGTTGCTCTCTGTGGAGAAGCAAAGATGTTCTGAAGGATCGTACGAAAGTGGAGGGCTTTATGATGCTGTTGGCGTTGACCAACCTGGTTCTAGAAAGGATCCCTACTCTTATCATGTTAATTCTGGCTTATAGGATGCGTTGAAGTGGTTCCTATTACTGTTGATAGGGTGCAATTGAAGATATCCCAATGCCTTTAACTGAAAAATGGAGAGTGAAAAAAAAAATTGTCGCCATACAAAATTGGAAAACATTTCGCAGCCATCAAGCTGATTGTGAACTGAGGTAGCAGTGCTACGATGATACTAGGTGATGTTACAAATCTGCATCTAGTTGGCTGTTATGATCACCGAGGTTACTTTAAGACCAAGAATACCGCCTGGTGAAGCAGTTCGAAGATGAGCACTACGTCTGCATAAGTCTTGTGTGACCAGTGCGGTGAACTACAGAGTAACTACATGCAAAGAACTCTGCTAATTAATTTATTGATGGTATACTTACTTTTGATTCCCCTCTATGCTTATTTTGGTAATCCAAGTTCGTTGACTAAGCTTTCCTCGGTTTCCTGGGGGCCAGGACCAATTTCAGTTAAGATGACCTTGGAAACTCCCTTGTATAATTGATCATCAAACTCGAAATTCAAGGTGGATGGAACCTCTTGCTTCTTCCATCCTTCGACTTGGTGGAATACTTTATAGAGGAAGCCCAATACCTTTGATTCGTTCTTTTCCTCGTAGTAGACGACAGCGTTTGGACCAGCATCAAACGTGTAGGCAGCAATAACTTCACCCTCCAATTCGTTCAACTTATGAATTAACTTGATGATCTTCTTGGAAGTATCGTTTAAGTAGAAGATTGGTGGGTAGGAATCTAAACACACAGCATGGAAACTGTTAGAATCCTTCATTGTCAACTCGGCGAATGTTGGGAAGTCTTTGTTCAAAATCGATTCCTTCATCTCGACGAATCTCTTTGGTACCAAGTCCTTTATTCTGTGCTGGAACAAGTCAGAGGTGGCTACAGTCAACTGCATTCCCGAGGTAGAAGGAGTGTCCTTCTTGTCGTCACTGACAACCAAAATAGCAGCCTTCATACCTGGCCAATGGCCCAAAGGAGCAACTTCCACGGCCTTTGAGTCTTCACCATCAGTCTGGTCACCCATTTCCCAGGCAACGTAGCCTCCGAACAAGGAACGACAAGCGGAGCCGGACCCCTTCCTGGCGATCTTGGAAAGCTCACTCATATCCTGGGGCAATTTGTATAGCTTGGCGATGGCCACCACGAGAGCAGCGAACCCAGCGGCCGATGATGCCAACCCAGCGGCAGTAGGGAAGTTGTTTTCCGATACAATGTGAAGACCGTAGGTGGACAATTTAGGTAATGAAGCATCAGCAGCTTCCAATTCGCTTCTTAATTTCTTCAAGTCTCCGAGACATGCTCTAGTTCTTTCAGACGACAACGATTCCTCCTTACCATTAAGCCATAATCTGTCTTCCTTGAACGTTTCTGAGCAGGCTGCAGAGGTCAAGGTTCTCAAGTCTTTTTGGGACAAGGTCACAGAGATGGAGGAGTTGGTTGGAAGATTGAGAGTTTTGTCTCTTTTTCCCCAGTATTTCAAGGTGGCGATATTCACTGGTGCAGTGGTTGAAGCTGTGTATACTGACATTGCTGGATAGTGGGCCGTGACGGTTTCTGAGTAGCTGAATATGTGCTCGTATAGGCCTTGGTTCGTTCCAGATGGTTTTTTTTTTCATCAACATGGCCGTAAAGAAACGCGAGCGCGCGAGCACGAGCGAAAAATTAAAATTTCGACGTGCATGAGAAGGTTGCAATTATGCAGAGAATGTCTTGTCCGGACTGATGGTGATGGTGATGGTGATGGTGATGGTGATAGAGGTGGAGGTGGAGGTGGAGGCGGAGGTGACTGTGAAGGTGGTGAGGGAGGTAAGTGGTAGAAGACGTAGAGGACGCAGAAGTGACATCGGCACCACATGTGGAGTGCCCACCAGGTTGTACCCTGATGCCAGGTATATCGTGTTCAATGTACTTCAGAGTGTAGCTCACCAACTTCATTGCTCGAGAACAACGTATTCTATGCTAGCACCATGACGGTAACCTTTAGCGGTAGTTCGCTGACACCTCTGGATCTTATCAAACCAAGGAAAACTGGTTACTTACTTCCTGGAACAAAAGTCAACCTTCTTATCCACTCCACAAACTAGTATATCTTCCCAACACACAAGAAAGATGCCCCCACAGTTGCTACACCTAGTCACTCTTTATACTAATATTACATACATAAGATATCAATTTAAATAACTATATTAACCACATATCTCTCAACCTCATGGTCACTTAATGTGTAGGTTTACTTTTCGTTCGTATACTTCTTCATGTTTTCAATTTTTTTATGGATTTTTCAGTTTGGGGATGTTTTTTTTGTTTTTGCTAATTTTTCTTTTTGGTTCACTTTCTGTCTTCTATTAGTTATAGCTGAGAAGGACTGTTGCATTTTTAATCATCGTGGTACTTTTCTTTGAGACTGGATTAATCTATTTCTTTTTCCATCTCCACAATCTTGCCTTGCAATCTCCACTACCAGTAGCAAATATACCTTCAGTAGCATCACTGTTAGATGATACAGCTACAGAAATAACTGAGTTGCGGTGTCCTTGTAACATTAACAATGGGTTACCGGAAAGCTCATCCCAGAAGATAACACCACGGTCTTTGGAACCAGAAATGATGTATTCATTCTTAGAAGTTAAACAGACAGATAACACGAAATCCTTGTGTCCGATGTAAGTGACTTCACATGAAGACTTTCTTGATTGAGCTCCAGAAACAATGGCAGATGAATTACCACCTCTTGGAGAAACAGGAGTTGGTGGTGAGTCCAGCTTACCTTCTAAGTTCCATAATTTAACAGTTCTATCCAAACAACCGGAAACCAATTGTTTACCATTGGCCAGGAAGACAACAGAGTAAACGGAATCTTCGTGCCCGTTCCCGTTTTCGTTACCAGAGTCTAATCTTTCCACAAGGAATCCCGTGGTGGAATCCCAGACTCTAACTGTTCTATCCAAAGATCCAGCGGCGATCAATTGTCCATCTGGGGAAACGGCAACGGTGGTGACACCGTCTTCGATCAGCAACGTTAAGGAACATTGCGATGATCTCAAGTCCCAGATTCTTACAGTTCTGTCACCAGATCCAGAAACCAATCTGTTTCCGTCCGGGAAGAATTCTAAGGAGTAGATATCTTGTTCGTGGCCTCTCAAAATCTTGATAATTCTCTTGGTTGCCAAGTCCCAGATTCTGATCAACTTATCTTCAGCACCAGTAGCTAATAACTTACCATCTGGGGAGAAACAGACTGATCTAATGTATAAATCGCCGTTGGCATTGACAGCAGCGGTGGAGGCAGCAGCCTGAGCACCACTTCCATTGGCTCCTTCACCACTGCCGTTGCTTTCACCGTTCTTGTCGGCTCCGTCACCGTTGGTCAAGCTGTTGGTGGAGTTATCATCGATCAACTTGGCGATTAACTCACCAGTTTGAACGTTGAACACCTGGGTGGTCTTGTTACATCCAGTAGCAATAAGATCACCCAGCTTGGAGAATCTGACGCAACAGACAACCGAGGAGTGGTCCAAGGAGTGGATCAAGTCGATTTCAAGCAGTCTTTCAAAGGCAGGGTTGTACAAGACGAAGTAGTCCGGGTTTTGCTTGGTAAACTCAGGGGATGCCCTATTTATGTCCAAGTCTTGCAAGAATGGAGGGATTTCCTTAACATGGAGCGCCTTCTGGGCCGGGTTAACGATGTATTGCAGCTTGTCGATGACCGTCAACGCTGTGGAAGTCTCTGGCGCTGGAGCAGCGGCGGCTGGCGTGGCAGTGGACGTGGTAGAAGAAGCACCGCCGGCAGAAGCACCAGCTGGAGCTGTAGATGAGATGGCAGCAGGAGCGGCCGATGGCGTGGCTGCGGCGGACCCGTTGTTGTCCTTGGCACCGCTCTCGATCTTTGGAATGTGAGCGGAGTCCTTAGGTGGTGAGTGTCTGACTGCTGGTGGGAGGGTAGATGCTGAAGCTGGGGGAAGTGCGTGGGCCTGGGCCTGAGCTTGCTGTTGGTGGGCGGCTTGTTGCTGCTGTTGCTGTTGCTGCTGTTGCTGCTGCTGGTGCACAGCCTGTTGCTGTTGAGCCTGCTGTTGCTGTTGGTAGCTTCCGTATGGCAATCTGCTGTCCACACCGTTTGGTGCAACTTGCAGAGCAGCAGCCCTGTCTCTATTCTCCAACTCGGTCTTCAACCTCAAGATCTCGTCCTCGTAGGCCTCCTTGATCTTTCTGTGGGCCATTTCCAACTCGTAGACAGTCTGTCTGATCTGCTGCATCTCTGCGGTCTGTTGGTTGTACTTTATGTCGTATTCGTCCTTGACTTGCTTGAATGACGAGGCCTCGTTCAAGGCAAAGTCAAATTCTTGCTTGACCGCCTCCAAGAGCTCATTGAGTCTCTGCTGGTGTCTCTGCTGTTGCTGTTGTTGTTGCTGTTGCTGTTGAACAGCAGCAACGCCCGAGTTAGAAGCGTAAGCTGACATTACTTTGGTTTGCTGGTGCTTGTGAGTGTGTGTTGTTGTTGTTTGAACTAATCACTCTATAAGCATGCACTATTTTTTGGTTTATCCGTTTGTTGCCGTCTCCTACAATACGATACACCGTCTCTGTGGGATGTTTCTTGTAGCTAGAGCTGGTAAGATGGGGTGTATAGTTGCCAATAGGGTGAAGACTACTAAGTAAGAAAGGTGAGCTTGTCCGGTTTTGTCAAGGCACCCTGTTTTTGACAAAATTGGAGTTTTTTTTTTTTTTGTCGCACTTACGTACAAAGAAATTGGGGGTTCGGCACGACTTTCTGTTGACACCTTTGTGTAAAATTAACGAGAATTTCGAGTTTATGGAGAAAAAAATAAAAAAAAAAAAAAGAAAAAAAAAAAAAAAGAAAAAATAAAGGAAAAATAAAATAGGGAGCGTATTCCAGCGTTTTTTTGGGAGAGGGGAGGGGGGCTCCACTCCGAGCCGGTGGTGAAAGTGCGTGAAAAGTGCGTGAAAAGTGCGCGAGCAGCTCGTGAGCAGTGCGTGGAATCTTGTGCTCTGAGAGCTGGTGGTGCTGCTAGGGAGGGGGGAGGGGGGTAGAGGAAACCACCAGGAGAGCCGTTGGAAGTGTTCCATTATGAGTTATGAGCTAGGCAGCAGCTCAAAAACGTAAGGAAAGCGTTTGTGTATTTTTAATTTGGGCATTCATAGCTGATTCGTGATAAGTTGTGTACACTGCTGGAATATGTGCCGAACATTCTGCTGGATAGATGTAGGTGTTGGAGTACTTACTGTGTTGCTATGATAGACGCCAGTGCTATGTGGACTGCATTACTGTGCCAGTGCGTAATTTTGTCAGACGCTATGGAGTACTGGAGGGCGGGGGCTAGGGACTGGGGACTGAGGAAAGGGGACTGGGGACTGGGGACTGGGTGCTGGGGACTACGGTCTGGGTGTGGATGCAGCAATTTTGTTGAACTTTTTGGGCCGGTTTCTTATTTCTTTGTTTCTTTTTTTTAACTTTTTTTTTTTTTTAATCGTTTTTTCTTTTAACTAGATGCTTAATATTAATTTTTTGCTTGTTTATTGAATTTTTTTCCCTTGTTTTATTTCCGCTTTGGGCATGTGGAAAGCCATTCCGCTGAGGGATATGATTGGCTGAGATGGAGAAGATCTGGGGGAATATTTGGTGATGTCTATATTGATGGTGTGCATATAGGGATGAGAATCGGCTTAAAAAGAAATACGAGCAGATAGCTGTGTTAGTGTGCAGGCTGTTCATTGCAGGCGATCCAGATATTGTGCTTGTGGGTAGGACACTAGGATCGGTGGTGGACCACGCTCTACTAAGTAGACAGTGTTGCTCTCTGTTTCGTTCTTCCTGGCACGCTCTCCCTTTTCTCATCTAATCTCCCTTACCTGACTACTACTGAGCTATGCAAAGAAGCCACCAACTGTCCAGATGTCCAGATGTCCAGACTTTGATGTCCATGTGCAGGACAGTAGAGGACTACACTCTACTAGGCAAAACAGAGCTACTCTCTACTTTGCTCTTCCTGACTTCTCCTTCGCCTGCACGTCTAATCTCCTTCCTTGCCCACTCCTGAGCTATTCAACGCTCCCTGGGACCTATACACCTCAGCCCATATCTCCCTCTCTCATACTATAATGGAACCACTTTACCCTTTTTGTGTAACATTTTCTCCCATATAACCGCCCTATAGAGACAATTTTCCACTTCTGCTTCAGCTCACTTCTTCCTAAGACTTCAGCCATGGTTAAACTCTCGTCAAACTCTTTTAGGGGTAAAAAAGCGCAGGAAGCTTACGATAAAACATTTGCTGGCAAATACCAGAAGCTTCTAAAAAGAAACCACTTCATCTTTTTCGGCTTACCCTTCATGTTGTCAGTGGTGGCTGGATCAATCTTCTTACAAAAGTTCACTTCAGTCAAGTATGAGCGTCACGATGAGAAGTATAGACAAATAGGCGAGAAGGAAATGTTAGGAATGATAGAAAACAAAAGAGAGGTCAACAAAAAGGATGATTACTACAGGTTGCAAGGTCTACTTAAAGACCATACTGATAGCGTGAATAACGATGACTATGAGATAGTCAGAGTTGCTAGAAAGAAGGAAGATGAGCCAGTTTGGTGAGAGCGCGAGCACCGCGTGAGAACTTTGGCACACATCCTGGGCCGAACTAGTACATGTACATAGTCTTATTTATTACGATTCAATGAACGAAAAAGAAGAAGAAAACAGTGAAGTCGTAGCCATATGTATTTTTAAATTGGTCTAATCGGCACAAGCCTATGCTACTTCCTCCTATGTAGAATACTTTAGCACTAAATTCACCGTTCAGCGGCTCTGCCCATCACCTCCATCGTATTTAGTCACGTGACTCCATCTCTCTCACACATACGCAAGACTAACTTCACTAATTTTTCACTATGACCAATCGCCCTCTTTGTACCACCCCAGATCCCTACCTACCAGCAGCCATGGTGTCATTCTCTTGTGAAAACTGTAACGACACAGTAGTGAAAAAGAAGTTAGACCAGCATCAACAGCGTTGTCACGGTGCCTACTTCACCTGCATCGACTGCTCCGTAACCTTCTACAACAACGACCATAAGAAGCACACAAGTTGTATAAGTGAGGCTGAAAAGTACGAGAAGGCGTTGTACAAGGGACCAAAGAAGAAGCAACAGCAACAGCAGCTAAGGGCTATACCAGCACCAGTACCTGAACCAAAGAAGATCGAGCCTACTCCTGAACCTAAGAAGGCATCCAAGAAGGAATCAAAGGACTCAAAGAAAGAATCGAAGAAGGACTCAAAGAAGAGCAAGTCTCTTGATTTGTCCAAATATTTGAAAGCCGGCCAACTGGAAAACTTATACAAAGTCATAAAGAAGATTTCAGACGAAAAATCCCAGGATAAGAAAGATCTCTTAAAGAAGTTATCGCTTGTCTTAGGCGAGGATGGAAACATCTCTGTCAAATTGAATTAAATTAAATTAAATTAATACATGCATCCCTTAGATTTTTTTGTAGGAGACAATATAGAGACCGGTAGTCTTCACTTTGTCTATGCTTTCACTCCCTTGTTTAGGGCTCGGTTGATTTTGGTGTAGAACTGCGATAGCGTGTTGTATGGGAATGATAAGTTATCGCAAAAGTACTCGGGTAATATGTCCTTGAGTCGTTCAATGTGGTCGTCGTCGCTGCCCTCTTTTAAAAACGTAGGCACGTAGTTTATTTCTGCAGTGGAGTCGAACTCTTTAGCGATTACTAACCGATACACAATAGTCAACGAATTGCCACTAGCTGGCGCAGGTGGAGCAGATGCACCGTTCTTCTTCTTCTTTTCATCAGACGATTCTGCGGTTGAGGACTGTGAAATGTCAAAGTAGAATTTGTTGTCATCCTCCTCGTAGTTCGTTATTCTCAACCCTGTCAACAATTCCAACATATCCAAAGTTATTCCGATGGTGTCCAACTCCTTAGACAACTGATCTTGCGTGATAAGGTCCGCCACGTCGGTGGTCTTCTTTCTTCTGATAGGCGACTTGTAGAGGTTCTGCGACGACTGGGGCTGTTTACTTGGAGTTTGGTCGAGATTCAAGGCACTTTTAGAAGACGACACCTTCAAGCGCTCGATGATTTCATTCTTCGCTGCTATCTCCTGGTTGAGCTCTTCTATTATTCTGTAGCTTTCGTCAAGCTGCATCTGTGTCTTGGCCCTGTAGTCATCAAAGAGCTTATCCTGGGAGGTAGAGGTCAACGTGTTGATGAGCAGGACCAATTCTTGGGTCGAAGACGACGCGTTGAAGATGTCCTTCTCAGTGATCACTGTCTTGGACGAGACCAACGCGGCTGATGGGGGGATGATGGGAGTGGCAGGAGCAATTGCGCCGGCTGCTCGCTTGGCCACTGGTGCTTTGGGTTCTACTTTAGCTTTGCGGGTTCTGGCCATTCTTGAGGGGCTATAAGGAGTGTGTAGGTTGTATTTAACGGAAGGTGAAGCACTTGTTGTTGTTTTGATATTTTGATTTGATTTTCTGGCGGTTGATGCCCGTGCGATTTTCCAGAGCGTTCAGGTGGGGGACGGTAGGGGACGGTAGGGGGGCTATCAGGGGTGTTTGTTGGCGGTGTAGCCCTGCCAGGCTGGATGGGATGCTTGGATAGAGGTGCCTGTGCGATAGCTGCGAGAAAAGAGGGTACAGTGGGCTGAATAGTGGGGCATACCGTGTTTTGTAGGCATAGGTATAGCAGAGGTGGAGAGTGTAATTGCAGCCGGCGAGTGCGCTGCTTGAGCACAACCAGACTGGACGGTTCACGGGGGTCTTGCGTGGGTGCTACTAGGACACACGTGGAACGAGAATCCACGCACTGGCTGTTCTGAAGGAGCAGATTGCCCTGGCAGGCCTGCCTGCCCTATCCAACCAACCTACCTAGCCTGCCAGCACGCTAGCGCACAGAGCCTAGCACTGCTGCGACGTTCGGGTGCAACTTGAAACACCGCCTACACGCAGTCCAGACACAGAGCCGCCAGATGCCACAGAGCAAAGTGGGACCCTGATACCCCGTGACACTGCACACCGCCCTAGTGCACACCCCTCTGGTTTCCCTCGCAAGCAGGCCAGGTCCAGTTCCAGCTCCACCTTCCCTAGCCTCTGGTGTTCTCTCTTCTCACTTCCTTGCCCCAGCATCTCGCCGTTATGCGCCTTCCGCTTTGGGACGTTGCGCATTTGGCACAGTTTCGATTTTTCGATTTTTCTTCACAAACAGAAAAGCACCAGGAGGAACAAGGAGACGTTATCTCTTTCCATCACGAGTGTAGCCATCTGAACGAGTGTTTTGCTATGTCTTTCTCATCGGAAATATTCAACAAAAAGCTTTCCGGACTTTCGGAGACTCAGGACTCCATTGTGACCATTTCTCAATGGATTCTCTTCCACCATAGGCACTCCAAGGATTCTGCAAGATACTGGTCGGAGTACATATTGAACCTCTCGTCGAGCACATCGTCGTCGTCGAAGAAATTATCGCTCTTATACTTGTGCAATGACGTTGTGCAACAGGCAAGACATAAGAGAAAGCCGGAATTTATCCGCAATTTCGCCGAAGTGTTGCCAAACGTCTTCAACAAGGTGTACAAGACGGTCTCGGATCTGGTGAAGCCCAAGGTCACCAGGTTGATTGATGTCTGGGAACAGAGATCTGTTTTCACGAGGGATGAAATCAAACTGATGAAGAGAGCTGTGGAATTAAGTAAGAATAACAAGAATATCGAAGACTACGACGATGCTGAGGGCACTGGCCTGGGAAAGAGCGGCTCCAACAACTCCTCCTCGGGTGGAGCAGACATTGCCCCCGAGTTGGCTCATTTGAACGACTCGTTGGTCCATCTCAACACCTTGAACCTGTCAAATCAGTCCATTCTTCAACAAATGACCATACAGTCGAAAACCTATCTTCCTAGTGACCCCTCGGCTTCCGATAACTTACCCTCGCCCAAGATCTATATATCGAAGTTAAACATATTGGAGAAGTTCTGTAACTTGGCCACTACAAACCTTTCGAGCATTAAGAACGAAAGGCAACTGCTCTTGAAGCAGTTGGAGAGCCTTACCACGATAGTAAGTAGCGGAATCAAGTCAGATGATGCGAAGTTGGAACTTGTTCAAACCACGTTAGCTAAGCTCAAGGAAACCATGAGTGAGTTGGAGGAAATGATTGAGCCAGAAGAGCCCTCTCCCGCCTACGACGATGAACCCATTAGAAAGAACTCAAAATCTGATATCAGCAATGCGGAAGACGATGACGACGACATGATTCCAACCTACGAAAACAGCGATGACGAGGCTGATGACGATAACGAAAACAAAAGTAATAGCAACAACCACAGCAATAGTAATGATAGTAACAATAATAATGGTAATGGTAATAATGCAGATGACGACGAGGATGACTACGAGCCTGCGATTAAAAGGCATAAGCCATCCAGGTCTCCATCCATTTCATCTGGTGCTTCCACCCCATCTCACAAGAAGTCTGTGGCATTCTCGGAAGATATAGAAATCAAGGAATATGAAAGAGAAGAAAGAACTGATCTCATACAAATCCTTAAGAGTGACGATGAGCACTCGGAAGAAGAGCCGTATAATACTGATGATATCTACAATACTGATGAACCTTCGGAAGAGTTCGAAAAACACCATAAGGATGACTTGGAGCTCAAGCACGAACATGATGCAGAAAGCGGCGACGAGTACGAGCCTTCTGCACCAGATAATGATACTCAAAATGACGTACTAAGTATATTGTCCAAGTTGGGTTAGGAGTGGTTCATTTTCACTATAGTATGTTAAATATATTATACGTTAGAGTAGAGAATTAATACTTGTGTCTATATAATTATTTACTAATCTTCTTATAATCAAAGGAAATGCAAGTATGGATGAATTGAATGTATAGTGAGTACAAAATGTAGTACTTCTTTCGCAAGTTTCACTAGAGAAGGTGTTAGCACTATCGTTCAAAGTAAACTCCTTCTCTAGCTGTGTCTCTGCTACTGTTTCTGTAGAGGCTACATCAGCACGGTAGTTGGGAACTCGGCCATTAGTTCTTAATCGATCGGTGGTCAAGGTATACAGTATTGAGAACAGAGCAGGTGGATACTCTTTCGCAAGATTCTTTTGATACCCCACAAGTTCGTCTTACTCTTTCTGTACAGGCTTCATTAGCGTATGTGGTTGGGAGCTCTCCCAGTCCTTCTTATTAGGCAAACTGTTCAATATGAACTCGATGGGCGGTAGCCGCACCATCGGAGCACACGAGTACTGACTAGAGGGTGGAGTGGATGCTAACGACAGCGGACTTGAGTGGGATTGTTGATACAGGTACAGGTGATGAAGAGAATTCTTTCTGGCGATGTTCAAGTCCGAAAACGACTTGACCTTGGGCAACTCGCTTGAATTTTGTCTGCTTCTTCCCTCGAAGAGTACGGAGAGCACAGAGCTGGTCCTCCTTCTCTTAGAAGAAGGTGCAGTGGACGTGGATGACGTAGAACAAACACTATCCCTCCTACTAGTAGCACCGATAGAGCTCTTGGAGCTTCTTCTGGGTATATAAACGCAGAGTTTGTCGGAACTCAGGCATCCCTGGCACTCTGGTAATTCTCTGCTACATCTACGCTTTAGTTTTCTGCACCTACTGCAACTATTTTTAGACTTAGAAGAATCCAAAGTGTCTAACTCTGGCACTTCAAGGTTATGCTCGTAAATGTTTTTAGGCGATAAGACCCTGGGGTCCCTTTCCTTCGGATCTATGTATAATTCGTCTAAGCTCTTTTTTCGGAATACCGTTATTGAGGCCGATAGCGAAGAGCTCTTGGATGCCTTCTCACACGATAGATCGTCCCCTAGCCTTTCAGAGCCAGGGATCTGAAACTTGCCTAAGTACTGGTGGATATTCGTGTAGATTTCGCTGTCATATTCCTCTGTACATATTTCTTGCTCATTCTTGTTCATACTCTATGAGTGCTGGAACCTATACCTAAAGCCAACTGTAGTTATACAGGTCTAAAGAGAATTTTTCACTCAATCTAAAGTAATAAAAATCTGATATATGTCAATTTTAGTCTATGCAGCAATTTTTCCTGAGTCACTTGAAATTTTGACTCGAGTAAAATTGCAGCCGCTCTTTTATCTCAATCGTGGGGGAGATAATTAAATTTTCTGAGCCAAGCGCATGGAAAAGTCTTGGGCAGGTCTTGATCTTGGAAAGGTTGGGCCAGTCTTGTAGGTAGTCATAATAGCCAAGGCTTGGTATGATTAGTGAATTACCGAATTAGTGAATCAGTGCTTATAAAGGTAAAGAGTACTAAATGCTGCAGATGGGTGCTACCTTCTTGTAAGCTTAAGTAATTTACTAAGAGCGCTTGCGAAAAATTTTGCACCCAGTAAATTATTGCGCCTTTCTATGCTGCTCGTGTGAATTGCTTCCATGCAAGACCTGGTAGATGGAGAACTGGTGTGGTTGTATCTGTTTTGTGTTCGCCATTTCATTCGACTCTCAATTTCAACCCTGTTGAACAGTTCATATCTTTGCACCACAGATGAGGTGTGGATGTATCTGCTTTGAATTTCCCATTTCCTGGCATAAGCAGCTTCAAATTTCTTCCACTGTTCATATCTTTGCATTACAGATTTGGTATGGATATATCTTTTCTGGTCTACCTCTTTCTTTCTACTTGCAGCTTCAAACTTCTTGAGCGGTTCATATTCTTGAATCGGCACAGACGTGGTATGAATATATCTTTTCAGATCTACCCCTTTCTTCCTACTCTCAGCTTCAAACTTTTGGAATACTTCGTTTCCCCAGACCAACTTTTCTTCCGAAGGCAAATCTCGATCTAGGTCTTCAGATAGTCTCTCTAGTAATGAAATGGAGCTGTTGTTTTGAAGATCCAACACTTCTGGTAACTCAAATGTGACATGTCCCCTTAATCTCATCGGTAAAGCTGTCTCGTCGTTTCTTTTCAAAAGTGATCCAATATAAAGTAAATGCTTTGCTCTAGTACTGGCGACATAAAATAGCCTTGCCTTTTCATAATTCTTAGAGTTTGCGATCCCAGGAATCTCTTCTTCTGACAACAACTGCTCCCAGTACGTGGGCGCAACCTTATAGTTAAAGATCTTTGCTGCACCAGTTACAAAAACCACAGGAAACTCTAAACCTTTTGCTGCATGAATGGTCGATAAGTTAATCATATCCTTGTCAGTGATCGGTATTTGATCACCGTAATTTCTAATAAAATGATCTAGGAATGATTCATCAGTTGATCTACTTCTTTCAGTAAATGTCAGATAACTATGCATCAAGGACCGATTGAACGATTCCAAATAGAGGTGCAAATTGTCTTGTTGGTTTAAATAAGGTAATAGATTACACTTTTTGCAAATATCAAGCAATATTTCAAGCAAATTTTCTGGTGTTATGTATGGAGTGTAGTTTTCTTCACTTTCAGCATAAGTGAATGGGTCCAACTTAACTCTGGCTTCCTTAACTAGTTTCAAAAAATACTTAACCTTCTCTAATTGTTCTGGATTTCTTTTGTAAATTTTCAAAAGGTCCTCATTCCCTTCAAGAATGTAGTCTTCAATAGATTGATTTGTTTCGACGCTGTTGAACAAAGTAGAAATTCTTCGACCACTCCTCGGATCTAAGATTTGTAATATGCATAGTAAAGGAAAGTTTGCCTCCCCCTTTTGGTAAGGTAATTTGCCCTTCTTTTGGATAACTAACAAAATATTTATGAACAACAATACTCTGGAATAAGTCCAAAGAACAGTTGAAGAAAGCTTGTTGCACTTAAATTCGTAACTTTCTCTTAAGAGCTTTTCAATTTGATCCAATTCTCTATTTGTTCTACTTAGTACAACAAAATCCGAGGGCAGTAAGAGCCCACCCAGTTGGCAAATTAATCTTGTGATTTCCTTTGCAATAAATAAATATTCTTCCTCTGAAGATGTATGTGACGTGATGATTGGCTTGTAGCTTGGCGGTCTGACTACAGCATTTTGTGCAAGCACCTGAAAGTCAGTGCTACTACCTTGTTGCTCTAGATGCTTCAATGATATCTCTGTAGCTGCATTTATGATTTCTGGGGTAGACCTAAAGTTTTCAGGTAACAAAATTTCAGTTACTTCATAGTGTGGCAAGCTTCTCTTTAAGTTCAGCATCAAGTTCGGGTTGGAACCCAAGAATTCGTAAATACTTTGATTTGGGTCTCCGGCGATAGTCAAGTGCTTTTGGCTACCAATTTTATCTTGCCCTTCGTAGTTCACAATCAGCTGGACTACCTTTATTAGTTCTGGGTACATATCTTGAAATTCATCTACGATTACCACTTTGAAATTCAAGAGGATGGGTATGATATCCTCTTCTTTCCCCGTCGAATTCTTGACAATACTCAAAAAGTTTGTGATTAAATCCAGGTACATCATTAGTCCATTTGAATCTATATAGCTCAATAGAGCTTGGATGTACTCTTTGCCTACTTTATACCTGAAATGCGCCGCATCAATGGATAGGCTACCCTGCTTGATTGAAGATATCATCCTTTGCAAATCAACAGCAGATATATCGGAATCAAGTGATACGCCGTTTATTTTAATGGATTTCCTCAGAAATATGGTGGAAAACGCTCTCCAACTCGTTTCGTCCATCACCCTCTTGGGAGGTGCATTCTTGTCCTGCTGCCCATAGTGCTCTATGACGTTACCACAGAACGAATGGAAAGTGCTCAATTGGACCCTGCTGGCTAATTCCTCGCCTACCGTCAGCACTAAACTAGTTCTAAGCAGCTTTACAGACCTATTTGCCATGGACAAGACCAAGATCTCGCTAGGCTGCACTTTGTGGTGGCTTATGAGGTAACCTATGCGATTGACTAGCGTGTGTGTCTTCCCGCTCCCTGGCCCTGCTCTGATAGATAGAAGGGTGTTTGAGAGCGGCTCGGCTACAATTGCATCGTACTGTGCTTGTGTTGTTCGTATGGAAATCTCCTCGTACTTCTGGTCGTCTTGGCTCGGTTCAAGATTCTCAGGCAAGGCTGCAGCATCAGCATCAGCATCGACGGTAAGACCGCCTAGGTCAATTGGATCGAGAGTGCTTGCCATTTTTTGAGCAATTGAGTAGACAAAAACGTGTATATTAACAAACTAGCGGCCTTCAGCGACACTAAACACACGAATCTTCTACAATCGGGGTCTCTCTTCCCTCTGGTCCAGTGTAGAACCATGGGTGCAATCCTGGTCTTTTCTAAGCGATCGTTTTTTCCAGGCATGTCTCGCGCGCATCAGCGCTACACAAGCGGAGCGCCCAAGGCAAAGCGCAACGGTGTAGAAGGTACACAGAAAAAGCAAACAAAGAGAGTGAAAAAGGCAGGTATCGACATATAAGAGTGATCCAAGGTGTAGAGAGACCATGACGAGCTTGCACATACTAAAACAATTGCTCCCATTGAATGAGGAAGACATAGAGAAGAAGACGTTTGAAAAGTTCGACGTGGAGAATCTCCAGAGCTTCGTCAAGACTTCCAAGGGTAAGGAAGGGACGTCGTTGGAGCAGATCAGAACATTGTGCTCCAATTCGTTGTTGTCTAACACGACAAGTGAGCAGTTGAACACTTTAATTGAACAATTCGAAACATATAAGCTGGATATCAGATCGCATCGGGCTAAGTTGAAGCCCATTGAAACGGTGATAGCCAACTTCAATGCGGAGTTGAAGCAGTTGTCGTCGTCGCTCATTGACTCGAGAGAGAAATCGTTCCAACTTTCTAAGGATTTGGTGGCACAGAGCTCTCTTACAGATAAATTGAACCCAATAATATTGGACTTGATGGTGCCTCCGGATATAGTCAAGTCGTTGGTCAGTTCGCCCATACTGGAAAGCTGGCTAGAGAACTTGAGGTTTATAAATGAGAAATTGCAGTTGATTGACTCGATTGAGAGGAAATTGACTCCAGAAACGGCCCAGTACCATGGCTCTGTAGCGTACAAACAGTTAACTGAGTGCATTGACGCTATGAAATTCAAGGCTATCGAAAGAATTAGGGACCACATCATCATCAATGTGAAGAAATTGAGAGCTACAAACATGCAGCTACTGTCACAGAATATACAAAAGGAGCTTTTGGTTGTTAAGGAGATTTACCCGTTTATTGTCGAGCATCATCCTGAGTTGGCCAAGCAACTCAGATTGGCATATATATACACCATGAAGTGGTACTACGAGACTAGGTTCGCTAAGTATATCTATGCCTTGGAGAAGTTGAAGTTGAGATACGTGGATGCAAGTTTGTTGTTGGGAAGCACGACTAGTGCTGAAGACAGAGGAGGGGGGATATTTGGATGGTTCAGCTCCAGCACTAGCAGCAATGCTGGCAGTAACGCCAGTGTTAATCCTAGCGGTAGTGGGGGTTCTGGCAACACCAGCAGCAATAACAGCAATGGGGGCTCGCCATTGAACGTACCTCACACACATAAAATTATAATGGCTGAATATCTACCATCCATAGAGAAAAGAATTCAAATATTGCACCTGGCTCCCTCTGAAGAGGAGCAACCAGAAGAGGCTATTCCGTCCCAGATTGCTGAAACCACACCATTTGCATACTGGATTGAATTTGTCTACAAACAGTGGAGCGTTGCACTCATTGACAACTTGATAGTGGAGTACTTGTTCATGGTGGACTTTTTCTATCTTGGAGATGAAAAATTCGATGAAGTCGAAATATTATCCACTGATGGATCTGTGAATAAATCCACGGTAACTCCCGATGGTGCACAAGCTAATGGTGGAACCAGCGGTACTAAAACCACACTGTGGTCAACGATCATGTTCTCGAACGTCTTCAAGATGGGCCAGGAGTTTGTCAATTGGCTTATCACATACCAGCCTCTGGCATTCCTGACGCGAAACCCCAACTCCAACACGAGAATCATTTCCTCTGCTGCGAACGTAGCGTCGGCATCCATAGGATCTACCACTCAATTTGGTACATACGACGGGTATGCCGTGCTACTTATGATTAGAATGGTGCAGATAAGTCAATCGTCATTGCATAACGAATTCCATATACCGATCGCAGACGAATATCTCAACTCTATACTATTATTGCTTTGGCCACATTTCACTAAGATTATAGATCTTAATTGCGAGCTGATCAAAAAGTCGGTGATACACTCTTCCACCACCACCAAATTCGACGGAGGAAACTTGGCGCCAGTAGGTGTGACGCAGCAGTTTGCCCAGTATTTGGTGGGGCTCTTAAAGTTGGCAGAGTCTAGTTCAAACGAAAGCGGCAGCACCACCTCTGAGGTATTCCAGGGGGAACCGTTGTTCACTTCAGTAAGTAGATTAAGAAATGACTTTGAAAGCTTATTGACTAAATTAAGTGGAACTATGTTCTCCAAGAGCAAGAAGATCGAAAAGGAAATCTTTTTGTACAACAACTACTTCTTAGTGGTGAACATTCTTAGGAATGAAAAGGAGGAGAACAGATTGTTTACAGAGCAGATCGAGCATTTTGAGCTATTGTGCCAGGCTTACAAGAAATAACAGAAGAGCAACACTAGCATAGCAACTAGCATTTCAACACCAACGAGGTTTTGGCTTCTATTTCTTTTTACTTTTATTAATACTACGTACTTCTAAACCTTACACAACTTTGCTAGCATACCACACAATTGTAAGTATGTAGATACACCTTCCAAAACTCTCATATGCACGTAACCAATCTCCTTGATAACTTCCAACCTCTTCTGTTCGTTTATCCCCGGAATACTCTTCGCTACCTTGAACGACAGCGTCACTATGTCTATGGCGGAATACCCCTTCTTCCATAAGCCATCCAACAACTCAATAGCCAGCTCTATGTCCTTGTTCACTATGCAGTATGATAGTATCTTCTTGATCACCAACGGGTGTGGCTGGTCTACAATCTTGAACACATTGATGTCGTTTACGAAGCCAAACCCGGCAACGGTACTCTGTAAGTTATTGATGGCTTGTCTCATATCACCTTCGGCAGTGAAAATTAATGCTTGTAAACCCTCTGAGTTGTATTTCACGTCTTCGGCTTTAACGATTTCCAAGAGTCTCTCCAACACTTGCGAGTCCGAGAGCTTGTTGTACCTTAAGATGGCACATCTTGATTGTAAGGGCTCAATGATCTTCAGCGATTGGTTACAGGCAAAGGCGAATCTAGTAGTGTTGGAGTATATCTCCATGGTGCGCCTCAACGCCTGTTGGGCTCCGGGTGTCATGGAGTCTGCTTCATCCAAGATGATGATCTTGTGTCTTCCAGCAGGCAAGCTTATCTTGGTCTGGGCAAACTGCTTAATCTTGTTTCTCACTACATCTATACCTCTGTCATCTGATGCATTCAATTCTAAAGTGGCCAGGTGATACAATTGCTCTCCAAGTAACTCCACAGCGAGACAGTGGATGGAGGTAGTCTTCCCGATACCTGGGAGTCCCGAAATGATCATGTGCGGCATGTTCCCATCATTGGCGATAAGTTTGAGCCTCTCGACGGTCTCTTCGTTTCCCACTATGTCGTCAAGCTTGTGTGGGCGGTATTTCTCGACCCAGGGGAGCTCTAATGTAAGCGAATTGGACATTTTCTGTATGCTTATACGATGTATTCTGCAAGCGACCAGATCCATGGACTGAAAAACCAGGGCCGGTTTTTTTTTTCACAATACGCGTCGATATTCCTGCATGTAATTCGATGATTAGTAGGATGGTTAGAGCTGGTCTTGGTGGATCAATGGCTGTTATCTGGTCGATTCACGGCCGATAATTGCAGGATATGGTGGCTAGGCACTACATTGGTTAACTCTGGTAATTAATATTAAAGAAAGTTACAAAAAACGCAAAAAAGGTGAAAATAATAGGTGAAGCTTTATCCTTTGTCCTGCTACTGCTGTGCCTAATACTACTCTATTTACTCTGGATGTGATGGCTCAGCGTTTACCCTTGGGCTATTCTAACCGTCTGCCTTCTGTGGGGGAGTCTTTTTCTTCTTTTGGTCGTTCTTCTTGGGGAATATCGGTGCCGTTGTACTTAAAACCTTCAAGACAGGCTTGCTGAAGTCAGCCTTGAACCCATCCTCTAGCATCTTCTCTATCCATGGAACCTCTACGTCTTTGACCTTGCTGTTAATTAGGTCGTAGATCCCAGAAGCTTCGGTGAACTCGTTGGATAAGCCAACAATCGTAACATTGGACACATTTAATACCTCTGAGAGCCTCTTCAGGGAACCTCTGGGAAGTTGAACTAATTTTACTTGGTCCTCGCGGTTCCTTGAGGCTACTCGAGTAAGCACTGGAAATGGCTCGAGTAAAACCTTGGGTGATATCTCAAACTTGGTTATAAATACATACTTTATATATACGTTGTCATCTTCTTCTATATTTTCCTCTTTAGGGACATTATTATTGCCGGCAAGCTTGTCTCTTGTGCCTTGAGCTTGTCTCTCCAATGCCTTCACAGTTGAATTGAAGCCAATAGTCAAATGCTTCGATATTTCTGGAGCCTCTGGCTTGACAAAATTCTTGCTGCTCTTGCTCTTCTCGATTAAGTCGTTATACTGGCCGTATTTAGACAATATATGGCATAAATGCTCTATTATAGTTTCAGCATCCGATGGTTCTATAAATGGCCAGAGGTTAGATTGGGTGTATGGGTTATCTAGCACCGGCTTAAAGACCTGTCTTCGCCTTTGTTCGACATCTTTCAAGGATCCTGATACTGGATTTCCTCCTTTTTTCCCCTTGGTAGGCTTCTTGACTTTGTCTGCCGATTGTTTGGGTCCCATCCTGCGATTAGTGGTAGCAAAGAGCAGGGCGTACAAGTGTACCTGGCGGTGGTGTCAAGTGAAATTCATATCTCGATGGGGTCCTGCATGTAGATAGATACGAGAGTGGAGTTCAAGCTCTCGAGGAATAGAGTCGAGGAAGGTCAAGAAGTCAAGTGTTCAACACTACAGGGGCCAATTATTTCTACTAGTGTATTATATACATACATAAACGAGATTAAGTTCTTTAATAAACATATCCTTTCTTTTTTTTTTTCCCTTTTTTTTTATTCAAAAATTAGTGTACACCTTTTGCAAAGTATCAGCTTTTTTTTATAACGGTTTAACAATTTTTATAAAAATACAAATAATATAACCAAAACAAATCCAAAGAATTCGTAATCAGATTTATTTCTTTTCATCATCCTTTTTACTATCACCATATGAAGGGGATTTAGGAACGTACAGTGGCGAACCTGGTGAGTATTGAGGTGAAGTTGGTGAGTATGATGGTGATGTAGGTGAGTATTGTGGGGATGTGGGTGAGTATGATGGGGATGTTGGTGAGTATGATGGGGATGTTGGTGAGTATGATGGTGATGTTGGTGAGTATGAAGGTGATGTTGGGGAATACGATGGTGAGGTTGGTGAATATGATGGGGAAGTAGGGGAGTACGATGGCGAAGTTGGACTGTAACTTGGCGAAGTTGGTGAGTAACTTGGGGAAGTTGGACTGTAACTTGGCGAGGTTGGACTATAACTTGGCGATGTGGGTGAGTATGATGGTGATGTTGGACTGTAACTTGGAGATGTTGGACTGTAGCTTGGCGAAGTTGGACTGTAACTTGGTGAAGTTGGACTATAACTTGGCGAAGTAGGACTGTAACTTGGAGAAGTTGGTGAGTACGAAGGTGAAGTAGGGCTATAACTTGGAGAAGTTGGGCTGTAAGTTGGACTTGTAGGACTGTAAGTTGGACTAGTTCCACCGTAACCTGGACTTGCTCCTCCAAATGATGGAGATGTATTACCATATGAAAATGGTGATGTAGGTGAAGGACTAGTGGCTGATTGTCCACCGTATGAGGTCAATGCACCAGAACCATCTGAGACAGGAGCAGTGTGGATTGGAGAGAATCCAGCACCTTCTTCGTAATGGATTTGATCATCCTCCATATTGTATTCCTTATATGGAGTGGCACCTCCATCTTCCCCAACTTCATCACCCACATTGGTAGAAATGGCAATGTTTGAAGGAGCTTGTTGTAACATTTTATCGTCAACCATTACGTCAAAAGAACCAGTTCCTAACGGAGCCATTTGTCCCAACATAACGTTTTCGGATATACCTCTACAATCATCTAATTCGGCAGAAGCACCAGCTTCCAACAAAATTTCGACTGTTTCTTCGAAAGAACATCTCATTAATGCACCAGTATCAGATCTGTTAATACCATGACGAGTAATGGCCATCAAATGACCTCTAGATGTCATAACATCAACTAATAATGCCATATGTCTGTAGTTAACATAAGAACCATCAAAGGCAATAACATTCAAGATTTCCTTGTACAATGCACTTCTTGTAGCTTCAATACCCAAGACACTCAAAACTTCAATAAAGTTATTTGAATAAGTTCTTGAAGCATCGACACCTGGTACAGCCATGACATCTGAAAGATTAACACCATCGGTTTCTAAAACCCATTCTTGGGTCTGTACGAATTCTCCGGTAGTGTCTGGTGAACTGACCTTGTGTTGCATCATGAAAACTCTTGTAATCCCTGGAATACCTCTCAAGGAAATGGATTCCAACATATGAGCTTCAATTCTCTTCAATATTTGATCTTCTTCGGCGTCAGCTTCCTCATCGAGTGATTTAGGATCACGGACAACTCTACAACGAATAATCAACTTATCAGCAGTATCATCAGACCAAATAACAAACAAATCTTCACCAAAGTTTTGGGAAATCTTTTCAGCTACTTGACTCATTGTCAATTGTTTATCCAACATCTTAGCACGGTCTAACTCTAATCTTAACAACCATGGGGATTGTTTGTCAATGGATTCTTCAACCTTTTCATCAGGAATTGCAAAGTAAGCCTCAACAGTATCATAATCTTCTTCAATAACAGTCAGTCTTGGATCTGGATCGTAGAAAATTTCTGTTGCTGAAGTGACATTCTTTAAAGTAGTGTGTTCGATTGCAGACTGGACAACTTTAGCCTTTTCAATATCAGCTGCAATTTCTGGTTCTAAGTAGACAGTTAAAGCAGGAGTCTTGATATTTTTCGCCACGTTCAAAATTTCCTTCAAACGAGGAACACCCAAAGTAACATTCTTGGAGGAAACACCCGCATAATGGAAAGTATTCAACGTCATTTGAGTTGCAGGTTCACCAATAGATTGGGCAGCGATGACACCTACCATTTCACCAGGATGAACAAGTGACTTTTGGAATTGAGCTTCAATTTCTCCTAATAACCAATCAAAGGAAATCTTTGATAACTTAAATTCTTCGATGACTCTTCTTGTTGCCAATCTAGACCTAAGTAAACATTGGAACAATAAGGTTGCATTAGCTTGGGCTTCTCTCAGCAACTCACTTTCACCTCTTACGACAGTTAATTTGGTACATAATTCTTTAACTCCATACACAACTTCATCCAACTTCAAATCAGAAGCCTTGTGACGACCGTTGTGGAATATTTGTTGAGCATTTTGGATAATACGTCTCAAATTGACTGGCAATGGCCAGTTATAATCACCATTAGGGAAACAAACGTCTCTAAGATAACGACGATCTTCCAGTAATTGCTTATACTCTTCATCCAAAACTCTTTGTAACTTGGCATCACCTCTGATTTCCTTTCCAGACTCTAACAAATCTTCTCTTATTCCACCCTTAATAGGATCTAATAAGTCGATTCTATATCTCTTCTTGAAAGCTTCATCGGATCCTGGAATTGTATCAACAGATTGTTTCTCCACTTGAGTACCATCCACCCCATCTTCACCATAGACGAATTGAATGACATCTCCAAGAGAATTTCTTGTTGTACCATCATAATGAACCATAATATCTTCCAAGGCTTTAACCAAACGACGCTGGATATAACCGGTTTCCGCAGTCTTGACAGCAGTATCAATTAAACCTTCTCTACCAGCCATAGCATGGAAAAAGAACTCTTGAGGTGTCAACCCTCTTAAGTAAGAATTTTCGACGAAACCCTTAGATTCAGGTGAGTAGTCATCCTTAGTGAAATGAGGCAATGAACGATCAGCGAAACCGAACGGAATACGCTTACCTTCCACAATTTGCTGACCCACACATGCAGACATTTGAGAAATATTAATAAAGGAACCCTTAGAACCTGAAACCACCATTTGTTTGACATTATTTAAATCTTTCAAGTTCATTTCTGCAGATCTACCTGCGGTATCTCTAGCTTGATTCAAAACTCTTGACACATTGTGTTCGAAAGATTCTCTTAAGGTCATACCTGGTTCTGGTTCCAATTTGTTTTGTTGAGCATCTAAAATGATTTCCTGAACCTTATTTTTAGCCTCAGTAATAGTTGTGGTAACAGTCTTCATAGTACTTGCATCTGCAATAGTATCACCAATACCAATGGAGAACCCGTTGTGAAGTAACCAATAATTTGTGACTTTTTGAATAGATGAAAACAATTGAGCACAAACGTATGGACCCTTTTCTCTCATGACTGTGTGAATTAAACCACCACCAGTGGCACCAACGGTTTTCTTGTCAACTACACCGAACATGATTTCACCATCAACGATCAACATACCATTATCTTTTGGAGAAGCTAAATTAGTTCCATCGTCGAATCTTTGTAAATGAATACCCTTTGGAATAGCTATTGACAAAAGTTGTTTACCAGTCCATAAAGGCTTTGGCTTAACAATAGCAGGAGGAGGAATAACACCGTCCCAGTTTGGAATCCAGTACAACATATTCATGACTTGATCTAATTCTATAAAGTTATCTCTCAAGGTCATTTTACGAATACCACACAATGTATCTTGCACAATACCCATGACTGGCTTATTAGATTGTGGGGAAACAATTTGTAATGGAACTGCACAAATTTGGGACAATTCAGCTCTTGTCTCAGGCGACTGAGGAACATGTAAATTCATTTCATCACCATCGAAATCGGCATTATAAGGAGACGTGACAGACAAGTTCATTCTGAAAGTGGAGTATGGCATGACTTTGACTCTATGCGCCATCATGGACATTTTATGTAAAGAAGGTTGACGATTGAACAAGACTGGATCATCATCCATAAGATGCCTTTCGACTTTCCACCCATATTGTAATGCAATATCACCGGCTCTTTTACTGTATCTTAAATCAATACGATCACCAGTATCTCTGATAACATATTTAGCACCAGGATGATCATTAGGACCGTTTCTAACATATTCTGTTAATTTGTGGATATTGTATGGAGTCACAACTTCTGGATACGATAAAGTTCTGGCAATAGAAATTGGAACACCAACTTGATCTAAATCCAAGTTAGGGTCACCAGAAATAACCGTTCTGGCAGAGAAATCTACACGCTTACCCATAAGATTACCTCTTAATCTTCCTTCCTTACCCTTCAATCTTGCTCTGATAGACTTAATTGGTCTACCTGTCTTCTGTAAAGCCTGTGGTTGACCGGCAATGTCATTATCCATATATGTGGCGACGTGGAACTGTAAAAGAGCCTCGAACTCAGAGATAACATGCTGAGGAGAACCATCCATTTCCAACCTTTGTACGTTTATATTGGCTTTTAATACATCAGCCAACTTGAAAGTTAAATCATCTTCACCTCTTGCTGTATCATTGAAGGCAATAGATGGTCTGACAGGTGGAGGAGGGACAGGTAAGACTGTGATCAACATCCACTCTGGTCTTGCATAATCCTCGTTGAAACCCAATCTGAAGCAATCTTCAGAATTAATATGCTTGAACACGTTTAAGATTTCTGATGGGGTCAATAGACGACGTTCAGGTTGATCATTTTCATCAAAGCTCTTATTCTGTTTCCAGGTCCCCCATAACTTCAAACCATCTCTACGGACAGTTGGTTGTGTGTGGCCACATCCTCCACGGCTCTTGGGTACAGCAATACCTTTCATTAGTTGTTGTTGCTGTTCCTCTTCCGTCATGGTGTCGGCCTCACAAATCATCTTGGTCTTACAGAGGGTCCACACAGCGTTGAATCTCTTTTTGGGATCTCTGATCCTTATAGCCTGGGCCATTTGTGGGTTGGATTCGTCCAACAACAACTTACCACAGTGCATACAAACACACTCACACACTTTCTTGATTCTGGCTATGAACCCAATGTGGAAGACTGGTTTGGCCAAGTCAATATGACCGAAATGGCCCGGACATTCAGCCATATCTTCACCACAGGTTTGACACTTGAAATTACGATCAATCGAACCCAATCTTGGGTCATTTAAGCCACCTTCTCTTGGTTTCTTTGTCGTTTGGTCCATGGTTTCAGGGTACTCGATCTTTGCTACGGAAATGGCACGAACTTCTTCGGGAGACAACAATCCAAATTGCACCTAAGTGATGTTAGTAACGGATCAATAAGAAAAGAAATGCAAAAATGGTGGTGTGAAAAGAAGAATGGGAAGGCCGAGCCAACCAGAATAAAAGAAAACGCTGGGCATCTCCAGCCAAATCAGACTGAGACTCTCTCTCTCTCTCTCTCTCTCTCTCTCTCTCTTATACTTACTTCCTTCACCGACCTAAGCGGAGCGCTGGAATATGGGAACTGACGACTCATGCTCTCTATACTATATTAAATATTTTTTTGGGTTTTTATTTTCTTCTTTTTTTTTTATTGTAAAGGTTTCGTTTATATTTATTGGAGGGGGAGGATACCTTCTGCTAGTTAGCGTATCTCTAATCAATCCAGCAATCAAGTAAATGAGTGCTCTCTTTTAAATATCTCCTGGGTGTATACGTAGAAGTATAGGCTAGTTGGTAATGATGTTTTTGGGATGTGTTTTATTACAATATTTCTATCCTTTTCGAAATGAATAGTCACGTCGAGCAAAGGAGTATTCAAACTGTTTGCTCTGAAAGTTACGGGACTCAAAAATATTACTAGATCTCGGTCGGAGTGGGCAGAGAACTATCACACGTATGGGTGGGTATGGTTACGGTTAATGTAGGTGGGGTTGGGGGTGTGGTTGAGGTAAGAATGACTAATTACTAATGGACTACCTTTGTTGTTTCAGTCACTGGCTGGTTTTTTTTTTCTTTTGATTTTTCAAAAGTGGCGAGCGAAATTTTCCATGTCGGGCTGAAAGTTACGCACTGTGGGAGGTGGGTAGGAGAGGTGCAGGGGTAAAATGGGGACCTGGAAATTGAGGTGGTGTGCAGGAAACAAGAACCACATGAACGAGATCTACCCCACCAAAAGCGGATAAAAGAAGTGTGGATCAAGTGTGAGCGGCTAGGCTTTTTTCCAGGCGCTTTTTCCAGGCGCTTTTTCCAGGCGCTTTCTTTCCGCTTTGGCTGCAAATTAGAGAGAGAGAGAGACAATAGTATGGATAGGTGAGGTGAAGTTAATCGAGGTGTGGTAGTGTAGTGGGATCTGGTGAAACTAGACTAGGTGAGAGAGAGAGAGGGAGACAATAGTATGGATAGGTGAGGTGAAGTTAATCGAGGTGTGGTAGTGTAGTGGGATCTGGTAAAACTAGATTAGATGAGAGAGAGAGAGAGAGGGAGACAATAGTATGGATAGGTGAGGTGAAGTTAATCGAGGTGTGGTAGTGTAGTGGGATCTGG